GCCCTGCGCCCTCGCACCCTGCGCCCTCTGGCCCTGCGCCCTCGCACCCTGTGTGTGCGAGCCCTTCTCTCTCCCCTGCGCCCGCTCCTCCTCCAACCATCCCCCGAACGAGAACCCCCCTGCCCCGTGCCACACACTAGCCAGCCCCGCCCACGTCCCATCCGCCTCCAATGCTGCCTCTACTCCAATCCCTGGTGACACTCGCACTGGAGCCTCTACTCCTATCTGCGGTGGTGACGCCTGCACGCCTGCTGCTGCCTCTACCCCAATCCCCCGTGACACTCGCACTGGAGCCTCTACTCCTATCTGCGGTGGTGACGCCTGCACGCCTGCTGCTGCCTCTACCCCAATCCCTGGTGACACTCGCACGCCTGATGCTTCAACCCCCACGACCCCCAGTGAAGCCTGCATTGCTGTTTCGCCTCCTGCTCCTGCTCCTGCTGCTGCTGCTCCCGCTCCTTCTGCTGCTCCCGCTCCTCCTACTACTGCTTCTGTTGCTGCAGTTGCTCCTGTTGCTCCGGCCACTACTCCCTCTACTGCTGCAGCAGCAAGCACCTCCGCAATCACCGTCTGAGCTTCCCCCTGCATTGCTCTTTCGCCTCCTGCTGCTGCTTCAGATCCTCCTCCTCCTGCTGCCCCAGCCGTTGCTGCCTCTACTGCTGCTGCAGCAAGCGCCTCCGCAATCACCGTCTGAGCTTCAGCGGCAATACCACCCCCAGAGATACCACCACCATCCCCCGCTTCTGTACCACCTATCCTGTGATTAGCCTCCCAAGCATCTTCTATGGGATCATACTCACGACCGCCACCGGCATCATCATCCATTGGATCTGTCTCCATATCCTCGCCACTATCCGGGTCAGCGCTTATGCTCATTCCATCACTATCAGCACCGCCAGCATTGCCAAAGTCAACCACTGTATTGCCAGCCACAGCACCAGCACCAGCGTCATCGCCAGCAGCAGCATGAGCCCCATCAGCAACATCAGCAGCACCAGCGCTGCCACTAGCGTACACGGGCTTCACATCTTCTGGCGTGTCCTGAAGAATCCGACAAGGAGAGACGGTCGCATGGGAGAGGAGAAGATAATGGTATGCGAAGGGAGGTGATGGCATGGGAAGAGGAATTATGGTATTGAAAGGGAGTTGATGGTATCGAAAGGGGGTTGATGGTATGGGAAGAGGAATGATGGTATGGAAAGGGAGTTGATGGCATGGAAACGACGAAAGACCCGCAATGAGGTACCTCAGAAGAAGTTTCCCTTCACCACTGTCGTCATCTCACGCATAACAGGCGCACTCCACGTCACCACTCGATACGCCATTAAACAGGTAATCCCACTCACACGCAGAAACCTACAGAAGCGTAAAATAACATCACCCCAGGACCTCAGCATTTGGGAGACAATCCCACTCACCAGAGCAACCCCGTTAATGCCACCACCACTGACACCACCAGCACCACCAGCACCACCACCAGCAGCAGCAGCACCAGCAGCACCAGCAGCACCACCAGCAGCAGCACCAGCACCATCATCAACAGCACCACCGCCACCACCAACACCGGCACCACTGCCAGCAGCACCACTATCACTATCTAGCATGATTGTTTCATCCTCATCCTCGTCATCATCATCATCTAGCATGATCGGTTCGTTCCAGCTCATCCCCCGCTTCAGCAGCCCACTGCTTTGCTCTCCCGCTCCCGCTCGCCTCTGACCTAGCCCTCTTGCTCCTCCTCTCGACCGCACCATTCCGCCTCTGACCGCTACAGGACGAGAAACGCCGCCCTGTCGAGCTGTATGTGACGAAGCACCGGCTGCAGCTGCTTTTGAGGTGGCAGCTGGTGTCTTTTCTGCTGATGCAGATGCGCCTGCTGCTACTCCTCCTTCCTCACTTGCCTTCTCAACAGCACCTGGTGCTCCTTCCTTCGTCTCAGGTGCTGCCGATTTTGAAAGCCTGGACAGAGAAACACCTGAAATTTCACCTGAGCGTGCCACAGCCGCGGATTCCGCCACCACAGGTGCAGGTGGCACAGCCGCTGCCGCTGCTGCTGGTGCCCCTGCTGCCGCTGATCCTGCCCCTGCTGCTGATGCTCCTGCTGCTGCTGCTCCGGCTGTTGCTGCTGTTGCAGCAGCGAGAGAGGGGGAGGTTGTGCGGGGAGGCACGAGGGGAGTGGCGGACCGAGAACGCGCCAGAGAGGGGGGCACGGGGGGAGGGGGGATAAGGGAGGAGGTGGCGGAACGCGGGGAGTTGACAGGGGGAGTGAAGGAACGCGGGGAGCTGACAGGGGCGGTGACGGAACGCGGGGAACTGACAGGGGGAGTGAAGGAGCGGGGGGGAATAACAGGGGGGGTGAAGGAACGCGGAGGGGCAAGAGGAGGAGTGGCGGAACGGGGCGGGCGAGAGGGGCTAGCGATGGTCACAATATCAGCAGCAGCTCTAGCAAGCGGAGCTCCAGCCCTTTCCTTTTCTGCTGGAACGTCAGCAGTAGCCTCTGCTACAGCTGCTGGTCGTGCTGAGACGTCAGCAGTCTCCTCTGCTACAGCTGCCGCTGATGCGCCTGTAGCAGCTGGTGTAGAGGGCTTTGCTACTGGCTGTGCTGCTGCTGCTGCTGCTGGAGGTGCTGCTGCTGCTGCTGCTACAGCCGCAGGTGGTGCTGCTGCTACAGCCGCCTTTGGCGCTGGCTGCGCTTCTGCCGGCGCAGCTACAGAAGCCTTTGCCACTGGCGGTGGTACAGCCGTTTTTGCTGCCGGCGGTGCTGATCCGCGCGCTGCTACAGCTGGAGCTATAGCCTTCGTTGATTCCCTAGAAGGCTTATCCCCTTTGCTGCAACCGAGACCACTGGCGCGACTGCCACTTGCGCCAGTCCCGCTTGCGCCAGCCCCGCTTGCACCAGCCCCGCTTGCACCAGCCCCGCTTGCGCCAGCCCCGCTTGCGCCAGCCCCGCTTGCACCAGCGTCACTTGCGCCAGCGCCACTGGCGTTTCCGCCGCTGCTTGGCTCCGCGCCTTCCTTGGGCGCATCCGGACACTCTCTCCCCCCGCCGGACTCAACCAAATTTTCCGAGCTCCCGCTTTCCCCCCTGCGCTCGAAAGCCGCGATCTGCTCGCGCATGCGCGCAATTTGCTTCAAAAACTGCGTGGAAGCTCCGCCGTCACTCCCGCCTGCTCCGCCAGAGCTTGCGCCAGCCGCCGGCGCCGTAGATCCGCCAGCAGCAGCCGCTGGGGGGAGGGGAACAGAAGGGGGGGAACGCCCCAGTGCTCGCGCGGAAGCTGCACGCGCAACCACCCCAGCCGACGTCTGTCTTCCGCGGGTTTGCGAGGCATGCGCAGAGCCACCCGCAGTCCAAACCGTGGGCTTGCTCGCGCCAGCGGGAAGTGAGAGGGGAGAGGTGGAAGCGGAAGCGGATGCAGAACCTGGCGCGGAAGATCCTGGCGCACTCGAGGGTCTTGGCGGAAGGGCAACGGCTGAGGTTGTTCCGCTGCCCCCTCCTCCCCTTGATGTCCCGCTCCCGGATGAAAGGATCGCGGTTGGAGAGGCTCGCCTGGCTGGCGGTAACGATCTGCTGCTCGAAATGTCACTCTTCGGGTTACCACCTCCTTCGCGACTGTCGTCAGCATTGTCGTCGCCATCGCCATCGCCGTCGTCGTCGTCCTCGTCGTCGCACGTGAACCGAATTACGAAGTTTCTTCCAGGCGGTGTGGGGGAGGATGCGCGCCGCTGGGGTGCAGGGGGGAACGAGGGCGCGGAAGGCGCGTACTGGGAGGCGGACGGGTAGGCGGAAGCGGAAGGGTACGGCGGAGCGGAAGAGTAAGGTTGAGCGGAAGCGTATTGCGCAGCAGAAGCGTACTGGTGAGGGGAATGATACGGGGAAGCGGAAGAGTACGGATGAGGAGGGTACGGGGGTGCGGAGGAATAAGCGGATGCGGAAGGGTACGGCGGAATGGAAGGCGCACTCCGCGAGTGGGGAACGTGAGGCGCGCGGAAGGTGAGACTGGCGGATCTGACTGGCTTGGGATGGGGATCCCAAGGGGAAGGGGGAATCTTCCGGGGATGCATGACGGTAACCTATTCGCGAGCGGGAAACGAAAAAATGGGGGTTTAGCTGACGCGTTCCTAAAATAATGGTGCTAAGCGAAGTGGGTAAGAGGCTGGAACTATAGGATGACTCGGTCAGTGTGACAAGTTGGACAGAAGATTCGCAGAAATCTCGCGTAGGTAAAACGAGACGCTTAGACGATGCGATGGAGCATGAGAGCTGGGCTGTAATGGGTAGAATGAGCATTGACCGATCCTCGACCGTCCGTCAGCGTAAGCAGCTCAGCTCAAGTGGATCCAAAAGCGCAGAAAAGCCGATTTGTTAGACATCTCGATTAGAAAGAAAGCCGCGCATCGCATCACAGGTAGCCAAGACGGAAAGCACTCATCCACGATGACGTATGCTGTGGCGATCCCGCCGTTTTCGACGATTGAAAAATCATCATCTATCAGCCACCATCTACGATATACCCACTGAGCCACGGCAGCTCGCTACCCCATTAGCGTTACTAGTTGTAAAAACACGACCTAATCCTGAATAGAAACGCCGAGAGAACCTCTCAAAAGCAGAATTGAACCTCTCTTTACTGCCTGCTTTGCTCCCCCCCAAACCCATCACACAGCTAGCTTGTTCAGGAAAACCTTGGGAACTGATGCCTCGTTCTTGCCTCGCCGCCAGCCAGCCGTGATTTCAAAACCTTGAAAATGCTCACCAGCTCGACTGAAGCTGACGCGATTAAAATAGAAGCTTCGTGGATAACTGGTATTGCCGATGTTCTGTACACCAACGTCGATGGGGGAAATGGTTTGCTGAGTTTAGCATTAGCGAAATGGTACATTATCGGACTTTTTCGCGACTTTTTCCCTTCGCCAATCACACTGGGGCCAACCCCGATTCATCCCCGCCTTCTGCAGCCCGCGCACCCCGCCATTTTCCCGCTTCCCTCTGCGCAGCACCCAATGCACAGTGCGCAATTCCCCACGCTACTGCACTCCGCGCCCTGCGCGAGGCGCCACTCCCCCTGCTGTGCTGAATTCGCGCAAAACTTCCGACAAACCCGAATTCATGTCCACAGATTCACTCCACCCACCCAAAAGCGTGTGGTGTATGGGTGACATGGGTGATTCTTCTTGCACCGTACTCAAAATCACCGGAAGGTAGAATACCGTGCAGAACCGTTATGTTCTGTACGGACGACATTCCATGCTCCATGCCCTTAGGTTAGAACGGTTACCATGTTATTCCTAGCAATCTTTAGTGGTCTATGGCAGTGAGTCAGATCAACATTCCGATTTGGACTAGCAATTTACGTCGAATATACGTTCGCTAGTCGGACGCGCTTCGCGTGGCGTTCCTTCCTTCCGTTGATGGTTTGTCTTAACCAGATTCGATGGCGCTACTAGAAGAATCAGCGAAGTTCCGGGACAGAGCAACCGTTACCACCGCGGCTGACCGTGCAGATAGTGGACACGTGGCAGCTGACATGACAGCTGACGCGTCAGCTGACGTGGCGAGAAGGAATGCACAACACGAAAGGGCTTGTAGCGGAGTTCCCCCGATCGCATCCGCCAATTCTTCCGCCGCTGCCGGAGCGGTTTCCGCGACTGGTGCTTCCTCCAGTAGTGCTTCCGCCAGTAACGCTTCCACCGTTAATGCTTCCGCCAGCACCCCTGTGACTACCCCCGAATTGGTCCCGCGCTCCTCCCGCCCATCCACCCCCCGCTCCCCCCGCCCCTCCAACATCCCCTTCGATACCCCTCAAAAACCCCCTCGCCCGATCAGTCTATCCATAAGCACGACTTTTTCAGGGGAAAACACCCCAGCGGGGCCGTCGCCCCGCGCTGCTGCAGCCGCGGCTGTAGCGGCCGCTGCTGCTGAGCTGCTTTGGGAAACGCCGCCGAAGCAGACTGCCGGGACAGGTTCGGGAACAGGTTCGGGGACAGGCTCGGCAGCCGCATTGCAACGGCAAGGCTCGGGAAAGGGCTGGGGAGTGAATTCGCCATCAGGAAGGGGAGCCGATGGGATCAGCGTCAGCGGTGGTTCAGGGCTGCAGCGGCAGCCGTCAGGCTCGGCATCAGGCTCGGACACTCCGAAGCTGAAGCAGTGGGCCGCGGCCCATCCCCCTGCACACGGGTTGGATAAATCTGGTAGGAGGCTGGGGGTTCTCGTCTCTGGGGATGTATCGGGGGTGAAGTGTGGGTCAAGGCAGGTTGGGACTGGAAGATTTGGGGATGGACTCCATCCGATGGAGTGGGATGGAGTGGGATGGAGTGGGATGGAGTGAGATGGAGTGAGATGGAGTGGGATGGAGTGAGATGGAGTGGGATGGAGTGAGATGGAGTGGGATGGAGTGGGATGGAGTGGGATGGAGTGGCAGCTGTGGAATTTTCACTCTTGTGCTCGAGAATCCTCCCCCTCCCTGGTTTTGCCTTCCCTCCTCTTCCCGATTTACCCTGCCTCACATCCCTTCACTTTTTCCTTCTCCCACTCACGTTCTCCCGTGCTCCCCGCATCCCCTCCCCCCGCATCCCCTCCCCCCGCACCCCCAACCTCCCCCCGCACCCCCAACCTCCCCCCGCACCCCCAACCTCCCCCCGCACCCCCAACCTCCCCCCGCGCCCCCAACCTCCCCCCGCGCCCCCAACCTCCCCCCGCACCCCCAACCTCCCCCCGCACCCCCAACCTCCCCCCGCGCCCCCAACCTCCCCCCGCACCCCCAACCTCCCCCCGCACCCCCATTACCAACCTGACTCCTTTCTGTTCGACTCCCCCGGTTCCCCCCAGCTCTGGTGGTGGACGGCTCAGCCTTGTCGTATCTGTGGAAGGAGGTGGTGGGGAGGGACGGCGCGGCAAGAGAGGGCGGCAAGGGCGCAGACGTGAGGAGGGAGAAGGTGTACAACACCATGTTCAACGTGCCGTGGCGCTGTGAACTGGTGAGAGATCCAGAGCGGTGGAAAGTGGTGAGACGGTTGACTTCCATGAGGAGAGAGAAGGTGTATAACACCACGTTCAATGTGCCGTGGCGGTGTGAATCGGTGAGGGATTTAGAGTGGTGGAAATCGGTGACAACGTTTACAACACCATGTGCAATGTGCCTCATATGCATGTGTGCATATGGTTCTCTTCCACACTCCCACAGTCCGATTCTTCCACACTCCCACAGTCCGATTCTTCCCTGCTTCCCTTCTTCCTCCCTCCCCCATCTCAGCTCATCATAATGGGCTATCTCGTGTGTCTCGACTCCTTCCTCTCGCTTCTCGCCATTCTCCCCATCCGCCTCTTCCTGCTCCTGCTCCGCTTGCTCCTAGCGCCCTGGTGAGTTGATCTTGCATCGAGCATGCTGCTGCAACGTTCCTCTGCCCATCTGCTGCCTGCCGCTCCCTCTCATCCTCCCCATCCGCCTCTTCCTCCTCCTGCTCCGCCTGCTCCTAGCGCCCTGGTGAGCTCATAACCCCCTGCTTAGTTGCTCTGATACCATGCCCCTGCCTATGTGCTGCTGTGCTGCTGCTGCACCATGCATCTGCCCATGTGTTGTTGTGTTGCTGCTACCTCCCATCCCATCTCCCTATCCGCCCTCTTTTTCCTCCTTCTCCGTCTGGCTCCTAGCACCCTGGTGATCTGCTCTCAAAACATCTCTTCTATCGCCTGGCTCCTAGCACCCTGGTGACCTGCTCTTGCCCTGCCCTGTGCTCCTGTCCCGCGCCTGCTGCTAGTGCTCGTTTTTTGCTCCTGCTCAGCCGTTACTGCTTCCATCCTCCCCATCCGCCGCTCCCATCGTTGTTTTTGCCAGGAGGGGCCGCCTGCAACTGTGTGTGGACGACATTGCTGACGTCGGCAAGGGCGTCATCATCGTGTGTGGTGTGCTGGCGCTGCAGCAGGCTGACGTCAGCCTCATCTACCACTGGATCCGTGGGCAGAACATTCTCAAGCTCGTGGTCATTTATAACGTGCTCGAGGTGAGATGAGTGTGTGCGGCTGTGTGCGGTTGAGTGCAGTTGTTTGCGGTGGTTACGAGGTGGACGTCAGCCTCATATGCCACTGGATTTGCGGGCAGAACATCTTGAAGCTTGTTGTTATCTGCAATGTGCTCGAGGTGAGTTTTGAGTGGTGGTGAGTGGCTCTGTGCGGTTGTGTGCGGTTGTGTGTGACTCTGCCTCAGGCTGACGTCAGCCTCATATACCACTGGATCCGTGGGCAGAACATTCTCAAGCTCGTTGTGATCTACAATGTGCTCGACGTAAGTTAGGTGTGTGTGAGAGCGGTTGTGTGTGGCTGTGCTTGAATTGACAAGCATGGGATGTGGTGCTCTAACTTGCAACTAGTGGGATGCAATGCAACTTGACAAGCATGGGATGCAATAACAGTTTTTTCCCCCTAAAGCCCTCCCAATTTTACCTTCTTATGTTGCCTCCTCCCCCTCCCTCCTCCCTCTCAGGTGATGGACAAGCTATGCCAGAGCCTGAGCTGCGACGTGCTACAGATGACTGGTGTGCCTACCTCCCTTCACACCAGTCATCTGTAGCACGTCGCAGCCCAGGCTCACAGATGACTGGTTTGCCTACAGGTTCCCCAACACTCCCTTCCGTTCTGCCCCCCACCTCACCCCTCTCCCCTTCTTCTTCCCTCCTCCCTCAGGTGACGGACAAGCTATGCCAGAGCCTGGGCTGCGACGAGTTGACTTTTGAGTCGACTCAAAAGACAAGCTGTGCCAGATCCTGGGGTGCGACGTGCATTTCAAAGGCACAGCAAATGTGTCCCTTCATTCCGCCCCACTCCACCCCATCCCACCCCACCCCACCCCAACCCACTCCACACCACACCACTCCACTCCTATCCTTCCCAGGTGATGGACAAGCTGTGTCAGGGCCTGGGGTGCGACGTGCTACAGATGACTCTCAACGTTTCCCATGTATCCCACCCAACCCCACCCCATGACCCCTTCCCTCAGGTCATGGACAAGCTGTGCCAGAGCCTGGGGTGTGACGTGCTACAGATGACTCTCAACACAGCGGCTCGCGTGGCTGCTGCTGCTACAGCCGGGTCAGCAGCAGGGACAGATCGAGTGGGCGGAGCAACAGGAGGGACAGCAGCAGCATCAACAGCAGCAGGAGCAGGAGTAGGGGCAGCAGCAGCAGCTGTGCCTGCCCCTGCATCCCTGCCAACGGAAGCCCTGCGGTTCATAATCGATGAAGCGATAGCAGTGGCATGCTTCCTGCTGCACGCGCTCGTGCTGCTGACTCAGGCCGTCACGCTCAACGTGGCCATCAACTCGCACAACCACATACTCGTCACTCTGCTTGTGTCGAACAATTTCGCGGAGGTCAAGTCCAACGTGTTCAAGCGCTTCAGCCGGGAGAACATTCACAAGCTCGCCTGCTTGGGTGAGCGACGAGTGTCTTTGAAGAAGTGTTTTGAGACGTCTCGGTTTTTGAGAATTCTCAAAAACCAGCCCATGTCCGACGTCTCAAAACACTTCTTCAAAAACCAGCCCATGTCCGACGTCTCAAAACACTTCTTCAAAAACCAGCCCATGTCCGACGTCTCAAAACACTTCTTCAAAAACCAGCCCATGTCCGACGTCTCAAAACACTTCTTCAAAAACCAGCCCATGTCCGACGTCTCAAAACACTTCTTCAAAAACCAGCCCATGTCCGACGTCTCAAAACACTTCTTCAAAAACCAGCCCATGTCCGACGTCTCAAAACACTTCTTCAAAAACCAGCCCATGTCCGACGTCTCAAAACACTTCTTCAAAAACCAGCCCATGTCCGACGTCTCAAAACACTTCTTCAAAAACCAGCCCATGTCCGACGTCTCAAAACACTTCTTCAAAAACCAGCCCATGTCCGACGTCTCAAAACACTTCTTCAAAAACCAGCCCATGTCCGACGTCTCAAAACACTTCTTCAAAAACCAGCCCATGTCCGACGTCTCAAAACACTTCTTCAAAAACCAGCCCATGTCCGACGTCTCAAAACACTTCTTCAAAAACCAGCCCATGTCCGACGTCTCAAAACACTTCTTCAAAAACCAGCCCATGTCCGACGTCTCAAAACACTTCTTCAAAAACCAGCCCATGTCCGACGTCTCAAAACACTTCTTCAAAAACCAGCCCATGTCCGACGTCTCAAAACACTTCTTCAAAAACCAGCCCATGTCCGACGTCTCAAAACACTTCTTCAAAAACCAGCCCATGTCCGACGTCTCAAAACACTTCTTCAAAAACCAGCCCATGTCCGACGTCTCAAAACACTTCTTCAAAAACCAGCCCATGTCCGACGTCTCAAAACACTTCTTCAAAAACCAGCCCATGTCCGACGTCTCAAAACACTTCTTCAAAAACCAGCCCATGTCCGACGTCTCAAAACACTTCTTCAAAAACCAGCCCATGTCCGACGTCTCAAAACACTTCTTCAAAAACCAGCCCATGTCCGACGTCTCAAAACACTTCTTCAAAAACCAGCCCATGTCCGACGTCTCAAAACACTTCTTCAAAAACCAGCCCATGTCCGACGTCTCAAAACACTTCTTCAAAAACCAGCCCATGTCCGACGTCTCAAAACACTTCTTCAAAAACCAGCCCATGTCCGACGTCTCAAAACACTTCTTCAAAAACCAGCCCATGTCCGACGTCTCAAAACACTTCTTCAAAAACCAGCCCATGTCCGACGTCTCAAAACACTTCTTCAAAAACCAGCCCATGTCCGACGTCTCAAAACACTTCTTCAAAAACCAGCCCATGTCCGACGTCTCAAAACACTTCTTCAAAAACCAGCCCATGTCCGACGTCTCAAAACACTTCTTCAAAAACCAGCCCATGTCCGACGTCTCAAAACACTTCTTCAAAAACCAGCCCATGTCCGACGTCTCAAAACACTTCTTCAAAAACCAGCCCATGTCCGACGTCTCAAAACACTTCTTCAAAAACCAGCCCATGTCCGACGTCTCAAAACACTTCTTCAAAAACCAGCCCATGTCCGACGTCTCAAAACACTTCTTCAAAAACCAGCCCATGTCCGACGTCTCAAAACACTTCTTCAAAAACCAGCCCATGTCCGACGTCTCAAAACACTTCTTCAAAAACCAGCCCATGTCCGACGTCTCAAAACACTTCTTCAAAAACCAGCCCATGTCCGACGTCTCAAAACACTTCTTCAAAAACCAGCCCATGTCCGACGTCTCAAAACACTTCTTCAAAAACCAGCCCATGTCCGACGTCTCAAAACACTTCTTCAAACACGTTGGGTGACCGACGAGTGTGTCTAGTTGAGTGCTGCTGTGCTGACCCAGACCCAGGCCGTCACGCTCAACGTGGCCATCAACTCGCACAACCACATACTGGTCACTCTGGTTGTGTCGAATGACTTCGCCGAGGTTAAATCCAACGTCTTCAAGCGCTTTAGCCGGGAGAATATACACAAGCTCGCCTGTCTAGGTGAGTGCACGGTGTTTCCTTCCTGCTGCACGCACTACCGCTCGTGCTGCTGACCCAGGCCGTCACGCTGAACGTCGCGAGCAACTGGCGTGTCTTGGTGAGTGTTGTATGCTGTAGCAACAGGTGCATACTGTGGCATGCTTCAGCAAGCATGCTTTGCCGAAGTCGAATCCAACGTCTTCAAGCATTTCAGCCGGGAGAATTTTCGCCTGCTTAGGTGAGTGTGTGTGTTTAGATGTGCTGCTTAATGAGCTCATGCTTTTTTCTTTGTCAAGTTTTGTGAATCTCGGTTCATCTTTTAGAGCTCGTTTCATCTTTTAAAGCTCGTTTCATCTTTTAGAGCTCGTTTCGTCATTCTTGTTCTGCCGCCTGCTCCTGCCCCTCTCACCCGTACCAGACACAGTGGAACGGTTTCATCTCTCGTGTCATCTCCTCTTCGTGGTGGTTCAGAACGTGGTCAAGGGGCAAGGCACCTCGCTCTCCTTCTTTATCCGGGTGGGTTACAGTTTGTCATGTGCAGCATGCCATGTCATGTGCAGCATGCCGTGTCATGTGCAGCGTGCCGTGTCATGTCATGTGCAATGTCTGTGCATGCAGTTCAATGTCTGTGCAATGTGTGTGCGGTGCAGCGTATGAGCGGGCGGTGCAGCGTATGAGCGGGCGGTGCAGCGTATGAGCGGGCGGTGCAGCGTATGAGCGGGCGGTGCAGCGTATGAGCGGGCGGTGCAGCGTATGAGCGGGCGGTGCAGCGTATGAGCGGGCGGTGCAGCGTATGAGCGGGCGGTGCAGCGTATGAGCGGGCGGTGCAGCGTATGATCGTGCGATGCAGTGCGGTACAGTGCGGTTCACGGTGTGGGGATGTGAGATGCTAGTGGACAATCGGAAGCACTCTTTTCAACTGGTTCACTTTCTTACCTCCCTACCGATTTACATGCCTCTCTACCTACTCAGAACGTGTGCACGGTGTGGGGCTGTGAGGTGCTCGTGGACAATCTCAAGCACTCCTTTCTCGCTAAGTTCAACGAGATCAAGCCCGAAACCTACTCTGACTTCCTGCTCTCGCTCTGCAGACAGGTGAACCGTCCGTAGTCAATCCCCTTCCACTCTCTGCCTCCCTTGTGGCCCTGCCTCTCTTCTTTCTACCCTTCCTCTCTTCGCGTGTGTCTCCTTTCTTTCCCTGCCTCGTTACTCCCATGTCACTCCTTTTAGCGAGGGCGTTTTTGAGACGTCTCAAAAACCCGTGTCTCCTCGCTACACGTGTCTCCTCGCTACACGTGTCTCCTCGCTACACGTGTCTCCTCGCTACACGTGTCTCCTCGCTACGCGTGTCTCCTCGCTACGCGTGTCTCCTCGCTACACGTGTCTCCTCGCTACACGTGTCTCCTCGCTACACGTGTCTCCTCGCTACACGTGTCTCCTCGCTACACGTGTCTCCTCGCTACACGTGTCTCCTCGCTACACGTGTTTCCTCGCTACACGTGTCTCCTCGCTACACGTGTCTCCTTTCTTGCCCTGCCTCGTTACTCCCGTGTCACTCCTTTCTCGCTAAGTTCAACGAGATCAAGCCTGAAACCAACTCCGACTTCCTGCTTTCCCTCTGCGGACAGGTGAACCGCTCTGCAGACAGGTGAACCGCTCTGCAGACAGGTGAACCGCTCTGCAGACAGGTGAACCGCTCTGCAGACAGGTGAACCGCTCTGCAGACAGGTGAACCGCAGGTGAACCACTTTGAAGACAGGTGAGCCGTCCACAAGGGCAGAGAGGCAGGGCAACAAGGTAACCTGCCCTTTGAGTCGACTCAAAATTCCTCTTGTTAAACAATCCCATTCCACTCCCTGCCTCCTCCCTGCCTCCTCCCTGCCGCCTCCCTGCCACCACTCTGCCTCCTTGCTACCCTGCCTCTCCTCGCTTGTTTCTCCTTTCTTGCCAAGTTCAACGAGATTAAGCCTGAAACCTACTCCGACCTATCGCTCTGCAGACAGGTAAACCGAACTGCACACACATGAACCGCTCTCCAGACAGGTAAATCCCTCTCCCTCCTCTTCTCCATGGCACAGCACATGCACAGCAGCATGAGCTTTGAGACGTCTCAAAAGTCACATGCACAGCAGCATGAGCTTTGTTCCTCTTGGGCTGTCACCGTGTAAACCGCACTCTCCCCTCGCCTCCTCCCACCTCCCCTCACCTCCTCCCACCTCTTCCCGCCTCCCCCCACCTCTCCCCACTCTCACTCATCAGGTCCTGGAGGTAGCTGTCACCACGCGCACCGCACCATGAGCTTTGTGCCTCTTTCCACACTTCTGACGGTGCATGTAACGATAACCCCCTCTCCCCCCACGTGCTCCCCCCTGGCCCCCTCCTCGGGTTCTGTAGGATCGCTCCATCACGTGCACCGCACCTTGAGCTTCGTGTCTCTTTGGTTCCCCGCGCACCATTTTCGGGATGCATGTGCTGAGACTCACCTCTCCTCTCCTTCTCTCCCCCATCCCCTTCCCCTCACCTCCTCTCCTCCTCAGGTTTTGGAGGATCGCTGCCACCATGTGCATCGCACCATGAGCTTCGTTCCTCTCGGGCCGGCATGCAATGTGAGTTGTGGGGGGAGGGAGGAGAGGGGGGGGGTGGGGTATGGTGTGGTGCGGTGATGATGGGTGCATTGTGATTTTTGCTCCCACCCACATGTGCACTGCAGCATGAGCTTTGTTCCTCTTGGGCCGGCATGCAATGTGAGTTTATGGGGGAGACGAGTAGTGGTGGGTGTGGTGCGGTAATGGGTGGTGGTGGGTGTGGTGCTTTGATGGTGGGCACATTGCGAGTGACTGTTCCCACCACGTGCAGTGCAGCATGAGTGGATGGTTATGGGTGCGGTGTGGTGACAATGGGTACGTTGTCACTGGCTGCTGCCATCACCTGCACCCCAGCATGAGCGTCATGTCTCTCTGCCCACCTCCCTTCCTTTTGTACTTTTAGACCCCTTTTCCCACAAGGAGCCCTTCCCTATTTCTTCCCTCCCCCCCCCCCCCCCCCCCCCCCCCCCCCCCCCTTCTCTCCCCTTTCCCCTCCCCCCCATCCCTTCTCGTCATGCACTCTCTTCATTGTGCTTTCTTCCCCCCCCCCCCGCGTCTTCATGGAATTTTGATCCCAGGTTATTCGGGTTGCAACTCCGTTGATTGCATCGTTTATTCCCGTTGGCCGCCCGTTGTTGTCTCGTTGCATTACACCATTAGTTGTTATAAGTACTGTTCTGGTTCTCGCACTGGTAAAAGCTCACCTAGCCTTATGCCTGCAGCTGTATTCGCGATGGTACATCCTGCGCCACCAGAAAACAGAAGCAAAGCTTCACAAGGACTGATAGATATCATTTAAAAGAGATTCTTAGGAAGTTTTGCAAAGTATGTTGCAAACGAATCCAGTGTTCCACAACAAATGAGTGCGCTACAACGGGAGCTGATCCCCAACTATTTGAACAGACAAAACAACAGCAGCAAATGGCAGCAGTGATGTCCACGGTGTTGAGCACCATCCGTGAACAGTAAGGACGGGTTTGGTGGACTGACCGTGACAAAGAAAATAATACGAGGGTGTACACCCGTATTTGTGACACTTCCCGTATTTGCGAAGTCTCGAACATTTCAACAAATATGGGAGGGTCAGCTGAAAACGCGAAAGAAGGGGACAGGTACATGTACTGTGGTGTACAGTGTGTAGGAAATCAGAAGATTGGATCGTGTAGATGCACATCAGAGCCTTCCGTATTTTTCATGTTTGTCTTTTCGAACTAGATATCCGAAATTGGCGTAAAGTTATGTGTTTACACGCACGAGTGACGTGTCCAATCTACTTTATACGGAAAGTGAACCAAGCCATATCCACTACGAAGCTACAGTGCTTAGCATCTCGAATCTCCCTCGAAGCTTCGCTTGGACACTGCAAGTTTTTTTAGTGCAGTTTATCCCTGGTACAGTATCTGGCAGTGTACCCAGTTTAATGCAGTTAATGCTTCTGGGAAAGCGTGGAGCGAAAGACCGGAGCTTAAAAAATCGTGGATGGCTGAGACACTTAAACACGTGTTCCGACCGCAGGGCACTTCGCACGTGTTTTTCCCTGACAATCACAAAGCACCAACACGCAAATGGTGTTACAGTGCCACCAGTAGCAACTCGATGACGGACACACGAGGGCAACATCGCGCAACCAGCCTCAACTCCACTAGTCAAGTTTATTTGTTTCGGGTTTTCCGAAATTTGAAGCGCTGGGGGAAAGAAGTGTTGGGGAAAAACAACCTTCGAATGGTGGATATATCTCAACCTCGTTGACCCAGCGAGTCAAAACAATTGGGGAGGCGGGTTACGACTGACAGCCAGGTGTGGGTAACACCCAGAGGGGTTTCCCCCCCTCCTTTACCTTTACCTATTGGGCCGTTGCATTGAGTTCGGTCGGTCCCCCTTCTCTTCCGCTGCCCGTCAGCCTTTTGCTCCGCTGGCACCCGTTTTCCAAAACGGTTGCAGCTCCCCCCCCCACCACCCCCACCCCCCCCCCACCCCAACTGCAACCATGCCAACTGGCCCGGGATTGCACTGTGGAATCCCTTGAAGAGACTGAGGTTTGGTGAAGGGGAAATGAGTGAACACAAAGAGCTGCTTGCCAGCAGTAGCAGGGGAGTCCGAGGAGCACAAAAGCAGGGCAGATCGTTCTGGCCAGTTTGATCACCCAGGTTTTGCTGTTCGAACAGCTGTATCTAGAGCCGAGGCAGGTTTTACCACCATTTACCTGACTTGCCACCGCAAACTAAAGCTAGCATTGCTAGATCTCCACTTTCCCCCACCGGCAGACACGCGCTCCATAGCCGCAAAGCTTCTTAACTCTTTTGTTTTCCGCCTCGCTGGACCAAGATTCTGCCATCTTGTCGAATTCCGAACCGTCGAGTCTGCAGAGCATAGTCAACGGACCTTGACAGAAAACTTCAGGAACCGAAATATCTCATTTATCAGCTGACGTTTTTTCTCAAAAGGTTCATTGGCCGTTTCAAAACCGAGTCTCAGAAGACCATTCTAAATCTCACCTTCCTTCACCTTCTCGGAAGATCGAAATGGCGTCCACCGTCGCGAGCCGCCCTCGAGTCCATTTGCCGACTTCTCCCTGCCACCGCCTGTCACAATCGAGCCCATCCAACTGCTTCTACGAAACGCCCGCATTTCAATCCACCATCGCCTCTTCCGCCGAAGATGCTTATAACAGGTCACGAGACGCGTACGCCTCTTCTTCCGCCGCCTCCGCCGCCTCCTCCTCCGCGGGCTACGGAGCCAGCAGCAGTACTACCGCAAGTGGTACCCCCGCAAAATTCGCGCAGATCGACCGCCGTCTCATGATGTGGAACCGCGCGACGGCCGGCGCAGGCGCAGCGGGATCACATGCCGCGCAGCCCGCGGCGCAAAGGACCGCGGCGGAAGCCGTTGCGCGCCAAGAGCTCCTTCAGCGCAGCGGATGCGCGCTACCGCCCGTCCGGTCGAATAGCAGCCCGGCGATTCGCTTAGCCAACTCCGTTACCGATGCAGCCGCCGCGTCGTCGACGCGCAGTTCGCCTCTCGGGGGACCTTCGAGCGACAGAAGCTCTGATGATTCCGTCGCATCCCAAGGTCGCGACGCGGCAGCGTCTGGAGCGTCGTCGCCGCTGTTTCGAACGAACATCGCGACGATCGATCTGTTTCCTGCGAGCCCGAGCCTTTCGCGGTCAAGAAGCGCGCATGTCAATGGAAGCGCCGCGGGTCCAGCTTCCTCGAGCAATACCCGCGCGCGGAGGAGCCTTGGCGAAAGTTCCGCTTTCAGCTTCGGAAGACCACTTTCTGGAAGCCCTGGAAGCGGTTTGAAAGGCGGAAGTGCTTCCCCCATTGGCTCCGCCACCGTCGCAGGCGGAAGAGAGTCTGTTTTTGAATGGGCGGCGAAGAGGCGCATAGCCAATCGGATCAACGGTACCAGAAATTGAGTATTTTTGGGGCGTGTGCTGCAGTTTTCCCATGAACATAGCGAGCATGCATGTCTAGTTACCTCCTTTTTGGAGGCCTCCTCTTGGGGAGGCTATATAACCCTTAGTCTAAACTAACCTTTGCAAGAGAACTCGGTTTCCTCAACAGTATCATTTTGTTGTCTGTCCGACCTCGGTCTGAGTGAAGGTTTGCCTTGCCTACATTGGACATACATCGTCCCCGGAACAGCTGAAGTGATCCTATGCGTATTGTCAACAACCATTATCAGAGATTAAAATACGGTAGGCTTCAAGTTTTCCTGCTGCAACAATTGCATGCATATTCTTATCTTTCTTGGTCTAGAAAGCCAGATTGCTACAAGTGAAACATGTACTATGCAATACGAACATCGGGTAACCAGCTCTATTGAAATCGTAGATTCTGGAAGATGCGAGCAAGCACGGATGGATCTCCTAAATCGGCATAACTAACTTTGTCGATTCCTTGCCGAATTGGACAACTGTCGAATTTTGAACAGCAAAGAGGAACTTAGGCATGTGCGCAGAACAGAGATCCATGGAGAAGAAGGCGCCAAAATAATCAGATACTGTATCATCAGAGTCCAAACAACACCTTCTCTCGGGATTCGGGCAGATAGAAAATGGAAGTTTTTGGGGAACATATTTGTGTTTTTTTCCAGTTCTTCTGCACTGCACAAACTTGATGCCACGCTATAATGACTGTCAGGCGTACACTCCGGATCCATAGCACCATGGATACTGCGGGAATGCTGCTGCTGCTCTCCCTGATGTTGCTGTTGGCTGACTGCTTTTGCTTTGAGCCTCCGGTAACTGTTCACTCCCACACGAGTCGCATTCGACGACGACCTCTGGAGGAACCGCAAATACAGTTGTACCTTTGGGTTGGAGGAACCGCAGAACACTGTGAAGTGAGAATCTTCTCACAGCTTTTCTGATCTAGCGACAAAATAGAACTTTGTTCCAAATCTGGAATCGTCTTGAGATTATTTTCCCAGCTCTCTTCGCCCGCTGTGGCAACCATTCGTCGAACCAGTCTGAGGTACAAGAGGACTCGTGGCGGGAACGAAAAGCGCGAGGGTCACATTTCACGTCCGTCTTCGCCAAGATACGACTGATCGATTAGTTGTGCCGTCGGATTAGCACTCTTCTCTTCACAGGAAGTGGAGCCACCTGGAACCCCTCGTTCCCTGCGTCAAACACTCGACTCGAGTTCGCGACGCGACGTTCTCTTGAAGTGACGAGACCCTCAGCGAGTCGTCACCTCGAAATTGATCGAAGCAGCAGCCCGAATTATAGCAGTGGCGTACAGCATACCTGCATGAGTTCTTTTTCGACCATCGAAAATCGCAGTATCAGCATGAGCGCTCGCACCAACAGTGCAAGGAGCATGGGCTTCAGTCAACAGGCAGAGGGCGACGACAGTGCGTCTCTCAGTGCAAGAATTCGTAGAAACCCGAGTTTTTGGGAGTTTTCGTCTCGTGAACCCGCGTACAGTACTTCCCCGAAGAGCACTCTACGTCACCGCACCGAGTCGCGGCTACAGATGTGGAATCGCGCTACAGCCGCGCCCTCCCGGATGTCCCGAACCTCCCGCAGCAATTCCGAAAAGCTTAACGGGACTGCGTTTAGCGAGACAAAGTCCCGTCGGTCCGGATTACGGATGATGCCGAGAGAGGGGGACGGTCAGGCACCGCTTCGCCGATCATTCAGCCTGCCCGCGCCACGGCTGAAGGCGTCGTTTTGCCCGGCGGAAGCTTCCCCTGTGCGGACTCTAAGCGACCCGTGCCGCGTACCTTCCGCGCTCCTGGAGGCCGCGGATCGTCGGACAAAGACCCGCGCAAAGCTTCCGCGATCGCACAGCGCGCACGTGCTAGGGGCACCCGGGGTTGATGAGCAATGGCGGCAAGCTATGTGTCGGGTGATCTACGTCAGGCCGGGCGGCGCATGCACGGGTTCGAGGTTCGAAGCGCCGGGGCATAGGTCCGCGGGCGAAAGCCCACGTGGCGTGGACTCGCAAGATTCGCAGCGATCACCGGCTGACGTTGTGCGTCAACGAGCTGAAGATGCGGCGGCGCGGGATTGTAGGGGAAGTGCGGGAAGAGAGGGAGGTTTGAGGACAGGGGTCGGGTTCACTGCGCAAAAGCAGGCCGCGGAGGCTGGGATTGGTTTCGGTGCAGCAGAGCGGTCGATGGCGCGGGTAACAAGGAGTGCAGCGGAAAATATGCAGCGTGTGGGAAGCCCGATGAATCCTGGGCGGGCTTACGCCCACCAATATGGTGGCAATTTTCCGGGTAACGCACTTAGAAAACCAGGAACGTTGCAGCAGTGGGAACGGCAGCAGCAGCATCAATATAGGGGTCAGCAGCAGCAAGTGAACGCGGGAAGCTATTCTGTGTTCGAGTGGGCTGCGCAACGGAGAATCACAGCACGACGGGTCGCAGCTAATTAGTGAAACTCACAGCTCTTGAGAGTTGATTTGCGCTACAAGGGCTGAATTGCATGGTGGTATCTAGCCAGATCCAGATTTTTATATAGAATAGAGAGCTACGTATATGCTCAGTACTGTAACAGATTGTTAAGGATATTAAATAAGATACTTATAATACACCCTCAGTTGATCTGACAGACCTGGTTGGGTTGCTGCGGCTCGTCAGTGCGCGGGTTCATTCATGGATTTGCACGTCAGGTGACTTTCGTTCACTTATAATTTCGTTCACTTCGCCACATTTCAGAATGCGGGGGAAGTCCCCCAATTGCGTTCTATATGGTTTCGCACCAGGACCTTCGAGAAACCGGGCACCTGTACTTCTCGAACCAAAACGAGATGGATTCGGGTCAAGCGATTTCCTTTCGCGATATTTCCTACCCTCGTTCGGGGTCCGGTAACCAGAAGCTGCGTACAATCATCTCAGCCACATGATATGCATCCCTTCCCCCACCACCAGTTACAGGCTTCAACCCAACAATACCAGTTGCTGGAGGATCATCCATCCATGGATGTTGCCGGAAATCTGATGCCTGACCTAGGTAATCTCTTCTATCCCATGACTGCTGTGATTCGGTCACATTTCTAAATTCAAGTCGTCCTGCTGTTGTCAGACCGAGAAGTGTTTCCAGTTCCTAGCGGAGTGTTAGACTAGAAAAACTTCTGACGGCTTCCCATGTGAGAGTTATCCAGTTAGTTGGCCTTGGAGTGGCGATTCAGAGACGACTGAGGTTTCTTTTTTCTTTTTTTTTTTCCAGGAACGTAAGCTGACTGATAGGAGTCTGGATTGTCGTCGGCCGAGAAGCGGATTTCTTGACGATTCTAACGTTTCACGGTAGTCCCTCCTCCTTCGTCGGTCTATGCAGTTATTAAGCGTTTGTGAGGGACTACGTAGAGAGAAAATTATTGACGTTTAGGTAAGCAACCGCGGGTAAATTTTAGCGAGAACTTTAGTCGTCAGCGCATGTGCTCTCTGGATGAGTGATAAGTGTTTTCGACTTATCTTGCTAGAGCCCTTTGGAAGCATCAGGTGGATAAGGCCTTTTGGGAATCGGAAACTTGGACAAAATCAGCTGGAAAAAATTCCTTTAACATCCTATTCAGATGGCAGATTTGGAGCGCCGTAACAAGCTAGAAGAGCTGATTCGACAGAAGAACAAAGGCCGACCAGGATCATCAAGATACGGCGACGACGACGAAGACGATGCGGGTGGTTACCACAATCATCAGTATGGTTACGACGACGACGACTTTATAGACGATGACGATGGCGATGGTTACGGCGATGGTTACCCGGATAAACGCGGAGGGCGAGGAGGAGGAGGAGGAGGTGGAGGAAGAGGGGGGACCGGTAGCGGGAGGGCTTATGGCGGGAGTGATAGGAGAGAGCGGGACGAGTATGACGGTTACGGGAATGGTCGCGCCGAGAGAGGTGGTCGAGGAGACGGACCCTCGCATGGCAGTGCGGATCCGAAGACGAACGGAAGGTTCGTCTCCCCCGGATAGACCAGGGAGTGGAATTGGTTGACGAGGAGCACCGTACGCGTGTTTTTTTTTTTTTTTTTTTTTTTTTGAAATATATATATATATATAAATATATATATGAGGCTTCGTTTTCTTGTTTTTCTTACTACGAAGTCGAACCTTAAGGGAGGTACAGGCGCACGATGCTCCTTCTCATCGTTTCTGATTGCGCGTATATTTTCACTTCGATCCTCTCTCAAATTTCGTTTGCGTCGTCATAAAACGTTCTAATCTTCAAAACCCTTCGCTCCTTTCGTTTGATCCCTCCCCTTTGATCGCTCCGCTGCTTCCCTTGTTTAAATCCCCTCCCACTCTGCAACAAGTGGGGGTCGTTCTTTGGGCCTCAGAATGTGGCGATCGCCGAGACGGTGATTTCTGAGTCGACTCTCCTCGTTCCAGTGTGAAACCCCGTTGCTCCCACTCTGCAGCAACTGGGGGTCCTTTCTCAGGCCTCAGAAGGTGGCGATCGCCAAGACGGTGTTTTTTAGCCGACTCAAAAGTTGCCTCGTTCTGTTCCTTTTGGCCTGCAGCAACTGGGGGTCGTTCTTCGGGCCTTCGAAGGTGGCCATCGCCAAGACGGTGGTGGACGCGGAGCGGATCCGACGAGAAGCTCAGGCGATGGCGGCTCGCGAGGCGCAGCGGAAACGCGAGGTGAGCATTTCAGTAGGCTGCTTGTAACTCTGGAAAGTTGGCTCGTCAGCAGGCTCGTCAGTAGGCTTTCTAACCGGTCCAGCGGTAAGCTTCTCAGCAGAAGGCCGAGGTAGGGCATCAGTCTCTTCTTTGGGCACGGGGGTCCATCAGAGGTGGCATGAGCGAAGGCGTCAGCGTCACAGTAAGCGCAACAGCCTGAAGCGAGAGACGGTCAATTCCGATGGTTGTCCCCATTGCCTGTGTGTGCCTGTTGCCTGTGTGAGCCTGTTGCCTCTCATTTGTGTGCCTTGTGCATTGCGTGTGGGTGGCCTGGCGCTGGCAGGAGGCGGAGAAGGCACGCAGTGGCAGCAAGGCGAGTGCGGCAGGGAGGCCTGGAGCGGCGAAGAAGGCACCAGAGACAGCTTACCGGGACGACAGGAGGGCGCTCCTTGCCGAGGTGAGTGAGGTTGAGAGGTGTTTATTGCGGTTCCATGAGAAGCGGGTCGAGTACCGAGTGTGGACCAGGTCGATTACTGAGTCATGTCATTCCCTGCCGCCCCTTGTCACCCCGTTCCACCCTTTGTCATTCCCTGCCGCCCCTTGTCACCCCGTTCCACCCCTTGTCACCCCGTTCCACCCCTTGTCACCCCGTTCCACCCCTTGTCACCCCGTTCCACCCCTTGTCATTCCCTGCCGCCCCTTGGTATCCTCCTCCACCTCGTGCCATTCCACTGCTCCTTCTTTCAGGAGGAGGCGAAACGCCGGCGACTCAAGGAGAATCGGGACTTCTCCTTCCTCTTCTCAGATTCCAAGCAGAAACCACCTCCCGCCCGATCCCAGATCACCCCTCCTAGACCGCACACAGCCCCTTCTCGATCTCTCAGTACCCCTCCGCTTTCCAAGGACCAGTTTAGAGACCAGCCACGTCAGCAGCAGCCTCCTGGCCAATCGCACGCTGCCAAGTCTGCGAAACCTCTGCCTGGTCGGCCGATGGCTTCTGCCGGACCGGACGGGCAGGTTCGGCGACCGGTGACTTCCGCCGGGCCAGACGCGAGGGTTCGGAATGAGGGCGGGGGAAGGAGGGTGGAAGAGGCTCGGGACGTGGGGGGGCGGTGGGATGAGAGGGATAGGGGGAGGGAGAAGGAGAGGGAGAGGGGGATGGAGATGGAGAGGGAAAGGGATAGGGAGAGGCTGAAGAATGATGGGATGGGGAGAATGCGGAATGAGAGCATTTCGCACGGGAGTGGGCACTACCATTCGCATAAAGATGGACACAACAGCAGGCACAGCGATAGAGACCACGACAGACACAAAGAGAGTCACACGGACAGGCACACCGACAGGCACAATGAGAGGCACAGAGAAGCACAGAAAGACGCCTACAGAGAGGGGCAAAGAGAGCCTTACAGGGACTCGCTCAAAGACAGGAATGGAGTGAAGGAGCGCGATGTTCCCAGGGACAGGGACGGGCAGAGGGACAGGGGCATGCAAAGGGATGGAGAGGGGTACCGAGGGGCGGGCAGCATCGGCCACAGCAGCGGCAGTGCCCAGCAGCAACGGCCTTTGAACAGAGCAGCTGGTGCTGGTGGTGGTGCTGGTGGAATGGGGGCCGCGGGTGGGGCAGAGGAGTCGTGAGGCCAGGGGATGGCAGAGGGGCGGCAGGTGTGGGAGGGGTGGGTGGGAGAGGGGGAGGAGGGGCGGTGGGAGGGGCAGGGAGAGGAGGAGGGGGTGGTGGAATGGGAGGGAGCGGGAGGATAGGGATAGGGGACATTGTTCGAAGGGAGGGCGACGATAGGCGGTTGGATGGGCGGGATAAAACGGACAGAGGGGCACATGGGGCGTATGGGATGAGTGGGAGAGGTGGCGGCTATGACGATCGGCCTATCAAGGCATGTTCCCTGCATTCACAGTCCACTTGATTTTGCTCATTGTTCTCACTCAATCCTGCCCCCTTACTCCCTTCTTCCACTCCATCCACTCATTTCCCAAATCTTTGGATTCTTGCCTCAATCCACTCACTCAGCCTTGCTCTGCTCACGACTTTATTATTCTTTCCTCCTTCCCTTTTTCCAATCTAAACTCCCCTCTCCCCTCTCATCTCCCCTCTGATCTCCCCGCTCATCTCCCCTCAACCCTTTCCCCACCCCCGCCTTTCCCCCATACTCCCCTCTACCCTCTTATTCCCCCTCGCATCTATCCCCACCCCTCCACCCCCCTCGCCTCTTCCTTTTCTTCCCGTACTGTTGCTCCTCTGTTCCCTGCAGAAGCCACAGCCAGGTTCTGCCCCTCCCTACCGCACCCAACCACCCTCTATGTCAAACAAGCCTCTTGGTTCTGCTCCGGCCAGACCTGCTGGCATGGCTCGGCCCAAACCAGGGCTGGAGGTTCAGAGAGATCTGGGTCGGATGGGGATACAGAGAGAAGCAGATAGAGGCTTGCCAAGGAGGGATGGAGAGAGGATGGGGGGGAGGGGTGGGGGCGAGAGGATGGGAGGCAGGTTTGGAGGGAGGGGAGGAGGGGAGAGGGGAGCAGGAGGAAGGGGTTTGCCAGCTAAGCGGAGGAGAGAGGAGGAAGACGATGAGGAGGAGGAAGACAATTCGTTTGTGGTGGGGAGTGATGAGGACGAGGAGGAGTATGGGCGGAGGGGACGGAGAGGAGGAGGATTGTTGGGTAGTTCCATTCTAAGCATGTTCAGGTATGAATGGGTTGAAAGGGGTATGCCATGTTCAGGTATGGCTGATAGGGCACGTCATGGGTAGGTGCTCTGCTCTGTACGCATAATTGACTAGTAATGTCTTTCCTCTTTCAGTTAATCCACTTGGAAAGTACTTGGTGCTTTGCTCTTTTCATCTCTCTTTCTCTCTCTTGCCCTCTCCCATTTTTCGCCCCCATTCTCCCAGGCGCAACCACAGGGAGAGCCACATGAGACAGGCATATGACAGCGATGACCATTGGCCTTTATTCCCTTTCTTCCCCCTTCCTTCCCCTCTCTGCCAACTTTCCCATGGGCCCTCTCTCGCTCTCGCCTCCCCCCCTCCCTCGCAGGCGCAACCACAGGGAGAACCACATGGGGCCGGCGTATGACAGCGATGACTGTTGACCTTCGTTACCTTTCTCCCCCTTTCCCTCCCCACTCCACCGCCTCCCCTGCCCCCCCTGTCTCTTCCTCTCCCAGGCGCAACCACAGGGAGAACCACATGGGGCCGGCACATGACAGCGATGACGACGACAACATGGAGGTTGGGTTCAGCCAGCTGATGGCGGAAGAAAGGAGAAGGTAAGATTTGGTTGTTGACCTGTGGGTCGACTCAAAGGGCACGTGGCTGTGACGTGACGACGACAACATGGAGGTTGGGTTCAGCCAGCTGATGGCGGAGGGGAGACCAAGGTGAGAGAGAGAGGTTTGAGTGAGTTCTTGGTTGGCTAAAGCATGTGAGCGATTCATGGGACTTGTGAGTCGACTCACAAGCGATGATGATGATGAGGATGATGAGGATGAAGATGCCACCATGGAAGTTGGGTTCAGCCAGCTGATGGCGGAGGAGAGGAGAAGGTGAGAGATCTGATCCAATGGGGGTTGAAAGAACTGAGAAATGCATTTCAACGGGAGGAGAGGGAGCGACAGGTTTCATCCAGTTGGAAGAGTGGAGGTGAGAGAGATCAGGTTGGGTAAATCCTTGTGTATCTCCCTCTTCTCCTCTTTGTCTACCCCTCTGCCTTCCCTCTATCGACTAAATTTCTGTGTCTTGTTTGTGTCGCTAGTCTCTCGGCCTTGTCTGTGTGACACCTCTTCGTGGTGCTTGTGTCTCCTCATCCTCATCCTCATCCTCATCCTCATCCTATGCAGTGCTCTGATTGCTCGAAAAGAGGACGAGAGGGAGGCCGAGCTATTAGCAAGGGAGGAGGAAGAGAGGGCAAGGAGGAAGAAGGCCAAAAAATGGGCAGGAACTGAGTCACGGGCATTTCGCATTGTGGGGTTTTGAATACGAGAAAAAAGGCGTGGGAAATGGGAACATTTTGAGCCGTAACGACGTTGAGAGCCTTCAAAACAAGGAGAAAATCGGCTACCGGATACTTTTTGAGCACTAAAGTGAGGAAGCAAGCAATGAAGATGGGCCCGCTTGGTGTGGGCAAGGGTGGAGGATTGATGCTTGGTGAAAAGAGGGGGAAGGTAAAGAAAATGGGCAACCACGTCCAGGTTAAGGGTGTGTTGAAAATATGTCAAAATCACCATGACCACTATCAATATATGTGCTACTCCAGTAGTAGTGTTGTAAACATTCGCTATGGGTAAAATTTCTGGGGCATATTGGGTGATTGGGGTGAGGAGGATGAAGAAAGTAGCCGTGAAATTCCTTACCAAAGATACCTTCCCACTGGGGGGTGTGCGAGGTGCGATTTCACACCTAACTAGACTCGATTTGTTTGGCTAAAAGGGAGGGTTGAGCAGTCGACTTCAGATCCCGACACCCTGGCACGGGAACTACGTGTGGCTAAATGAAGAGAGGGGAAACAAAAGCTGTACTGTACTGTACGTAGACCTATGATCGGACAGCTGTTGCGCAGTTTCCAACCGCGAGTACCCCTTTTGATAGATTTTGTAAGAAACGAGCAGTCGTATGCAATCTTGCGTTTTTATCTTCAAACGGGATTTGACGGGAGCGGTTGTGTACCTGCTGTGCGGTCGAGATTTCTTGACAATTTCCTCTCAGTTTTGGAACTCCGATGCGACCTTCGGAAGCTCCAGAAGCACCATAGGTACGGCAGTGTAGTCTGTTAATTGTGGACCCAACCAGCTGTCGGAGTTGAACACCCCTACAGAATGGGTAGTACGGGATGGGGCAAATTGAAAAAGATAAGGAGTCGACACGCCAACGGCAGTTGAGTGGACACGTGCGTTCCATGGTGCACAAGTCCTCCAACCTTCGCTGCTCAGTTCGCCACCCAAATCTGCACTCGACGACGCTTGGTGGGTAACGTGGGCCCTTCTCTGCCTCCTCCGAAATGAGTTGAATGTTCTTCGGCATAATTCGCTGATGGTTACCATCATTGCAAGCCGAAAGGCAGACCAACAGAAATGAGTGCACCACAGTGGAAGGTGCTACCAACCAAGCCCCCACTTTTTTCCAGCTGTATGCGTGGAAGACACTGCGGGAGACTGACAGCCGCTTTCCAGCACACAGCTGTGAGCTTTATTTAGGAAGCGTAAGCTTCATAGATCCGCAGGAAGCGTAAGGTCTCGTGCCTTAATTGCAAGTCTCGTCTCCCACACCTAATTTGCAAGTCTTGTCCCACGCACCTAATTTGCAATTCGCACAAGATGTGTTCGTCGTCTAACCGCGCCGATCACCATGCTCCCGTTTTTTTCATCGAGTCATGTCAAGCTCCCGCCGATCCCGCTGCTGCTGCTGCTGCTACTGATCCCAACAAGGCGAGCCCCGCTCGCTTTTCCCGCCTCGATACCCGACTCGAGATGTGGAACCGTGCGACAGCCGGCGACAGCAGCGCCTCGGCCAACGGCTCTGTGAACACCCGAAACAGCCTACGGCGTGGCGTGCGATCCCTCAGCAGTCCCGCGCTAGACTCAGCAACAGCCCCCCCATCGACCTTGTCGCGGCGCCGCCGTTCCATCGACGAAGCTCGCGTGGCCGCAGCATCATGCGCCGCCACAGTTGGCGGCGCGGCGTCACGAGAATCTTCCACGCAACTACCGCCGCAACCAAAGCCGTACTCACCGACTACCGCGTATGACGTGGCGCGTCCCGCGGTTCACCGTGCAAGCTCAGACTCATACCTTGCGAGAAACGCGGTTTTCGGGGCGGCGGTTTTTCCGCTTGAGCTTCCTCGTGTCGCGAGCACGAGCAATGCAGCGGCTAGCTCGCCGCAGGGCTCGGCGCAGCGTCACGCCGCGCGGATTGCGTCGCCGATAATCAGTCCCACATCGTCTACTGATAGTACTACTCCTAGAAGCGACGAGTGCCGACGCGACGACTCGTCAGACGATCGGCTGCTGTCGGTGTTCACATGGGCGACTCAACAACGCATCGCTTCGCGCCGCCGATTATCGTCTAGCGGGCTCGACGTGCGATGACTCGTTTCATCGTCACGAGCGTCCCCGTTGACACACTTCATGGCGGCTCGCTCGAAACAATGCCCTGCGGGACTGCTAGCGTCTTCGACTCGGATTGAACGCGTATATAATTACCCGCCTTCCCGGTATGCGTGCCTCTCTTCTCGAGGCGCCTCATAGCAAGTGTTCAGGTCGGAGTCGCGCGTGCATCTAAAAGCCCTGCCCCAGCGGCGATGCGTGCCTTTTCTGGCGAACGCTCGCGTCGCATCGAGACGCGATCGCCGGTTGTGGATCGGCGAAGTTAAGTTTCAAAACGTTGAAGTGTGCCGGTCGCAGAAATGATGCTGCGATGACGGACGAAGATGCTGCACTGCGATGCGACGGTAGGTGATGCTGGGACAGCGGGCGTGCCAAGATGGGGATTTTTTCCCTCTGTTCAACAGCTCGTGTATCAAGTTTGGAGCGGGAAAATGTCGATGTTATTATATTGTCACTACCTGTGTTAGAGATATCTTGCTAGCAAAACGACTTATAAAGCGTACAACATTGCCAGCTGCTTCTTCCCACCACCACCTCCATCCAATTTTCCTCCCTGAGAAAAGAGGGGGGAAACCAGAGACCGTAGAATACCCCAAAACTTGGTCAGCGCAAAGTGCGGCACCTGCACTGCCGAAAAGTGCTCCGCGTGTCGGGGAAACCGAGGCAAACCCCAGGACGTGGATTTTGCCCGTCCTTCCTCCCATTCCCATCTATTTGGGTTTTTACCTTGTAATATTTCCGTTCGGCCATCATGGCTCATGCGGCCCTCAGCAACGCGGTCTCGAAACCTCCACTTTTCGCTAAAGATCTTCCTCGATTGATTCGACGCGATAGCAAGTTTCCAGCCGCTCGCAATGTTTGTCAGCTTCCCAGCTGCGATGCTTCCTCGAACTTGCTTCTTCGAACCGGGAGCAAGCCAGGATCTTTTAATTTTCGGTCCGTTTCTCCTGTCAATCACGGTCGTAGAGAGTCTCGGCTATCCCGCCGCAATCGGCGCTCGTATGACGTGGCAGCTAGGATGTCCGACGAGGACGCGCCTTCCGCTGACACCTCGACGGCCGCGACGACCGCGGCTGCCGCAACTCGCGCCGCGAGCGCCGGAGACGCCGCGAATGGCGGCGACGCGAGCGTGGAAGTTCTAGGAAGCAACTCGCGGCGCGTGAGCGCGCGCGTCGTGGTTCCCGCGAGTGCTGACGTGGTGTGGGGCGTGCTGACAGACTATGAGCGGCTCGCGGATTTTATCCCCTCCCTGGCGACCAATCAGATGCTGCAGCGCCGAAGCAACGGAGCCAGGCTGCTGCAGGTACGAACTGATCGAGGTTTGAGAAAATGCCTGTAACGGGGATGGTAATGTTGTTCAGGTGAGCATCAAGTTTATTCCCTCCACCTCCCCCTTCTTCCCTCACTTCCCTTCTCCCCTCCCTTGTGCATTCTGTTCGTTGGGGCAAGGTGTGTCATCATTGCAATGGGGTTGCTGTGCGAGCCAGGGTGGTACTTGGGGACGCGAGTCCAATAATATCATATCATATCATATCGTCAGACCTGCATGCTTCCAGTGTCCATCTTCCCGGTCTATCCATCCCTTTCTTCCGTTCTATCCATCCCTTTCTTCCCGTTCTATCCATCCCTTTCTTCCCATTCTATCCATCCCTTTCTTCCCATTCTATCCATCCCTTTCTTCCCATTGTATCCATCCCTCCCCCCTGCTCGTGCCTCACTGATGCATTCACAGGTGGGTGGACATAAGGCCTCGAGCTAGCGTGACGAGGAGAATGAGGCCAGCAATATCAGACCATATCATATGATACTATATCATATCCTAATCTATACTTCCGATCGTATCTTATCTTATCCTGTCAGGTGTGCAAGCAGGACGTGGCAATGGTCATAAGGTTTTGGGTCAAGGTTGTTGTGGACACAGCGCTAGCAAAACCGTATCATCATATCATATCCTAACGCAATGAGTAATATCATATCATATCCTAACGCAATGAGTAATATCATATCGTATCCTTTACAGGTGGGCGAGCAGGACGTGGCGATGGGCATCAAGTTCCGAGCCAAGGTGGTGGTGGATGTGAGACCAGCAGTATCATAGCAAAGTATATCATATATTGTCCTCTCGCAGGTGGGCGAGCAGGACGTGGCGATGGGCATCAAGTTCCGGGCCAAGGTGGTGGTGGATGTGGAGGAGGGGGAGGACGAGCGCTTGCCCCGTAGCAGCAGCAGCGATGGCAGCAGCGGCAGCGGCGGCGGCAACAGCAGCAGCAGCAGCAGCAGCAGCAGTGGGGAGGAGAGTGATGCTGGGATTGGCGGGGTGGGTGGCAGCATGAGGAGGCGCCGCATTCACTTCAAGATGGTGGAGGGCGACTTTCAAAAGTTTGTCGGCGTGTGGACTCTGGAGGAACAGGTGAGCATTGTGCCGATCTGGTCAGCTGACAGCTGCTTCTATCTCTGAGCCATTTTTTTTCCCTCATGTCTCCGCTCATGCCTCTCACCGCGTTCACTTCAAGATGGTGGAGGGCGACTTTCAAAAGTTTGTCGGCGTGTGGACTCTGGAAGAACAGGTGGGAACACGCTCATCTGATGAATATTCTTCTGAGAGCTCTTAGAATCCTTTTCCTTTCCCTCGCTTCGCCCTTGCCCCTCGCTGCATACTCTTCAAAGCAATGGAAGGCTGATTTCAAGCACTTTCGAGAAACAATCCCACTCCCTCTATGTCGCCCTTTCAATTGCCTCCCCTTGTTTCCAGCTCATATACCTGCATTTCTGTTTCCCCGCCCTCTCTTACTTGGTTGAGCTGGCCCCAAATCTGATTTTCTGAGAATTCAAATCAACGAGCCCTCCTCGCCCTCTCCCTCCACTCCCCTTCTCCTTCCCCCTTTCAGCTGCCCAGCTCCTCCTCCGGCCCCACAACCCTCTCATACTCGGTTGAGCTGACTCCACACTTCTGGCTGCCTGTGGCCTTAGTGGAAGGGCGGATATCGAAGGAGATTAAAGCCAACCTAGCAGGGGTCAGACAGGAGGCTTACAGGAGGATTCAAGTGGCATTGTCGCAAGTGTGAGGGCTGTATGGGGACTTCTAGCTGATTAAACAAGACTGATGACCTGGGATGCTTCAGTGGTAAATTTCTTAGTATGGCTCATGATTCACGATTCTTTCGGCAGCAGACTTCAATACGGTTAGTTAAATGAACATATGATGCAAAACGGGAGGCTATACTTGAGGGTTCAGTGTCTATCTTATGTTGGAATCTGGAAAAGAGAGATTCATTGTCGGTAATTGTCCAAAGCTGGTAGTTGGAAACCATGTCGTTTTTTGTTGTCATTGAGTTATCCATATGTAGTCGTTTTCAAGATATCTTTTACCTACCAATAGAGTTGGAAGGTCAAGCTTGAGCTTCCTAATACGAGGATTTATCGTAAACAAAGTTCTGTAACATGTGTCGTTACTTCTGTTGGCGAAAGCGCTTTTCGCTCTTCCTTTTCTGCCGATTCTCGTTTGAAGGTCCCAACGGAGTCGGCTTTGCCTGGGCGGCTCGATCACTCTCAATCACGGCGCATCGCGTCCGTTTCAAGTCAATTGAATCACAATGAGGGCAGCATTATCGAAGGAGCACAACATCGAAAGACGGTCAGCCAATCACAACAACGACCCCCACATTTCGTCCTCGCTCTCTCGTAAAAATTTATCTTCCCGAGCCGCACGTCGTGATAGGGGCTGAAGCGATACTTCTTTGCTCCTGCGTGCGTTCGCCTTGGACTGGGTTGGCCAGGTGCTTGTGCTGGGGGGGCGGGCTTTGGTTGGGCTGGTTTTCTCCGCCCTGGGTGCCGGTGCGGCCTCGCGATCTGGGCCGTGGGCTGTGCACTCTGGTTGGTTGGTTGGAGAGGAAGGGCAATCTCGCTCGATTACACGCTCCGCGAGTACGCAGTCAGGCACGCGACTGTCATCTTGCCGACAACTTATAAAGTGCATTCTTTAGGTCAACGTGTCCGGTGACCCGCCACTTCGTCTCAGTTACGCTACCTTAGGCGAGCAATTAGACTGCTAACTATTAACCCTGATGTTATCCCTGTTCCAGCCGAGCGTCCTCCTTTCTAAGAAAACGAGAGCTCTGCTTGGCAAACATACATTTTCCACTTTTAGGGCTTGGTTTCCGATGGGGGCTCCCAGTCTCCCGGCGATATTACCGCTACTACTGATCCTGGTGATATACCATTTCACGCATGGCGCCGCCGCTTCGGCGCAAAATGTACCTGTCACCGCCAATTATGTCGGTGGCGGCACAGGCGTGGCCACTAACGAGTCTCAGCCATACGAGGACTGGAGCGGGATGTCTTTAATGGACCTGGAGGCCGCCGCCAAAGCCGCCGCAAGCGCCGCTGCGGAGGCCGAGTCCGCGTCAGCGCCAAACTCGTCTGCGGCCGGCGGGCGCGATTCAGAGGAAGGGGATGCCGATGGCGGGTTGCGCCGGAGCCTCGCGTGAGTACCTGCACAATAACGAGTACACGGTGCATACTGAGCATTACGACTTCGCCTTTCGCTTATTTGGTGCCAAGTACAGCACAGCACTGCCACTCGTTCTCCTCTCTGCCCCCAAGTGCATGTACAGGTCGCACATCTCATCCCCCGCCGCTTTCCCTCTGCTTTCCAACCCTCCGCAGCGTCAGCTCCGCGCTAAGCCCACTCGCGTCCGCGTGGCACAGCCTCCTGATCGCGCAATACCTGAGTCGAACCACGGCGTGCGGCGCAACGCTAACGCGCGCGTGCCGCGCGCTGCAGATGGCGGACAGCCTCGTGAAGTCGGGCAAGCCGGGGGATGCCGTCGCGCAGACCAAGCTGGCGGGGTTGCTCGCACGCGTACGTGCTAGGGAAGCGAGTTGTGCATTACGGCTTTTTGCTTGTTGTTTTCCCGTCTGTTTTTGTGGCTTTTGGAGTCGCTAAAGCAAATAATCCACGCATGTGTGTGTGCGGTGGTTGTAGGCATGCGCGGGGAGCGTCCCGGCGAACGCGGCGAAGCAAATACGCCTCGCCCTACCGCAAATAAACCTCGGGCAGAATGCTCTTTTGGCTGGTGGGTCGAAATCCGTCCGCCCCTCGAGTACGAGCGGGAAGCGATCCAGCTCGTCCGGGAAAAGAACGACTTCGACTGGCAGGAAGAAGGGAGGGCACAAGTGGAAGGATACGCCTGCCACGAAGAACCGTAAAAAGGGTGGGCATAAGTACAAGGATACCCCAGCCACGAGCAAACGCGTGAAGGGGGGGCACAAGTACAAGCGGGGCACGAGGAGACGCGGTTCGCGAAGGGGGCGACGCTCACGAAGCGGTTCGCGAAAGAGCGGAAGTTCTTCGAAGGCGCCTGCGAAGAAGGATGGCGATATCGGCTGGTTGGGACACAACGACGTTGCGCAGGGGATAATGCAGTGGCTGCCGTATGGTAACCCGATCGACGACTGCTGGATGGGTCCCAACTGGCAAGCGACCCCGACGAAATTGGCGAGCTGCGTCGAGGGTTACGCGACGGGAACCACTGGCGGCGCGAACGGGCGCATCTACCACGTGACGTCGAATCAGGACGATCGGATCAACCCCAAGCCCGGCACACTGCGATACGGCGCGACCCGGAAGGAGCCGCTGTGGATTGTCTTCGATGGCGATTTCGACTTTACCGGGTTGGAGGCGGAAATTATCGTGTATAACGACAAGACGGTGGACGCGCGCGGGCGAAAAGTGACGATGGGTAACGGGCCGTGCATGGCCATCGAGTTTTCGCACAATGTCATCGTGCACGGCATGGCGTTCAAGAACTGCAAGAACCGAGTGTAAGTGGTGTAGCCCGGTGTTGTTCCGTCCTTGTGAATTCGTAACATCACTCTCTCTTCCCTTGCGCAACGTCATCGTGCACAGCATGTTGTTCAAAAAATGAAAAGGACATCGTGTACGCAACGCAGCCTCGGTGTTCTCAAAATTGTGCAGATGAGGCGCCGTTACCGCTGTTGAGAAGTGCTAAAAGCACTGCCTTAATTACCCTCGCTTACTCTGCTATCTCCTCCCTCTTCCCTCCCCTCATTGCTAACAGAGGTGGTATTTCGCTGACCACGGGCCCGGACAATACAGTGAGCGGGCGGAATTACCTTAACGGGTACGGGCTGTACATCTACGCGTCGCACCACGTGTGGGTGGACCACTGCTCGTTCGACTACGCGGATGACACCCACATTGATATTGTCGCGGCCAGCACTGCCATCACCGTCTCCAACTGCTACTTCACAAATCAGGATAAGGTGAGAATGCGCTTGTGGAATGAGTAGCAGTGCTACTGTAGCACTGGAGGGTTACAGACAAATGCAGACAGCCACATGAACATTCCCCTTCCTCCCTTCCCTCCCTCCCCTCTTCCCTCCCCTCTTTCCCAGGTCATCTTGATGGGGCATGATGACACGTACAGTGCTGACCGTAACATGCGTGTAACTGTCATGCTGAACAAGTTCGGCCCGAACCTGTCGGAGCGCCTGCCTCGGGGCAGGTTTGGGCAGTTCCATGTGCTGAACAACTACTACCCAAATGGGTGGGGTATCTATGCAATTGGAGGCAGCGCCGACCCGACGTTTCTGAGCGAGGGGAACTATTTTGTGGCGAATGACAAGCCATTCCTCAAGGAGGTAGGTTGCTCTTCACACCATTCTTGAGCAGAGCATGCTTGATGATATCAGCTCTTCTGAAGCTCTCGGCCATGTTCCTGAAGTTTGCCTCTTCACTCTGCTGTGTGCTTGTTCTCTACTGTGGTGCTGTGTCTTTGCTGCGTCTGCCTCTATTTTTATGCGTCAGGTAACGAAGCACAACATAGCAGCAGGGCAGTCCACGTACATGAGCTGGGACTGGCAGTCTGTAGGTGACCACTTTGAGAACGGGGCCTTCTTCACCAAGAGTGGGTCGTCGGGCTATAAACCTTCTTACTCTTACAAAGCACTTAGTGCTCTAGAGGTGCCACGTGCAACCAATCGTGCTGGCCCTATCGGACAATAGGGTGGCTTTTTACTTGGTGCTGCTAACTTCAACTGGTAGGTGGGGATTGTTGATGGTGACATGTGCGATGCAACTTCTGAAGTTTAGGGTGAGCTTCAGGAACCTGACAACTAAGAGCTAGTTTAGGGGCGTAATAGCATCTAGTGATGCAAGGGTGTAATGCTATGGTTATGCTATTGGAGGGACAGGGGTATGATTGGCATGGTGTAAGGCTTGTAGGATGTTGCTGGAGGTGCTGTACTATTGTGGTTGATGAGTATATATATATTTTTTATGTTTCAGAAAATCTTAACTGGATCGTTGAATATATAGATGTGCAACAGAACAGCGACGTATCTGTGCTTTCGTTTCTAGCACACAACCATGTCCGTCGGATTCGGGTGTCCTCGGCAATCCCGAGGCACCTAAAGCAAATTTCCGTCCCGCCTTCCGTCAAAACCTGCCGCATTACCTGTCACACGCCCTATCTGCAGCAATTAATGTTGTGACCAAGGTTTCGTTTGGTCCCTTGTGTTCAGCTTGAGTTGTGACTCTCTCGTGTTTGGGTGGTACCCGTTGTGTTCCCCATCTTGGTAGCAAACCAGGCATATTGTACGCCTGATACGCAACTATTATCACACACGGGAAGAACCTAGGCTTTTCCCAGCAAAAAGGCGTACTTTTATTATTTCGCTTTAACGAGGTCCACCGAGCCTGTTAACCGACTTTGTAGACTCCGTCGGCTGACGATATTTACTGTTGACAGAGTTTTTTAATAGAGATCATTGACGGAGCCTCCTTGCGTAGTCTTTTGACGGAGTCTGGTTTTCGTCATGGGAGCGACGAGGAAGCTACAAGGAGAGATCGACCGAGTGCTTAAGAAGGTCCAAGAAGGGGTAGAAATCTTCGACGGCATATGGAATAAGGTACACACGACGAGCATTTCACACCTTCGAATCTCCGTAGAGTCGTCACCGCTGTTGTCGTCATGCCAAAAAAAAAAATCACTGTCAGTGGTCTTACCCAGCACTTAGCCGGCAGTCCCGGAGCCACCGGTCTCTTTAGGGTTTCGTTGCGGTCGACTTGAACAATGCCAACTCGGTCAGTCCAGTATAGCCGTGGATCATGCTTGAAGAAGATGCCTGCCTGAAGGAAATGCCTGAAACGGCAAATGCTGCTACCACCGTTCCTGCATCGCCAGGCCTTGTTGTATCGCGTCGTAGCTAGGGAGATTGCGAATTGGATATATAATCCTCTGTCAATAAGTTTCTCAGGTTTACGATACGGAGAACGTGAACCACAAGGAGAGGAGATTTGAATCGAGTTACAAGTCGCCTTGTCCGTTTTCATGTATCGTCTTGTCTCAGGTGTACGACACGGAGAACCTGAATCAGAAGGAGAAGTTCGAGGCGGACCTGAAGAAGGAGATCAAGAAGCTGCAGCGGTACCGCGACCAGATCAAGACATGGATCCAGTCCAGCGAAATCAAAGACAAGAAGGTAAAGTGAGGTCTAGCGGTCCTCTGCTGCCTTGTTGATGCGCTCGTGTTTCCTGCTCCCCGCTCCCTTATGCGCTCTGTTCGTGCGCTCCTGCCTAGAGTCCGCCTCCTGCGTTCATAGACGGTACCTGCATTCTCATCTGTCCTCAAGCATCCTCGCGTACTGCTCAGCACAACTTCATGGGATGACGCGCGTACAGGAACGGATTGTGCTGCTGATGAGAGTGTTCCGCTTTTTTGCCACCGGTTGCGTTTCTCAAAATTATATTCAGTGTTCGACCCCCCACACGCTTCCCTTCCCCACCCCTCCCCCCTCCCCACACCCGCACCCACCCCGCAATCTTATTTTTCCCCCCTTCCCCCCACAATCTTTCCCCCAACCCCCCCTCCCCTCCCTCCACCCTCCTCCCTCCCCTGGCTCCCTGGCTGGTAGGCGCTGCTGGATGCGAGGAAGCTGATAGAACGAGAGATGGAGCGGTTCAAAGTGTGCGAGAAAGAGACCAAAACGAAAGCCTTCAGTAAAGAGGGGCTCGGCCAGCAGCCGAAAACGGTACACCGAAACGCGTCTCTCTCTGTGTTCTGTGCAGTTCTGTGCAGTTCTGTGCAGTTCTGTGCAGTTCTGTGCTGCTGTTGTTTTGCTGGTGGGCGTGCTTGTCCCTGGCGTTTGTGCGCTGATTCTGTCTGGTGATGCTCCTGCAGGATCCGAGGGAAAAGGCCAAGTCGGAGTCTCGTGACTGGTTGAATCAGATGGTAAGGCTGACGTGCTTTTGGCGCCTCTGCAGTGCTCTGAACTTCCATACGACTGTTATGGCCCAGATATTACGCCATAGAGACACAGTGGTGTCCGTGTCCGTTTCTCTTCTTTACGTGTGGCACCATCTTCTCAACGTCTTCTCACTCCCTTCTCTCATCTTTAATTCGCGTGGGTCACCCTTCCCTTCCCTCATCCCTTTCCCTTCCCCTGTTCTTCCCCTTCCTCCGCTGGCAGGTGAGCGAATTGGAGTCGCAGATTGATTCGTTCGAGAGCGAAATGGAGGGGCTGCAAGTCAAGAGGGGCAAGCAGCGACCCCCACGGCTGGTAAGCGGCATAAAGCGTAGATCACTCGTTCGAAAATTAGTTTGTTCCATTTGAGGCCCTCAAAACCACCCCCCCAGCCCCTCCCCCGCTTTCATTTCCGCACTTGTTGTCCCTGTCTTCCTTTCCTGTCTGGAGTAGTCAATCACTCGCCTTCCATTTCCTGTACTGTACCCTTCCCCCCCTCCTATCCTGTCTGTGCCTCTGATGCATCTGAAGGCGCACCACACATCAGGCGCCTGGAGATCATTCTGCTTTCCCTCTGTGTGCACTACTAACCCAAACCTCCTCCACTCCACTCCACCCACCGTCTGCCCCAGATGCATCTTGAGGAGTCGATCACGCGGCACAAGGTGCACATCACGCGGCTGGAGATGATTCTGCTCTCTCTGAGTGCACTAACCCAACCCAACGCTCCTCCACTCCTCTCCACTCCTTTCCACCCCACTACCCATGTGCCTCAGATGCATCTAGAGGAGTCGATCACGCGGCACAAGGCGCACATCACGCGGCTGGAGATGATTCTGCGGCTGATGGACAACGACGAGCTGAGCCCCGAGCAGGTCACGGACGTGAAAGACCTCGTGGAGGATTATGTTGAGAGGAACCAGGTGCGTATGGGGCAGGGGGGAGGGAGACAGAGGGAGGGAGGGGGGGGATTGCTGATGGAGGCACAGGGACAATGACTGAGCCCGAGCAGGTCACTGATGTCGAGAGGAACCAGGTGCGGACCCGGGTGGGGTGGGGTTGGGGTGGGGTGAGTGGATGGGAGGGGAGAGCCCCGAGCAGGTCACAGATGTGAAGAACCTCATGGAGGACTACGTTGAGAGGAACCAGGTGAGGAAGATGGTGAAGGAGGGGGTGGCGGTCTAGGAGGGATGGGATAGTTTTCCCTCCTGTCATGCACCATGACTATTTCAATATCCTCTTTTTCTGGCGCATTAAAAAGAGCCCTTTCCCATCCATCTTCCACCCTCTGCCCCACCTTTCGACTCCCTCCTTCCGCACCCCTCCCACCTCTACCTCCTCCTCTCTCCCGCCCCCTTCCACTACCCCCTTATTTCTCGGGGCGAGCAGGACGATTTTGACGAGTTTGGAGAGCCGGACGATCTGTACGAGTCGCTGCCGCTGGAGAAGATGGATGCTCTCGAGTCGCTTGAGTCGGTGCCCATCGTGCCACAGGCCATTGTGGTGAAGGAGAAGGCTGCTGTCGCCGCTGCCTCGGGTCTCGCCCTGCCCAAATCCATCCTCACTGCGTCCTCGCTTCCGGTACGTACTTGCTTCCTGCAACTCAGTGCACCGTACTGCCCTTTACTTTGCCATTCCGAGGGAGGTGAATTTGGACGATCCACGGATTGGAGCAGCTAGAGCACTCGCTTGCACCTCCCTCTGACTCTTCTGGCACATCTGACTCGGTCGCGAACGATGACTCTTCCTTCACTCGTGGCTCCCAAACTTCTTTCCCGTCAATCTTTTGTTCATTTCCCAACCTCCAACCCCCCGCCGCCCCTTCCCCTGCCCCTGCCCCTAACCCTGCCCCTGCCCCTGCCCCTGCCCTTAACCCTGCCCCTGCCCCTGCCCCTGCCCCTGCCGTTGCCCCTTCCCTGTCTCCTTCCCCTTTCCCCCTTCCCCATTCCCCTCCCTGTGTGCATCCACAGAAATCGGGACCAGCAGGAACACTCGCGCATCCCTCACCCCCATCTGTCTCATCCGACACATCTGATACGTCTGACTCGGTCACTACAGATGACTCTTCCTCCACTCATAGCTCCCAGACCTCTTTCTCTTATTTCCCAGCCTCCACCCCCCTGCCCGCCCCTGCCCCTGCCCCTGGCCCTGCCCTTGCCGCTGCCCCTGCCCGTGCCTCCTTCCCCTTTCCCCACTTCCCTCCCCTGTGTGCTTCCACAGAAATCGGGACCAGCAGGAACACTTGCGCATCCCTCACCCCCATCTGTCTCATCCGACACATCTGATACGTCTGACTCGGTCGCTACAGATGACTCTTCCTCCACTCATAGCTCCCAGACCTCTTTCTCTTATTTCCCAACCTCCACCCCCCTGCCCACCCCTGCCCCTGCCCCTGCCCCTGCCCTTGCCGCTGCCCCTGCCCGTGCCTCCTTCTCCTTTCCCCACTTCCCTCCCCTGTGTGCTTCCACAGAAATCGGGACCAGCAGGAACACTTGCGCATCCCTCACCCCCATCTGTCTCATCCGACACATCTGATACGTCTGACTCGGTCGCTACAGATGACTCTTCCTCCACTCATAGCTCCCAGACCTCTTTCTCTTATTTCCCAACCTCCACCCCCCTGCCCACCCCTGCCCCTGCCCCTGCCCCTGCCCTTGCCGCTGCCCCTGCCCGTGCCTCCTTCCCCTTTCCCTCTTCCCCACTTCCCTCCCCTGTGTGCATCCACAGAAATCGGGACCAGCGGGAACACTCGCGCATCCCTCACCCCCATCTGTCTCATCCGACACATCTGACTCGGTCGCTACAGATGACTCCTCCTCCACTCATAGCTCCTCTCGCGCTGCTGCTGCTGCCGCCGCCGCCGCCGCTACAGCCGCCCCCCTCCCCGCCACCATCACCACTTCCTCTGCTGCTTCCTCTCGCGCTACAGCCGGCCGTGCTGCTGCTGCTGCTGCTACAGCCAGAGCCGTTACGCCTGCTGCAGCAGCAGTGGTAACACCAGTAGCAGGAGCAGGAGTGGTAGCAGCAGCGCCTGCTGCTGCAACCGCGGTTACAGTTACCAGCGGTGGGCGAGTAGGGGCAAAGGAAGGAGGTGTTGGGGGAGAGGAAGTAGCAGGAGGGGCAGGGCATGGGGTGGCAAGTGTGGGGGGTAAGAGAGTGGGTCCAGGCATTGGGGAAGTGGCAGGGGGAGTGGCAGGGCGGCATAGCAGATCTGCAGATCTTGGGCCATCCAATGGGACGGCAGGAACAGTGTCTTCAGGCTCGGCAGGAGGTCCGGCAGCCAGTGCAGGTTCGGCTTCGGCAGCTGCAAAAGCAGGGAAGAAAGGTGCGAGCTTGGCTGCGATTGTTGGTGGTTCGGGAGCTCCCGGCGTTGCTCCTGCTGGTGCTGCTACTGCTACAGCTGGTGCTGGTGGTGCTGTTATTGCAGGCCCAGGGCCTAGGTCCATCACTTCTCCACCTCCCCCGTTTGCCGTTTCTGGGGCTGCCGCACCTGCCGCTGCCGGGCCTCCAGGTTCGGCCGTACCTAGCTACTCCCACGCTGCAGCTGGAGGGGTGCAGCAGCAAGCAGGCGAAGCAGCAGCAGCAGCAGCAGCAGCAGCAGGGGCAGGGCTGCTGCCTGGAGTCGGGGTGGCTGCCGGTCAATCTATCCCTGGGAGTATCAACGGGGCTGTGGTTGGTGTTAATGGCACTAATGGCGTGGCAACAAGGCCTCCCTTGCTCTCCGTGGGTTCCTCTCCCGTCCCTCCCTCTACCCTTGCTTCTGGTCCTACACAATCCAGTGCAGTGATGTCCACCGGCCTTGCTCCGGGCGGCCTCGTTCGTCCGTTTGCAGCTGCAGCAGGTGGGGCACCAGGTGCCTCGTCAGGTGCTGCTGATGCCACAGCTTCAGCAACGGCAAATCCAGGCGCGTCCATCCTTTCATCCGGCCTTCCCGGAGCAGCAGGCTCGGCGGCAGGCCTCGGAGTAGGCTCGGTGGGAGGCTTGGCACCGCCTGGTTCGGCAGGCGCAGGGATGATGATGCCAGGCGTAGGCGGCGTGGGAGGGGTGGGGCAGGGAGGGGTGGGAGCAGGGCTGGGGGCAGCTGCAGCGAATGTGCTGAGTGCGCAGCAGAGGATGTTCAATGCGGTGGGAGCACAGTGGAGACCAGGGCTTCCCAGTTCAGCTGCTTTCCAGCAGCTGCAGGGAGGCGTGGCTGCTGCTGACGGCACTGGGGGGTTGTCTTCTCTGCCTGCAGGGGTCCGCTTCCCTCCTGGGGTAAGTGGCTTGGAAGCTCTGTTTGGTTCAGTAGCTCTGTTTGGGATGGTGTTTTAGGCGTCTCGAAAGCTTTCCAGCAGCTGCAGAGAGGCTCGGTTGCAGCTGATGGGGCTGGCCGGCTGTCTGCTCTGCACTACCTGCTGGGGTCTGCTTCCCTCCTGGGGTAGGTCGACTGGATTCGGTTACTTGGAAAGATTATTATTGGGTGGAAAATAGGCTTGACGAGTTTGTCGACCTGTATTAAGGTAAATTATATGAGCTTGTCTCCATGCCCTTCCTTCCCTCCCCATCCCCCTTTGGAGCCAGCCAGTTCCAGGTTCTTCCCACCCCCACACCTACCCAGTAACCCTTCCCTCATCCCTCCCCTCATCCCTCCCCTCATCCCTCACCTCATCCCTCCCCCCATCCCTCCCCATTCCACATTCCCCCCTCCCTCCAGTTCCAGCGCACAGAGATCGCACCGGACCAGAAGCAGAGGTACATCACCCGCTTTCAGCAGGTGCAGCAGCAGGGGGTCACTGCTGCTGTCATGGCTGCCGCTGCTGCCGCCGCCGCCGCTGGCGCAGGCTCGGCAGCAGGTTCGGGAGCGTCCCTTGCTGGTTCGACGTCGGCTGGCAACTTGGCGTCTCCATTGCTGGCCATGCAGCAGCATCCCGTGGTATGCTTTCACCAGACCATTCATGCATTGCGCCGTGTTTTTAGTCGACTCAAAACACAGCAGCATTCTGTGGCATGCTTTTTGCCAGAGCATTCATGAAACCACTTTTGAGAATTCTCTTTTGAGATCGCTTTTGAGAATTCCCAAAAGTGATTGCAGCAGCACCCTGTGGTATGCTTTTGCGAGATCATTCTTGCATTGCACAGCATGGCATGGCACCACATTGTTCTCTGATGATGTATAGGCTTTGTGTGACTGCAAGATGTGTTGCTGTGTGAGTGAGGTGGGAATGGAACATGACGCTTTAACCTGTGGCGTACTGTGGTTCGTGCAATACTTTGCAACCCTATGCAGTGCAATGCCATAGCCATTGCCTTTCAATCTTGCCTGTGCCTATACATCCCGTTTCTGCCCTATCCTGCCCATTTCCTTGCCAACCTCCAGCTGTCCCAGTCCCCTCTTCCCCCGCAGCAGCAGCAACAGCAACAGCAGCAGCAGCAGCAGCAGCAGCAGCAGCAGCAGCAGCAACAGCAACAGCAGCAAGTACTGGCAACTCAATCGTCAGCAGCAGGAGTTGCAGGGGCTGGGGCAGACGGACAGGCAAGGCAAGGTGGAGGGCAGGAAAAGAGTGAGGAACAGACGCAGGGGCAGGCACAACTGAGGCAAGTAGGCTTGGGGATGAATGGGCCTCAGTCACATCAGCAGCAACAGCAGCAGCAACAACAGCAGCAACAGCAGCAGCAGCAGCAAGAGGCAAAGATTGCAGAGGCACAGCAGCAGCAGCAGCAGCAGCAGGAGCAGGAGCAGCAGCACCAGCAGCAGCAGCAACAGCAGCAGCAGCAACAGCAACAGCAGCAGCAGTTACAGCAACAGCAGGCAGGAGGCGTATCTGGGGAAGGCAGCATGGATCCTCAGCAACAACAGCAGCTGCTACTGCTACTCCAGCAGCAGGAGCATCAGCGCTTGCAGCAACAACACCAACAGCAGCAGCAGCAGCAGCAGCAGCGGCTTTTGCCTTCTCCCCCCCCTCTACTCGCCCAGCAACAGCAGCAGCAGCAGCAGCAGCACATGGGGCACATGGCAGGAGCAGGGGCAGTAGGCCCCTCTATGCCGTCCTCTGCCGCCCAATCCTCCCTTCCCCCACCATCCTCCGCCGCCCCTCCAACCACCACCGCCTCTATCCCTGCAAGTGCCCTCTCTTCCGCCACAGCTGCTGCTACAGCCGCTGCTACAGCCGCCGCAGCCGGTGCTTTTGCTGGTGCATCGCTGTCAGCACCAGGGGTCATTGGAAGGAAGCAAGGCGGTGCGGGGATGGGCGACGCAGGGCCGATTAGTGACCCCATGTCCCTAGCCGCTGCTGCTGGTTCTGGCAGCGCTGCTGGAGCAGCAGCAGGAGGAGGAGCGGGAGCAGGGGGGACAGTGGGATCGGGAGGAGTGGGGCAAGGAGGAGGAGCAGCAGCAGCAGGGGCGCCAGTGGATCATGCACTGAACCTGGCCCTCCTGGAGTCGTCGTTTGGGAACTTGCCACAGCCCAAGGACTCGGAACGACCCAGGGCCTACATTCCGGTGAGTTGGTGTGTTTGCATAGCATGTTACACAAGGGAGGGGCCCTTTTAGATTGCGCTGCTATTGGCTAGTCGTATGCTCCCTTCCCCACCCCCCCCTTCCTTCCCCCCCTCTTCTCCCCCTGCCACTTTTTCCCCTTCAGCGAAACCCTGCAATCACGCCTGCCAGCTATCCCCAGGCGCCAGCAGCAGTGCTGGAGCACCCAGGGCTGTGGGAGCGGCTGGACATGGACGTTCTCTTCTTCGCCTTCTACCACCAGCAGGTATGTGCGGTGCGTGTCGTGCAGTGCAAGCTACGTTACAGTACAGTTGATACAACCAAGAATAGACTACTCATTATGCTGCTGTGGTTGCCGCCAACAACAGGTGAATTATACTTTTAAGAATTCTCAAAAATAAAATTCAGTTGGTACAACCAAGAATAGACTACTCATTGTGATGCTGTGGTTGCCGCCAACAACAGGTGTGGTGTGGCTGTTAAGCACGTGACTTGCTGTGCAGGCTACGCTGCCACGTTCTGCAGAATGCATGACGGATCTGATTCTTGTCCATTTCTGACCCCGTCTCCGTTATCTGCCCCCCCCTTGCCCCCCTATCCATCAGGGCACGTACCAGCAAGTTTTGAGTCGACTCAAAAACAGTCTCCGTTATCTGCCCCCCCCTTGCCCCCCTATCCATCAGGGCACGTACCAGCAAGTTTTGAGTCGACTCAAAAACAGTCTCCGTTATCTGCCCCCCCCTTGCCCCCCTATCCACCAGGGCACGTACCAGCAATACCTAGCTGCTCGTGAGCTGAAGAAGCAGTCGTGGCACTACCAAGAAGTACAACACATGGTTTCCTAGTCCGTGCCCCTTCACCCCCCTCCCTTCAACCCCATTTCCCCATCCCTCGTCAACAGTGCACATACCAGCAATACCTGGCCGCGCGGGAGCTGAAGAAGCAGTCGTGGCGTTACCATAAGAAGTTCAACACATGGTTCCTCCTTCCCTGCCGTTCCACTCCCCTCCGTGCTCCTCCCAACCCCTCCCCTTGTCCCTCCAATAGGGAACGTTCCAGCAGTACCTAGCTGCTAGGGAGCTGAAGAAGCAGTCGTGGCGCTACCACAAAAAGTACAACACGTGGTTCCAGCGGCACGAGGAGCCCAAGCTCACCACCGACGATTACGAGCAGGGCACCTATGTGTACTTTGACTTTCACATCGTGCATGACGACTACCAGACCGGATGGTGAGAGTGCTGGACGGGGTGATGCGTGTGTGGGGGGTATCAGAGAGGGGGATAGAGCACTGTGAGCAGGGCACCTATGTGTACTTTGACTTCCACGTTGTGCATGACGACTACCAGACCGGATGGTGAGTGAGAGAGGATAGGCAACTGGGACTGGTGATGGATGGGTTCAGTGGGAGTAAAAGCACTGCAAGCAGCACGTCCTCCCCCACCTCCCCTTTCTTCCTCTGTTCCCATCCCCTCAACCCACCCTCCTTGAATGTTAGACACTGGTCTTGTTAGGTCTGGACATCTTGTCCAACGTTCTGTGAATTGCTCTTTCTCTGGTTGTGGGACCCTTGCCAGGTGTCAGCGGATTAAGACGGAGTTCACATTTGAGTACAGCTACTTGGAGGATGAGCTGCCAGCTGCGTAACATGACAAAAAAAGGTGCTGAGACAAGTCCAAAGCATGGGCTTGCCTGGCAGCATAACTGCTCAGCTGACCTGGTTGGCTGCTGCCATTATCGTTAGTTTGGAAAGGAAATGCGTTTTAGTCTCTCTGCACTTCCTCTGCTCTGAAGGTAGCATTATTTATCCATGAACACCGGCAGTCGTGTGTGTTTGTGGGATTGGTGACTTCTCACCTAGCGTTGAATTTTGCTCATCTGTTTTTGGGCTTTTGATTGAACCAAGTAGTCTAGTTTTCATAAGCTCTTGCTTGCCTTCGAACTCTAGAGGGTAGGAAGGAGGCCTACCGTGCTCCATTTCCCAGTAAATTTGGTTGCAGTTTCTTATGCCTTTTGTCCTACGAAAATTGAAAAATGAGTGGTATGTTAGTGGAAGTAGAAGGATATTTTCGAGCGGGAATGACTAGCGTTGGCTGTCCGAAGATGGCAACAAGTCATCCTCGCTCATCTTTTATTGGGCAGTCGACTCCACGAAATACGGAGACACGTGAGGGATGAAAATCACCTGCTTATGAGAACAGATGCATGTAAGCTGCGAGCCCATGCGTCGCAATCATGATTTCAGCTCAATTGCGGAGCTGTGAAGGCTCATGCGATGCGAATTTTTGCGTTCCTACGCTTCCCTTTTGACGCTCTTTCCACCTTATGGAAATAGCTACACGTATGTACGTAAACGGTTGCATCCATCATCCATACCTTGTCCACCACTTTTATTTTTTCGAAACCGTAGCTCATATGGAATCGTGGTGGATGCTGTCACCCCTTCGAGGGCCCCAGAGTCCTCGGAGGTTTCGCCGCGTATTCTGCTGAGTCGAATCTCAAGCCCATTTGTCAGCCGTCGATGTCAGGGTTCACGTGCGGATTCTAACGGTGCTTCTCCTTTGAATCCCGGGGAGAGTGATGTGCACTGCGCAAAGTCACGCGGAGGGGGGAATTGATGAGGCATGGGGGAGAGGGCCGGGTGGAAGGGGAATTTTTTGTGTGTTGCGGACGAAAACGGGCGAATCACGATTAGGGCTCCGACTTTCTGGCGTTCGGAAGGCTGTTCCTCCCCACTATTTCGGGATCGCCGCGCCCACACGCATGAAGCACTCGCCTCTCGTTCCTCCGAATGGACAACCGCAGCAGCTGGTTTTGTTGCTTTCTCTGCCCAGGCGAAAAGAGAACAATCGAGGTCAGAAGATTGCGACTCAATTTGGCCACCAGTGTCCTTTTTTTCGCCTTTCCCCTTTCTTTGACTTTGTCTGGGCAGCAATGCCGCGCACGAATACAGTATCTTCTGGGTTGGAGGCTTGGGTACCAGTCGACACTTGCGCAGCGTTGGTGGAGCTTTGCGGAGAAGCTCCGCGACTTGCTTCAGTGCGGAGCTTGCCCGCTCCGGAATGCTCCCGCAAACAGCCCACCAAGATCCCAAGAATGGCGGAGGAACACAGTTGGCGTGGAGCAGATTTTCCCCAAAACCCCAACCAAGTCAGGAACGAGCAGAATGTTCCGCCCAGCCTAGAAAACATCTTCCAACAGAGGTGAAAATTATCAGCGAGAGGGAGATGCAGGGAGAGAGAGAAAGAGAGAGAAGAGAAAGCGAGCAGTGAGTGAGGAACCTAAAACAGTGTTAAAACAGGGGAAAAGAGGGATAATGAGGGATCCCAAACAGTGTTTTGCTTCACAACACCAGTCCTCTTCGTTTTCAGCAGCTCTGGTAACCTCGCTTGAACTTCGTCATTGGAGCAGCCAAATCCCTGAAGTTGGTCGGTTTCTCCCAAGCAGTAGAGCAGAGTTTGGTCTTGGAGGAGCAAGACGTGAGGTCATTCAGCCAATACGGTTCACGAGACATCTTTCTGCTGACGACTACTGTGCTGAACAACCGCCTGTCCTGTCCTTTCGTCCGGTCTGCTTGGTTATCTTTATTCTTTAGCGACTGCTCGTATTCTTGAGAAGGGTTTTGGAGGATTCTGCCCTGCAACCGTCCATTCTTGGGGTTTGTTGTTGTTTCTAGTCAGCTGTGGAGTATTTAGTCTTTCGGGGCCGATGATAAGGATCCAGTGAAAGCTGCTGCTCCCTAGTTCAGTATCTCGCACCAGCGTTTCCACCTCAGCCGCCTCTTTGTCTTTCGCCGTTTTATCCATCAGCCATGGCCGATGCTATGCTTGCAAGAAGCATTTCAGCTCCGCATCTGACTCCAGTTCCCGCGGGATCTAGTGGAAGAGAAGCCGATAAACTTCGGGATTCAGCTAGCCCATCGTTTCAATGCTCCATGGCTTCCCCTCGCGGAGGCCTGGCCAGTCATCAAGCCTCCCGTCTATCGTGGAAGCGTAGCAATACCTCATCGCCTCTAACACCCTTCACTCCTTGGGTTTCCGAATTCTCGGCCACATCAGCAGCTCAGTCTTCACGGAGCTTGTTTATCGTTTCTGATATGGACTCGTCTCGGAAGGAAGATTGCGAGTTTCGCCGTATCGTGTCAGTTCCTGAGCTCCGCACCCCGGATAACCACTCGCAGCTAAGTGGAACCCCAACAGACTCAGCAGATCGTCAGAAGGGCAGCAGGAAAGGAAGAAGTTGGCCTCTCTCTTCGCAAGAATCGGTCAACCCTAATCCATATCCCTCTGACCATCCACCCATGCCTTTCCCACTATCCGACGCTTCGTTCTTTAAGCATCCCTCCTCGCCTCCATCAACCCCTTTACCCAGATCTCCACGCAAAGCTACATCCTCTTCATCACCTCCTTTCAAGACGCCGTCGCTCTTTCCCTTGGAGCCTTTAGCCGGCATGCCGTGCAACAGAAGAAGTCAGAACGACTACGCCAGTCTGGAATTCTTCACCAACGGCGCTGACGAGATGCAGATGAGAGGACTGTTCGCAGGATCTCACCCAGAGATCTACCAGCATGTATCGGACGAGCAAGGATCTCGGCGGTTGCTTGACCTCGGCGTCTCCGATGTTGCTCAGAGCGAGCAGGTTGATTCGGCTGCTTCGTTCAGCGTAGCCGGTGAAACCTTCCCTGTAATTGGCCAAGGGACGCCGAATCTTGGGAGGGAGTTGAAAAACGGAACTAGTCCTGCGTCAGGCACGTCTTCTGCAGACATTGCTGCCATGGAAGCTCATTACGTCACCGCTCTAGCAAAGGATCCGAAGGATCCCCTCCTCCTTCGCAACTTCGCACGATTTCTTTACGAGGTGAGTCTCTTTCGCGAAGTCGATTATGTCGTTTTTATTTGTGTAAATCTGTCTGGTGTTTCTGACGCTGAAATTCTCTCGGGATCTTCTATTTTCAGGTCAAGGGAGAACATGAAGAAGCTGAGAAACTCTTCGAGCGCGCTATTGCCGAAGCTCCTTATGACGGGGAACTTTTGGTTCAGTACGCGAAGCTGCTGTGGGAAGGCATGGGCGATGCGAATAAGGCCTCCATTTTCTTCGAGCGAGCAGTCAGCGCGGCACCCCAGGATTGGTAAGCACCTATTAAATCGTTCGTTTGCAACAGCGTACACTGGCTGATGGTTCCAGGAGCCGTGATTTGCAAAAAATTGCTACATAATTTGCGCCATTTTCTTGCTCTCACTCTTGCTCCGTTGCTGTTATCTCACTGTGTTTCGTCCTGGCAGTTATGTCCTGGCCGCGTATGCATCCTTCCTCTGGAACTTCGATTCCCTGCCCGAGGAGAACACCAGTGTCATGGCCCCTGATAGACCATTCCTCCCCGCCACATCTGCTGGTTGCGGATAATTGCAATTAAGTTTGGCCGGTGCATTCGATGCACCAATAATCTCTGCTCGACATTATTGGAGTTTGCAGAAGCAGTGGCAATATCAGCCTTCACTGAGGTAGCTTCTTCCATGGCATATTGCAAGGCAAGCCTGACAGCTGTCAGCTCCTGATGTGTTCACAGCATGGAATGCAACATTGCTGGAAGGACGATATGTGGTGTGACTTCTTCCTGGAGAGCATCAGCCAGTTGCTGCATGGTTGACTTCAGGCTCAGGTTTTGGTGGGCATGCTGCCATCCAAGCCTTGGATCTTTATTACACACGGGCCCCCTCCACTTAGGGATTGTAGCTGAGGTGTGTGTAACCTGGCGAGTTCTTCTCCACTTGTTGGACTTATTTAGGTGTAGCTCGTGTGGGTGTGGGGCCCCATTAAGGTATCTTGTTGAAAGGCATTGTTGTTGGATGAAACAGAATCTCATTCTTATGGTGATGTTCTGAACATGCAGGAGCAAATGCGAGAGTTTATACTGTATTGGTGGGTGCAGATAGTACAGCTAAATACTATAGTTAATTTTGTTGGTGTACTGCATCACACAAGTGCGAAACTGTTAGCACTGTAGCCTTAAGTGCATGTACTACAGACTAGACAAGCATTAACCAGGCCTGTTGCTATGGTTAAGGAAAAACATCAATTCAATCCCCAGCTTTAGTGTCCGAAGGTTAGTGCTGAATGTATCCTGAATGTGGAGCAGGGCAACACCAGTAACTGCAGCAACACCACCTACCAAGCTCCCTTCCACTGTTGACAGTCAAGCAACCGCTCATTTGAGAGCAGACGAAGGCCCAGACACTCGACCAAGCGACAGAAAGCCAGCGACGCACCACCACCCTTCAGCCAAGCACGCACACTGCATATCAAAGCCCATGTTGCTTGTGAAATCTCTCACCTACTATCCCTCTCACGATGCTGTGGTGATTCCCTCCATTGCAGACACGCCAGCATTCACAGCAACAGCAGCAACACCCCCAGGAGCGACAGCAGTAGCTGCAGCCACCGCTGCACTGCTCTGCACTGAAACCTCCATAGCACCACCAATCAGCCCTCCTGTTCCTGCTCCAACCTTCACTGGACTCATCTGCTTGTCACTCTTTTTCTCTCCTCCACCACCACTACCACTAGAACCACCAATAGCACCTGCTGCCAGCCCCATTCCCCCTGCCACCGCCCCGCCTGCAGCACGCTCCGCCCCACACTCTTCCACCTCTTCCATTTTCACACATGGCGATCCTATTCCCCCCGTTCCTCCTCCTCCTGCTGCCGCCCTTGATGCGAAAGCAGGTGAGTTAGAGGCACTTCCCGGTGCTAACCCTACTGATGCACCTGCTCCTCCTGCTCCTGCTCCTGCTCCTGCTGCTGCTCCTGCTGCTGCTCCTGCTGCTGCTCCTGCTGGTGCTGGCGCTCCTCCTGCCACAGCCACTGCGCCTGCCGCTGTGGCCACGGGTGACCCAGCTTGAACCCCACCAACACCCTTAGAAGGCGAATCAGCAGCACCAGGCAATCCGGCCGCTCCCGCACCTCCCGCTCCCACACCACTGGCACCAGCAGCAGCTGCAGGGCTCATGGCAGGAGCAGTCTGATTGGTAAGAGAAGGTGCAGCAACTAGGGTGGGAGACCCAGCAGCCCCAGCAGCAGCAGCAGCAGCAGCGGCAGCAGCAGCGGCAGGGGAAACAGGTGCTGCCACAGCTGCAGGCGCAAGAGCAGGAGAGGAACCAGGAGGTGATGCTGTTGCTGCTGCTGCTGCTGCTGCTGCTGCTGCTACTCCTCCTCCTCCTGCTGCGACTGTGCCAGTCATCTGTACCGAGCCAGCCTTCACATCCATGTCGCCTCCCCCATCCCCTCCCCTCCTCCTCCCTCTCCTCCTCCTCCTCCTCCTCCTCCTCCTCCTCCTCCTCCTCCTCCTCCTCCTCCTCCTCCTCCTCCTCCTCCTCCTCCTCCTCCTCCTCCTCCTCCTCCTCCTCCTCCTCCCTCCCCTGCACCACCCCCGTCACCACCCCTCCCCTCCCCCCCACCGTCCCCTTTCCCCTTAGACATCATATTAGCCAGCCCCAGCGGCATGAGGCAGAGACCCTTGCTCTGCAGGTACTGCATGGCTGCTCCCATGTCCTGCTCCATTAGCAACGCCACCTGCAGTACACACGCAGGCATACGGGCAGCAGACAGTGACCCGTTAGAAGGACGGCATGAGGCACAACCCCTTGCTTTGCAGGTACTGCATGGCTGCTCCCATGTCCTGCTCCATTAGCAATGCCACCTGCAATACAACAAGTGACAAGCAGGGAGCGCTAGCAGTATATGATGAGTGGATGGGGGACAGGCGCATGAAACAAGGCATGAGGCACAGCCCCTTGCTCTGCTCTGCAGGTACTGCATCGCTGCTCGCATGTCCTGCTCCATCAGCAGTGCCACCTGCAATACAGCAGAGGGAGCATGCACTCAGGCATACGGGCAGACAAAGGCCTTTCAGAAGGAAGACACAGGCCAAGCATAAGGCAGACAAGCCCCTTGCTCTGCTCTGCTGGTACTGCATCGCTGCTCCCATGTCCTGCTCCGTCAGCAATGCCACCTGCAAGCACGGCAGATGGAGGATACACGCGGGATGGCAGGCAAACAAGAGCCAAATTGTTCAACCTTACTAAGGTTGACCGCTGGGCTGTGGGGGAGGCACTCATAAAAGTGGGCGGGGGTTTTGAGCGAGGGTTGTTACACTGTCGCCCAACCCTTCTCTACACTTTGAAGGGGTGGGGTCTTCTTGTTTGGTCCCGTGCTGGTTCACGAGTTTCCTATCAGCAAGGCATCAAGATTACTAATCATGCCCTGCGCGATCTGCAATTTGGGCCTTGAGCTATAAGAAGCAAGCCATGAGGCATAGAGACCCTTCCTCTGCAGGTTTTTGAGAATTCTCAAAAACCAGCTCGCATAGAGACCCTTCCTCTGCAGGTACTGCATTGCTGCCCCCATATGCTGCTCCATCAGCACAGCAATGCCACCTGCAAGCATGACAGAGACAGGTATATAGCAGCCGTTTAGAAGAAAGGCACAGAGCAAAGAGCTCCTTTCCCTGCAGGCACTGCACCGCTGCCCCCATATGCTGCTCCATCAGCACAGCAATGCCACCTGCAAGCATGACAGAGACAGGTAAACAGCAGCCGTTTAGAAGAAAGGCACAGAGCAAAGAGCTCCTTTCCCTGCAGGCACTGCACCGCTGCCCCCATATGCTGCTCCATCAGCACAGCAATGCCACCTGCAATACATTAATCGACAAGCAGGAGAACGCACAGGTATGAGGGCCACGTGTAGTGAGGGTGTTTTTGAGACGTCTCAAAAACACCCTCACTACACGTGGCCATCAGCACAGCAATGCCACCAGCAATACATCAAGTGACAAGCAGGAGAACGCACAGGTACGAAAGCAACCCACCAGTTGTTCAGCGAAACCCACATTTATGGTAACTGATATGTCATTCAGTGTAGCTGACTGTAGTTCAGGGGAACCCACCTTGTGTTCAGAGCAACTCAACACCGTTTGAAGTGACTCACTTATCCTATTAACCAACCCACCTGTCGCTCCATAAGAGTAAGCTCCTTTTTGAGGCGCCTCAAAAACCCATCTTGTGTTCATTGCAACCGAATCACCATTCGAAGTGACTGACTTGTCCTTTCGGCCAACCCACCTGTCGCTCCATAAGAGTGAGCTCCTGCTGTGAAAAGGACGAGAGACCATCGTCAATTTCCTGTAGCAAAGAGCACCGGGGCAGCAGCAGCGAAGGGGAATCAGGAGCAGGGGCAAAGGGGAATCAGGTGAAGGAGCAACGAAGGGAGCAGCAGGAGCACGGGGGGAGAAGGAGCAGACTAGTTTTGAGGCGCCTCAAAACGGGAGCAGCAGGAGCACAAGGGGAGAAGGAGCAGGAGTGAGCACGGGAGAAGAAGGATGGGGAAAGCAGAACCCAGGGAAGGGGCAGAGGAATGGGACACTAAGACTAGTTGTTTATGCACCTCCTCGTACCTCCCCACACCTCCCCACACCACACACCTCCCCATACGTCTACTTCCCCTCCCCTCCCCACACCTGTGCATACCTCAGGGTTCAAATCTGCAAGCAGGGTGACCACGGCGTCTGCTGCAGGGCCAGCGAGGCGGTTCAGATTAAGCACCTGCGGCATGGGGGGGTGTGTGGGAGGAGTGGCGGGGAGCGAGAGGAGGGCGAGAGGAGGGCGAGAGGAGGGCGAGAGGAGGGCGAGAGGAGGGCGAGAGGAGGGCGAGAGGAGAGATAGAAGGCACAGTCTGAGAAGTCAGAAAAAGAAAGACCACGTATTGGCTGCAGGGCCAGCGAGGCGATTCAGATTAAGCACCTGTGTGGGATGGGGGGGTGTGGGAGAGCGAGAGGAGGGCGAGAGGAGCGATCAAGAACGAGATGCCAGATACTTGGATTTGCAGATGAAGGAACCTCAGCATGGTTCACCAACTCGCCCAGCAAAACTCGTTTCTGCACACAGCAGTATGTGATTCAGTGAGCGAGCGAGTGAGTGAGTGAGTTGGCAAGGGAGGGAGGGAGGGAGGGTGCTAACTTCCAGCTGCACCCACCTTGACCTGCAGTTGCAGGAACTTGACATAGTCAATAATGTCATCGAGCATCGATGCCTTGTCCACGCGATTCGAGTTGGGCACCAGGTCCTGCAGGGCCCTCATCCTCTCCGCTATGCGCTCTCGGCGCAGCTGTCAGATCAGGGGGGAGGGGGGAGGGAGGAGGGGGGAGGGGGGAGGGGGGGGGGGGAGGGGGGGGAGGGGGGAGGGGGGAGGGGGAGGGAGGAGGGGGGAGGGGGGAGGGGGGGGAGGGGAGGGAGGGGGGAGGGGGGAGGGGGGAGGGGGGGAGGGGGGAGGGGACATGGATGGAGTGCGGGTAAGGAGGAGCGATTCGAGTTGGGCACCAGGGTCCTGCAGTGCCCTCATGCGGGGAGTGGATGGAGTGTGGAAAGGAGGAGGCGGTCGAGTTGGGGACAGTGGAGTTGGGGGCCACTATGCGCATCACCAGGTCCTGCAGCACCAGGTCCTGCAGCACCAGGAGGTCCTGCAGCACCAGGAGGTCCTGCAGCACCAGGAGGTCCTGCAGCACCAGGAGGTCCTGCAGCACCAGGAGGTCCTGCAGCACCAGGAGGTCCTGCAGCACCAGGAGGTCCTGCAGCACCAGGAGGTCCTGCAGCACCAGGAGGTCCTGCAGCACGCGCATGGGCTTCACTATGCGCTCAGCACAGCAGCATGGTGGAAGGCAGACAGGAGGGAAGTCGGGAAGAGGGGTGCAGAACGGGGGTGCAGAACGGGGGTGCAGAACGGGGGTGCAGAACGGGGGTGCAGAACGGGGGTGCAGAACGGGGGCACGAACAAAGCAAAGGTTATAAATTCCCATCTCCTCCCCAAATTTCCTCCTTCGCTCTTTCCCTCCCTCCCTCCCTCCCCTCCCTCCTTTCCCTCCCTACCTCCCTCCCTCCTCCCCCCTCCCTCCCTCCCTTCCCTCCCTCCCTCCCTCCCCTCCCTCCCTCCCCTCCCTTCCCTCCCTCCCTCCCCCCCCCTCCCTCCCTCCCTCCCTCTCTCTCCCCTCTCTCCCTCTCTCTCCCTCTCCTCCCTCCCTCCCTCCCTTCCCTCCCTCCCTCCCTCTCTCCCTCCCTCCCTCCCTCCCTCCCTCCCTCCCTCCCTCCCTCCCTCTCTCGCTCTCTCTCCCTCCCTCCAACCCTCCCTCACTTACTCTCTCTGCAATACTGTGAGGGTCCGTTGCTTGCCCTCGTCTCGCCCTTGCCCTCGGTTTCCCCCCTCCACCCCCTCCCCCTCCCCCGCCTCCGCCTCCCCCTCCGCCTGCACTCCCGCCCGCTCCCCCGCTCCCCTGCGCGCCTCCCCCCACTCCCCCCGCGCCAGCACTCGACTGGGACGGCATAAGAGAAGGGGGGGCGGCGCCGGCGGCCGGATTCGTCTGCATCTGAGTGTGCGGCTGGGGGAGAGAGCTGGGCGGCTGTGACATCCCTTGGTGGAAAGAGGAGGAGGATTGCATTGGGGGCTGCTGCGGCTGCTGCTGGTGCTGCTGGTGATGCGGGGAAGGCGCGTGGTGGGTCATAGGGGGCGGTTGCTGGGACTGCAGGGGAGCAGCACGGTGAGATGGCGCGGAATTGGGGTGCTGCTGCGGCTGCATGGGCGGCGGATTTGATACGAGCCCGTTGAATGCTGGGGCTGGTGGGGTGTCCTGCGCCTGGCAATGCGAAAAGACGGACGGACGAGAAGAGAGGGGAGTAGCAAACGGACGGGAAGAGCAGGGGGGAACGGGGAGGGAAGTAGGGGAAAGGGAGGGGAAAGCGGGAAGAGGGAAGGGGACGAGAGTGGTGGGATAGTTGGAGAGGTGAATTGAACATGCGTCCGTTAAGCACTGGAAAGCGAGAAGCGGAGAGGCGAGAAGTGAAGGGGGACCAATAACTGGGGCAGTGGAAGGTGGAACAGGCAGCAGGGGGGAAGGGGGAGGGGGACGAGGTATTGATGGAAATGGTGGGGGAAGCGGTAGCGGGAGAAAGGTGGAGACGGCTTAATACTCGTTTTGAGGCATCTCAGTACTGGTCAAAAGGTGGAATGAAGTTACTCACATGTGGTTGCTGTCGAAACTGCGGCACCTTCAGACCCATTCCGGGCCCCACTGCCCCTCCCCCGCCCCCCGGCCCAACCCCCCCTTGCGGACCCAATATCTGCCCCCCTTGTCCGGGGGGAACTCCCCCAGAACCCCCAGGCGCAGGTCCCCCCGGACCCGGGGGAGCCACTCCTTGCGCGCCTGGCGCCCCCGCAGGAGCGCCAGGTCCGCCAGGGCCCCCTGGGCCTCCGCCAATCCCCCCCGCGGGAGCTCCGCCTGGGGGGGCTCCGCCGCCTGCACCAGTAAGTCCGAATCCCGCCGCCACGCTCGTTAGAAGCGAGCCTTGCGCCGCGCGCTGCTGCAGGAGGCGCAGCAACGTGGCGTCGTCTAATTGGCCCGCCAGCAGCGCCACCTGCGCCTGCACGTCCGCAGGCTGCTGCTGCTGCGCGGAAGCAGGCGCGCCGGGGGCTCCCCCTGCGCCAGGAGCTGTGCCGGGGGGAACGGGGGAGACTCCCATGGGGCCGAGGAGGCCCGCCGTTGCGAGAATGCGCTGGCCGGGCGTTGCGCCCTGAGCGTGGACGAGGGGCGAGGGAGGGGGAAGGGGGAAAGGGGGGGGGGAGAGGATGGAGGAGGGGGAAAGAGAAAGCTAAGAAAAGGTGAAGCGAGGTGAGCGGAGGGGTATGGCCAGAGACCGACATCAGAGGGATGGGTCCGAGTCGGCCCGCCGTTGCTAAAATGCGCTGGCCGGGCGTTCCGTCCAGAGTGTCGGCAGGGAACGGGAATGAGGTAGAGAGGGGAGAGGGTGGAGAGAAAGGAAGGTGACGGAAATGTGCGAGGTGAGCGGAGGGGAATGGCAAAAGGGGAATTGGAAGCTGGTATGAATCCACTTCAGAACTAACCGATTTTTGCACAGCCGCTTATGGCTGAGGCAATCCCTGGCGGCTAAAGTGCCAAGCTGCCTTCCGCAATCAATAATTAAGAGTTCAACGGACTGTTCAGTGTATAAACAACAACGGAAGAACGAACGGAGTAACGAACAAAAAAAGACTTGCCTGATAAGAGCCAAAGTTTTCCGACATTCCTTGACCAGCGGAAGCATTCCCGCTGTTCCAGTTCTGCTGTGCCGGTTGCTGCTGCTGCTGCGGCTGGAACTGCGGCTGCTGCTGCTGCTGCTGCTGTTGTTGCATGTACGGCTGCTGCTGCTGCGGCTGCTGCTGTTGCTGGGGTTGCTGCTGATACGCCATCTGTTGTTGCTGCGGCTGCTGCTGCTGGTATTGCTGAGACTGTTGTTGCTGTTGAGAAGGCTGATATTGCTGCTGACCCGAGTGTTGGTTGTAACCGTCCATTGCTACTTGACGATTAAGCCACTTTCGTTTGACTTAAAAATCAGATAATAAGAATACGCAGTCAGAAAATAGTTCACGACGATAGTACCCTCCTACCGCTTTCCGTTCCCAAATCGGGAACGTTTTTATCCTAAACTCAGTAGCTAAGGCCAAGCGTGCGAGCATAAGCTAACGCGTTTGCGTACGGATAAGGGAAATCTCTTACTGCTAGTTGGATCAGCATAATTTTGAAAAGAAACGATCAAAATAGAGCTCTTGCGACTTGCTGATTTAACAAAATTCTGAATAAAAGTGGCGGAAGAGAGCTTTGAGGAAACATCAGGAGTTGTAAATCCTCCCCGCAGAAGCGACTCTAGCTGCTTCTTGAGAAGCACTTTCTATCTAATGACGTCATTCCTACTAATTAACGCTGGCAGCAGGATAGGGTTGATGCGGTGGTGAAATTAGAGCGGCTGGAGGAAGCGGTGGATGGTGATGGATAGCCGAGGTTAGTGGATAAGAATGGAGAGTTGGAGAGAGAGAGGAAATTGATAGGTGCCGAGCAACTAAGAGGTGATAGGGAGCAACTATGATGCTGATACAGGGAAGAAAGGTGGGGAAAACGGACCAGATGGGATCCAGGAGAATCCGGATAGGGTTGAGTTATGTTTTGTCACGGTTGAACACGGTAACGGTGGATCATCGCTTTGGTTCGGACCACATCGAAAACAACCGTGATAAATCGAACTGGAAGCCGGCGTGCTGGACGTTTTTCTGAAGCAGCGAAGCAGAAATATCAGGAGAAACTCTGATGGGTTACTGTTGTCCTCATGTTTTGCGTCGCGAGTTCGGTTCGGGCGCTAGGCCTAACGGTTGGCTCGGTAATGTTCACGCTGAAACCAGTTCGTCCAGCCTGCCCGGGAACGAAATGGCCCTGGCACCAGTTTTGATTGACGGAACGTGTAGCTCATTCACAGAGTTATGATTGGGTGGAAGATGGAATTGACACCGAAAGGATGACCGACATGCGTTGTTGTGGTTGAGGTTAGCCAGTACGGAAACGGCGACCGTCAGCTAGCGAAATGGATGGCCTTGTCGTTTTTCATTGCCAAGTTCGCCAGCTGCATGCGGAAAGCAGTCCGCCCGTCCAGCGGGCCGGGGGAGTGACTGCCTTTCGCAATTCAAGGGCCAAGAATGGGAGGCAGTTACCGTTTCGCTTCTTCCCGCCATTTTCCAGCGCCTCGACCACCACAGACGCGTGTCAGACGCGAGGAGAAAATCATCCAAAGAGCTTGAAAGCTACACCATATTTACCACTTACATACATATGGGTTAACCCCACAAGTCAAACAGATGCGTCTAGTGAAATTCTAGTAGAGAATTTGCATAAATGGTGTCCTATTTGATACTATGGACACCTGGATAATCAGGTTCTGAATGAAATCACTTAATGCAATCACTTAACATAAGGGCACAGCTTATATTTAATCAATACAGTGATTTACAGTACCACTCATGCTTGGTAGTTGAGCGCGCGAATGGAGTTTCCTTGGCCTTGATAACAGTTTCAACCTGACCAATGTCGCACAACCTACTTGGTCGTTCAGACATCGTCCTATCCCTATCCTTCCTCTCCCGAACCGCGCAAACTCGACAGTCCATGATCGCTTATCTGCCTCTTGCCGCGACTGTGCGTTTCTCCATAATGTTCGCCGAGTTAACTTAGTCAATGCCATCGCGTCATCGCAATTCCAACGATCCGCCGTGTCGCCACTCGCCATGGCCGGCTCTCGCTCCTCCCAACGATCCACCGTCTCCTCGCGCTCCACCACCCCGCACGCCGCATCTTCCGGCACAAACTCCGGCGCCAATTTCGGCGGATCCTCCGCTTCCGCGTCCCCATCCTTCCTCTCCCGCGCGTTTCCCGCTCTGGCCGCGTCGGTTCTCGCGCTAACGGCCGTCGTCTTCGCGATCACCTACTCGAGGCCGTCGCTTGGGCGATGCGACTTACTGCAGCTGCAACTACTGGGACGAAAGGTAAGGTTTCGTTCAATCATCCCTAAACATTGACTTTTAATGTTCCTAAACATTGACTTCGTGCGATTTTTTTTTTTCTTCTTCTTCTTCTGTTTTTCTTTTTTACTTTATTCGGCTGTAGCAGGGCGATGACCTGGGGAAGCACCTGAAAGTGCTGGAGAAGCAGGTAGGTCAAAATCGTGTGTGGACTGGACGAGTGGCTTGGTTGGGTAGGGTCGGTAGAGATGGGCGGGATGCGGTTGGGTGCGGTAGGGCAGGTGAATTGCTGCGAGGGTGGGTGGGTGGATGGGTGCGTGGGTGGGAGGGATGATGCGCCGCCAGTCTGCCCTGCTCCTTCCTCTGCTGCCCTCCTCCCGTCCCGTCTGCTCCCCATTCTGCCCCCCCATTCTGTCCCTCATTCTTCCCATCGTTTTGCCCCTCATTCCGTCCGCCCCGCATTCTGCTTCTGTCTGCCCCCGCCTCTGCCTCTGCCCCTGCATCTTCTTCCTCCACTGCCCCTCCTTCTGCCTCTTGTTTCTCCTCTCCTCTCTTTCCCTATCCCACTCTCATCCCTCCCCCTCTTTCCTTCCCTCTTCCCCTCCTACCCCCCTTCCCTCCTCCCCTACCCTCCCTCCTTTTTCTCCCTACAGATGAATTACAACAAAAAGCTCGTGGGTGTGCTACAGGCATCGCTCGCAAAGCTGACGGTGAGTGTGTATGAACTGAGTGTGGAGTGAGTGTGGAGTGAGTGAGTGTGAGGGTGTGTTGGTCTTTTCAGATGAATTACAACAAGAAGCTTGTGGTTGTGCTACAGGCATCTTTCGCCAAGCTGACGGTGAGTGTGTGGAGTGAGTGAGTGAGTGTGTGGAGTGAGTGAGTGAGTGTGTGGAGTGAGTGAGTGTGTGGAGTGAGTGAGTGCGTGGAGTGACTGTGCTATATTTTGTGTGTGTGCCCTACATCCCCTCCCCCCTCGCCTCTCTTCTTTAAAGAAATTCCCTTTTCTTCTCTTCACCCCTCATCCTCTTTTGATGCGTTCCCCCTCGTGTAGGCTGCTGACTCAGCAGTTGCAGCAGAGCCGGACACGTCAGCGCCTGCTGACACGGCAATCCCTTCGAACGCCAGCACGCGCCAGCTGGTCGAGCTGGCAGCACGACAGGTGGCGGATGAAGTCCGGGCATCAATGGAGGAAACAGTGAGCTGCTTATCTGACAGACTTATATTTGAGGTTTATTGTTCAACAGTGAGCTGCTTCAAAGTGCCGCCTTGAGTTTCTTCTGCCTGCCTGCCTGCCTGCCTGTTTGTCTTTCTGCCTGCGCCACATGCCTGTCTCCACCCCTCCCAACCCCACAGGACCTTGCGCGTTTGCGGGATGTTATCGGTGCTACAGTGCGCAGAACAGGCAAGTGGACCGCCGCCCTTGCCGCCCGCTCCTGCCCGCAATGCCCCGACTGCTCCCTCACTCCGCCGTCCACAATCGGGCCGGTCTGCACTGCGCCGGGATTCGTCAACTGCAGCTGCCCGAGCGGGCAGTCGGGCAGGCTTAAGTTTCCGAAGCGGACCGAGAAGCCGCTGTGCACGGACGGCGCGTCGCCGGGCAGGTGGAAAAGCTACAGCCAATGGGAGGCCGACAACTGTCAGTACCGAGAGATTTCGACAGACAGCCTTAGGGAATGCCTGAAAGGGAAATGGATACACTTTTTTGGAGACTCGCTGTCGCGGTTACTGGCAAATGAATTTGCGAGGCAGTGTGGGATGCAGCGTAGGTCGTGGGATGGTGACAAGGCAAGGAGCACGTTGCTGGATACCAGGGCGGATCAACAGGTGGCAGAGGGGGGGAACGGAGGCGGTGGGGGAAGGAGGAGGAGACTGGCAGGTGGTGTGATGCTAGAGGGAAGAGGAGGTAGAGGAGGCGGAGGAGGAGGAGGGGCGGTTGATGCTGGTTGGTTAAATGGGGGGGCAGGTGGGGGTGAGAGAGCAGCATATGGGGACTGGGATGGAATGGAGGGAGGGGAGATGGAGGAGTGGGAGGTGCCTCAGGATTTGAGAAGTGAACGAGAGGAGGAGAGTGTGGGAGAGGACGAGAGGAGGGTGGGCGGCAGGAGGCGGCTGCTTATGTCGCGGGACGAGTGGCCGCGAGTGACTTATCTGTTTCGAGGGAAGATGGCACATCAGCGGCACCCGGAGGTGGGTGGATGGTGGAGCAGTGCGTTTCGTGCATGTATACCTCTCCACCCCTCTCGACCCCTCTTCACACATCTCGACCCCTCTCGACCCCTCTTCACCCCTCTCCACCCCTACAGGAGAACGCCACAGAGGAGCGGGATCTGAACAACAAGTTCCTGGAGTCGTTTAAGCAGCCCGGGGGGCAGCAGCCTGACTTCCTCATCATGAGCATTGGGGCGCATGAGGTGAGGCAGGGCATTCCAGGGCATGTTTTCTTCATACTAGGTGAGTATGAGGGCAGCAGCTAGGGGGACAGCAACCAGGGGGGCAGCAGCCTGACTTCCTCATTATGAGCATTGGGGCGCACGAGGTGAGGCATGGCATTCCAGGGCATGTTTTCATACCAGGTGAGCATGAGGGCAGCAGCTAGGGGGACAGCAACCAGGGGGGCAGCAGCCTGGCTTCCTCATGTTGAGTCGACTCAAAACCAGTCTGGCTTCCTCATGTTGAGTCGACTCAAAACCAGTCTGGCTTCCTCATGTTGAGTCGACTCAAAACCAGTCTGGCTTCCTCATGTTGAATCGACTCAAAACCAGTCTGGCTTCCTCATGTTGAGTCGACTCAAAACCAGTCTTGCTTCCTCATGTTGAGTCGACTCAAAACCAGTCTGGCTTCCTCATGTTGAGTCGACTCAAAACCAGTCTGGCTTCCTCATGTTGAGTCGACTCAAAACCAGTCTGGCTTCCTCATGTTGAGTCGACTCAAAACCAGTCTGGCTTCCTCATGTTGAGTCGACTCAAAACCAGTCTGGCTTCCTCATGTTGAGTCGACTCAAAACCAGTCTGGCTTCCTCATGTTGAGTCGACTCAAAACCAGTCTGGCTTCCTCATGTTGAGTCGACTCAAAACCAGTCTGGCTTCCTCATCATCAGCATTGGAGCGCACAAGGTGAGGCATGGTTGTGGGGACATGAAGTGAGCGCACATGGGGTGCACGAGGTGAGGTAATAGGTTGGAATCACCTACCCCCACCAGACCTGGATGTAGCAACGTTTAAGAAGGACACAGAGGAGCTGCTACAGCTGCTGCTTCATCTTTCTCTGCAACAGCAACCCCTTTTCCCTTACTCATGCACTCTCCTCCTCCCTTAATTTACAGGTAATAGGGTGGAATCGCCGCCCCCCGCCTGACCTGGATGTAGCCACGTTCAAGAAGGACACGGAGGAGCTGCTACAGCTGCTACGAGGGAGCTATAACCGGGATAAGGGCATGCTGCTGTGGTGGAAGGCGCACTACATCTGGCCAGGTGAGAGTCTGTGTAGTCTGTGTAATCTGTGTGGTTTTGTTTTTTAGACGCCTCGTAAAAGCTGCTACATCGGCTGAGAGGGAGCTAATGCCGGGATAAAGGCATGCTGCTGTGGTGGAAGGTGCACTATATCTGGCCCGGTGAGAGAACGTTAATTTGTGCTGGCAGGCGCTCTTGTTGCAAGTGTTGGTCAAAATGAAACCTCTTTTTTTTTTTTTTCTTATTTTTTTTTCGTTTTAGCTGCATTGCGTTGGTGCCATGATTGGATGTTCGCCCTTGTCATTACGGTCCCTTACTGCCCTCTCTCATCCTCTACCTGACCCTGCTTCCTCTTCTCCTCACATCCCACTATAAACAGGCAAGGTTACTGGACAAGACTATTTCACCGTGCGGCAATACCATGAAATATATCAAGATTATTCGTACAAACGATTCCAGGAGGAAGGCTACACTACAGCAGATTTCTATCAGACCACAGAGGATCGGCCGGAGCTTATATGGAAGCCAGATGGAGTACACTACGGCTCTGAAGCTTTGGCTGTACACTCCAAGATTCTAGCTAACATATTGTGCAATAAAAAATAGACACAGCCATACCTTCAAGAAGTTTTGTTTGTACCTTCAAATTCACTAAAGCTGAATGCATTTTATCACACTAGGTTTTGCAATGATTCTACACCAAGCCAGATCCCACGCAGCGTACAGGTGGAATCGGAATGAAAGCATGCAACACAGCTAAAACTGTTACAGGTCACATGCGTTTTCTCAGACATCTCAAACTGTTACACAACCTTCAAAGCAATCTATACACTGAATCGAACAAACACAATCGGAAGCCATCACAATACACAGTTTGAATCGTCCTTAATTCCTTTCAGTGTTGAAATTGTGCAGGCACCAACCAGTTTCCTCCCACCGCCGACCAGAGTTCCAGAGTCAACTCAACACTCATCTCCTCTGGTGCTGAAAGTTGTGCAGCCTCCTCCCAACCAAGTACCTATCGTCCCGAATTGCATCATGCAGCGACGCAAGCCACTCACACACCCGCCGCCACACCCTCGCCGTGCCCACCACCCCCAGCGCGGTGATCCACGCGAATCGAAACGCTGCTGATTCGAGCACGGGGGGGAGGCGGAGCAAGGGGAGGGCTGCGCGGACTGCCAGGAAGGGGGCAGAGAGGGCTGTGAGGAGGAAGAGGAGGACTGGGGCGATAATTTCCTGGAAGGTGCGGCGGGCGTTGAGGCGGCGGAGGCCGTCTTGTTGCAGGCGGAGGAAGCGGGCTCGCCACTCGTGGTTGGCTAGTAAGTGGTTCTGTGCGGTGACCTGCGGTGCAAGAAAAGCAGGATGAGACCGAGAGTCCAGTCGTAGTAGAGCAAGAGCAGAGGGGAATTGACAGGCAAAATATTTTTGAGTCGACTCAAGAATTGACAGGCACAATATGGACTAGAGTGCAACGCTGCCCTCTTTCTCAACGCAGGGACTTTTGAGTTGACTCAAAAGTCACCACAATATGGACCAGAGAGCAACACTGCCCTCTTTCTCAACGCAGGGAAGAAAAGGGAGGGTGAACGGCCATTCGCAGAGAGGGGGGATTGAGAGACTCACCACTCTGGCCCAGAGCTTGAGCAGAATAAGCCCGAGAGCCCAGTCGTGGTAGAGAGAGAGCAGCGGAGACTCGTTGATGGCAACGCGGACAGGTAAACGGATGGACAAGTGTGTGGGAACTCTCATATTTACTATGAATGAAAAAAAAGAGAAACTAACGACTCACCACTCTGGCCCAGAGCTTGAGCAGAATGAGCCCGAGCGCCCAGTCGTGGTAGAGAGAGAGCAGCGGAGGATGACAGGCACACAGACACGCATGCACCCCTCGATGGGGGTATGAATGAACGCATGAATGGGAGCGCTGATGGGCGCACTCATCACTCTCACAAAGACTCACCACTCTGGCCCAGAGCTTGAGCAGAATGAGCCCGAGCACCCAGTCGTGGTAGAGAGAGAGCAGCGGTGACTCGTTGATGGGCACTCGGATTGGCATGATGACTGCCAGGTCGACCAGCAGACCCGCTAGGATGGGCGCCACCACCAGCTGTGGGTGGGGGGGTGGAAGACAAGCAAGAGAGGGAGCAGAGCAGAGCAGAGCAGCGGGGACTCATTGATGGGTACATGGATAGGCATGATGACTGCTAGGTCGACCAGTAGGCCTGCTAGGATGGGCGCCACCATAAGTTGCAGGGAGGGGATACGGGTACAGAGTGCAGACAGGGAGAGGGGAGATAGCAGAGGGGATTCCATTGATGTCGTTTTTGAGGTTTGAGGCGCCTCAAAAACGACCTCAGAGCAGGCAGGGAGAGGGGAGATAGCAGAGGGGATTCCATTGATGGGCATGATGGCTGCCAGGTCGACTAGCTAGCAGACCCGCTAAGATCGGCGCTACTAGCAACTGAAAGGAGGGGGATGGGAAGGGAGAGAAGGGTACATGGAACGGGGGTTCCAAGGACGAGGAAAAAGTTTCATGGAAAGGGGAAATGCGAAGGAATTCGAGACACAGCAACGAAACGGGAAGGGGGTAGAGAAAAAGAAGGAAAGGACGTTCGCTCAACTTGACTTTGAAAGCGAGCACTCACCCACAGCAGCAGAAGCACCGCCGCTTTCAGCGCCACAGCAGCCCAGTGCACGAGAGGCAGCAGCAGCATCTGCATGTTGTTACGCGGTAACCGCAAGACGGCTGCTCGCATCGCAGCTATGGACCCCCAGATGATGTAGGCTCCGATGCCGAATGAATAGAGGTCTGGATGGGTGGAGAGGGGTGTGAGGGAGTGAAGTGGGGAGGAGGGGATGAGTGAGTGTTGTTAAGGGCGTTTCACCTCTGGGCTCGAAACCCTAAATTCGAACATGCGTATCGTTTTCACTGTACGAACACTGTCCCTTGCAGTTCCGAATAAAGTTTCGAACAGAAAGACACATGTGATAGCCTGTTCTCCAGGTGACGGCCCCCTTGTTCGAACAAGCGCCTTGTTCGAACATGCGACGTCGTCCAAATTCGGGCGACAACGCGAGGCGAGGAATCCACCGTTTGAGGGTTCGTCAGCCTCTACAAACAGGCCAAAAATGCTTTCGCGTTCAATGCGACTCTCCCAAGCCAAAAACTCATTCGTGGGCGATGCAGCGAACTGCTGACCAATCAAATGCCTTGAAAGAAGCGGAATTCCTGTCACCAATGTCTGGGCGTTCGAACAGCTCTGTTCGTACGTGCAGCTTGAATTGCTACCAGCCAGATGTGACAGCATTGTTCGGATGGGCGACAATTCCGTCATGCGACATCGTAGAAGCCCATGCGAATTGTGGCGAACAATGTAACATTTCGCTTGTTCGAACGAGAGTGTTGTTCGAACAGCGAGGTGAAACACCCTAAGTACAGCACAGCAGCTATGGACCCCCAGAAGAGGTAGGACCCGATACCGAAGGAATACAGGTCTGGATGGGTGGAGAGGGGTACAAGAGAGTGATGTAAGTTAAGGATGCATTGTGGCCAGCAGCACTAGGAAGCAAGGACGCATCGTTGCCCCACAGCCGTGGGCAGCAGCACAACTCCGTGTTGAATGCTGCTAGTGACGCCCATGCCGCCACCAGCAGTGCCACTCAGTGCCAAATTCCACTGAGTGGCACCAGCAGTGCCACTCAGTGCAAGAGACCCACCCACCTGTGTCTTACCATTGCAGGGAGCATCGTCAGCAGCACCAGCAGTGCCACAGTGTGTGACAGAAGATGGATGGGTGCATGGGTGGAACACCCACCTCACCTTACCAGTGCGGCTGTGTCTTACCATTGCAGGGAGCATCGTCAGCAGCACTGGGCAGAAGGGAAGCAGAGAGGCGGAAGGCCCCTCGCCCCACAGCCGTGGGCAGCAGCACAACCGCCGTGTTGACCGCTGCTAGAGACGCCCACGCCGCCACCAGCAGTGCCACTATCCGCAGCCGGAAATGCTCGTCCTCCTTCTTGCCCCCACTCCCCCCGCTGCCGCTGACAGTGCCACTGCTGTTGCCACCATTGCCATCTGTGATTCTTCTGCTGCTGCTGCCACTACCGCTGCCAACCTCCTTGATACTGTCACTGGCAGCACCACTGCCGCTTCTGCTGCTTTTTCCTCTGTCTTTGTCACTGGAATCGGCAATAGAGGCTACAGCATCCCTGTCCTTACCCCTTTCTCTCTCTCCCTCTTCTCTTCTCGTCTCCTCCCTCTCTCCACTATCCTCCTCCACTGCCTTCCCCTTTCCCTTTAATCTCTCCAGCTCCCCTCTCTTCAATACCTCCTTCCCTTCCTCCTCTTCCTCTTCTTCCTCTTCCTCCCCCTCCTTCTCCCCCTCTTCCCCCCCCTCCTTCTCCCCCTCTTCCTCCACCTCCCCAACCCTTGTATGCGAGCCAGCCCCAACAACTACACCTGCTCTCACAGCAACAGTACCACGCGAAGGTGCTGCTGCTGCTCTCGCCATGGCTGCCGCTGCTGCCTTTTCCGCAGCCACTATTCTCTCAACAAACCGGCTGTCCACAGTAGCATCAGCAGGAGCAGTAGCATCAGCAGGAGCAGTAGCATCAGCAGGAGCAGTACTATCAGCAGGAGCAGTACTATCAGCAGGAGCAGTACTATCAGCAGGAGCAGTACTATCAGCAGGAGCAGTAGCATGGGACACTGCTGGAAAAAGAAAGGTCTCAGGTGCAGCAGGGGTGAAAGGGGATTGGATGGCAAGAGGAGCGGGAGGAGGAGGAGGAGGAGGAGGAGGAGGAGGAGGAGGAGGAGGAGGAGGAGGAGGAGGAGGAGGAGGAGGAGGAGGAGGAGGAGGAGGAGGAGGAGGAGGAGGAGGAGGAGGAGGAGGAGGAGGAGGAGGAGGAGGAGGAGGAGGAGGAGGAGCAGCAGCAGCAGCAGCAGCAGCGGCAGGGTGGAAAGCAACAGGAGGGGGAGGAGGGTGAAAGGCAATCGGAGGAGGGGGAGGAGGAGCAGCAGCTGCACCACCAGCAGCAGCAGCAGGAGGAGGAGGAGGGGGGGCAGCAGCAGCAGCACCAGCGGCAGCACCAGCACCAGCACCAGCAGCAACAGCGTCAGCAGCAGCGGGGGCAGGAGGGGGCGGGAGCAGGAATGGCTGCAGCATGAGCAGGCGGGCAGCAGCGCGGAACCAGAGAGAGAGGGCGGCCTTGATGGTGGCCCGGGGGCGCAGGCGGTCGATGGCAAAGGGGATGCACACGTGGAAGAGCAGCATGTCTAGTGGGATCTCCATTAGGGGGTCGGAGAACCTGGGGGGAATGGGGAGTCGGGAGTGGTGGGGAATGGTAGAGAGTGGCGGAAAATACGCATGTGTGAATGAGAGGGCGCGGGGTTGCAGGCAGTTGATAGCAAAGGGGATGCACACGTGGAAGAGCAGCATGTCTAGTGGGATCTCCATTAAGGGGTGGGAGAATCTGCAAGGGGGAGTGGGGGTAGAATCTGCAAGGGGGAGTGGGGGTAGAATCTGCAAGGAAATGGTGGAGGTGGGGCGAGTGGGGGGTTGGGGGAGTGGGGGAAGATTGAATGAGGAGGCTCGGGGGGGCAGCTGGTCGATGGCAAAGGGGATGCACACGTGGAAGAGCAACACGTCAAGCGGGATCTGGACGGGAGAGGGGGGAAGGGATAGGGGGTAGGAAGAGCAACAGCACGACCAGTGCGCCAGAGGCAAAGAGAGAGAGAGAGAGAAATACGGCGCAAGAGATGAGATGGAAAGACGACGGGAGGGAGAGGGGTCTGGGGCTAGAACTGACCTGTAGTTAAAAGGGAACATGCTGGGGGCGATGGCGATGGCTGCTCGCACGGGCAAGAACAGCAGCAGGACCACGAGCGCGCCATAGGCGAAGAGAGAGAGCACAATGCGGCGCGCGTGCTTGGGAATGGGGTCCTCCACCAGGTCCCTGAAGGGGTTGAAGTTGGGGTCTGTGGGGTCTCGAAGGAAGGAGAGGACGCCTGGTCGCAGGATCTGGGGCAGGGGGACAACAGGGGAGAAAAAAGGGATAAACACGTGCTTGGGAATGGGGTCCGGCACCAAGAGCGTAAGGGGTTGAAGCTTGGGATGGTGAGATTGCGGAGGAAGGACAAAACGCCTGGGCGAAGGATCTGGGGAGAAGGGACGAACGAGGGAAGAGTACGGGGAAGGAGGGGGGAGGGGGGAGGGAACAGGGAGAAGGCAGTGCTTGCAAATGGGGCTGTAACTTGTACGTGGGATGGGAACAGAGATCAATCTTTACATATATTACTTGGTTCTGCTAAGTTTCTGCTAGCAAGGGAAACAAGCATACCTCTCTCAACATGGTGACGAGCAGGCTGACTTGCAGCATGTAGAGAATCCCCACGAACCAGTGCAGGAAGCAGCACAGCATAGCAGCGGGTGCGCAAGCAGCACCACATGCATGGAACCTCTCTCACTGCAGTAACCAGCAAACCCACTAGCAAGCATGCCAATACTGGATTGCAGCAGGCATACCTCTCTGAGAATGGTAACCAGCAGGCTGACTTGCAGCATGTACAGTATCCCCACGAACCAGTGCAGGAAGCAGCACAGCAGCGGGTGCGCCAGCAGCAGTGCGAGGCGGTCCGAGGGGGAGGCGCCAAAGAGGGAGAGCGAGCAGAAGTCGATCCACCAGCCGCAGAGGAACGGGAAGGCGCCTAGCTCCACTGAGAGGAGGCTAGTGACCTTAAGAACGACTAGCCCATGCCTGATAGGGATAAGAATGTAAAGGGAGAAATAGGAAGGGATACACATAGGTGAAGAGGCACTGAAGAGAGAGAGAGAGAGCGAGCAGAAGTCGATCCACCAGCCGCAGAGGAACGGGAAAGCGCCGAGCTCCACTGACAGGAGACTGGTGACTTTTAGAACGAATAGCCCATGCCTGTGTGGGGTGGGGAAAAATGGATAGGGTTGGATGGAAAGGGGTGAGACTGGTAGCAACTCCCTCGCCACCTGCAGCAGCACGAGCAGCGTGGCGGGCAGAGGCCCCACCAGCAGCAATCCTCTGGCTCTCCTCAACTGAATCGCGACGAGCACATGCACGGCACAGCAGAAGGCCACGACTTCATACCCCACCTGGAGCAGCAGAAGCAGCACTCCCTACCAGGCGCTATAGCCTCACCTGACAGCCGCCACCAGGTGCTCCTGAATCGCCGGCGCCACCTGCAGCAGTGCGAGCAGCGTGGCAGGCAGAGCCCCCACCAAGGGAAGACCTCTAGCTCTCCTCAGCTGAATGGCAACCAATACGTGGACAGCACAGCAGAACGCCACGACCTCGTACCCCACCAGCAGCGACACCAGGTTCCCCGCTGCCAGCCCGTGGCCTGCTTCCGCCCAGCGCAGGCCCAAGAGCGTGCAGCACCACTGCGAGTAGAGCGCTGCTGCCAGCACGAGCTGGTGGGAGAGGGACGAGAGGTGGGCTGTGGTGATTTGGAGCAGGTGGGCCAGGAGGGCTGTCGTGGTGGTGGTGCTGGTGCTGGTGGTGGTTGCGGAGCTGCTGCTGTTGGTGATGTTGCTGCTGCTGCTGCTGCTGCTGCTGCTGCTGCCGCTGTTGCTGCTGGGGGGAATGGAGCCGCTGCTGCTGCTCTCCCCACTGTATATCATCCCATGCTTCCCCACAGCCCCACTCCCTCGCCCACCCTCCACCACTGCTGTTCCCGCACGCTCATCCTCGCTCCCTTCTCCTCTCACCTCTCCTCTCCACTCCCCTCTCCTCTCGTCTCTCCTCTTCCCACTCCGCCTCTTCCCCCTCCTGCCCTGCAGCTGTGAAAATGACTTAGACGCATGCGGGAAGCGAGGAGGAAGGTTTGATTTCCAGGCCCACTCATGCTCCCCCTCTCGCACACCCCTGTACACCCCCTTATAGCCACCCTCGTGCTCATTCTCCCCACTAAACACGCCCTGAGACCAACCCCCGTTCTCATACGCACACACAGGGAGTTCGTCCAAAAACGCAGGCCGGGAGGAAACAGGGCAGAAGCTCCAATCAGAAAACGGTTTCGAGGAGTTGAGATAGGCTGGGTAGATTGGAGGGATGCAGGACGGGGTGGAGAGCGGTGGAGGGGTGGGAAGGGGGAGCGTGGGGGGCCCGAGGAGGAGAGAGTAGATGGGGACGAGAGAGATGGTTGAAGCGGGGGAGAGGAAGAGGAAGGAGAAGAGGGCGATGTATAGGCGACCAAGGTTGAATGGGAGGAAGAATGCGAGAACGAGCACAAAGAAATTGCTGCAGAGCACCTGAAGGGCATAGGGGGGGATGGAAGGAGGAGGTTAACGATGAGGAATGGGGACAGAAGGGGAGAGGGGAGGACGAAGAGCATGAGGGCAAAGAAGACGGATGCACCACCACCTGAAGGTGATGGAGGGAGAAGACGAGGTGGGGGGAAGCAGGGGGAGTGGGGGGGAGAGAAAGAGAGCGGCATTCGGAGCACTCACGGTGGTGGCGTTCTCAAAGAGGCGCCACAACGGCCCCTGCAGCGAAGTGACTTTTGAGTCGACTCAAAAAAGTGACGTGTGCCACTGTAACGAGGTGACTTTTGAGTCGACCAAAGTCACCGCGAAAAAACAGCCCCTGCAGCATTTACAGCACTCACCGTGGTGGCATTCTCAAAGAGGCGCCATAACGGTCCCTGCAGGCCTATCAGTTCTTCAAACCCTAGATCGTCCATGGGCTCTCCATCCTCATCCACCTCCCCCTCCCCCATGCCCCCCTCTGCCTCCTCGAAATCCTCCTCCTCTTCCTCCTCCTCCTCTTCCTCCTCCTCTTCCTCCTCCTCTTCCTCTTCCTCCTCCTCCTCCTCCTCCTCCTCATACTCGTAATCATCATCATCGTCCTGAAAGATCCCAGTCTCCTCTTCCTCTTCCTCACTCCCCTCATCCCCACTGCCCCCCTCCTCCTCACTCACTTCACTGATTCCTTCTCTAAATTCCTCATCTCCGCGTATCTCATTCCCCCACGCACTCCCCCTTTGCGCGGATACCCCCACACCATCTCCGCTTCCCCAATCCCCCGCGTCTGGGCGGATGAATTCGCGCCATCTCCGCCCGTCTCATCCCCCCACAGCTTCTCTTGCCCCCTCCTCCCCTCCCCATGCTCCCCTCCCTCCCCCAACCCACCTGCTGCTGTCTCCTCTTCCCTCTCCACCCCTCTTCCCTTCCCACGGCCGTCACTGCCTCTCCCCTCTGCTTCCTCTGTACATACTCTTTCCTCTTTTCTTTCTATTCCTTCCGGCCCCTTTCCGAGTCTCAACCTCCCCACCTGTCCACCCTCTCTTCGAGCTACTCCACCCCCCTCTCCCCCACTCACTTCCCCGTCACTTCCCCCCACTTCTCCCCAGATCTCACCACCTCCCCCACCATCTCTCTCTTTCCCGCTGCCTCCGCCCTCCGTTCCGCCTTCCTTCCCCGCACTCTTTCGCCCAGCCCCAGTCACGGTAGCAGCAGAACCTGCTGTTACCGCATAGCCCCCTTCCGCTGCTCCTTCCCTTTCTTCCCCTTCCCTCCCTATCCCTCCTCCCTCCGCTCCTCCCGCCGCTCCTTCCTCTGCTCCTACTCCTGCCGCTTTCACTGCCCCTGGCCCCTCTGCGCCTTCCCTCCCTAACTCTTCTCTCTCCGCCTCCTCCCCCGGCTCGTCCCTCCTGCTATTCCTGCCCCGCTCGTCCAACTGCCCGGTTCCCAGTTGCCCCGCCTCTCCAGCCGGGCGAAAGAAGAATCTCGCCGGGCCACGGGTCTCCTGGGCGGAAGGATTCGCACCAAACACGAACGGCTGGCCGTCCGTCGCAGGGCCAGTCGCAGGGCCTGTCGCAGAGCCACCTGCATGGTCGTTGAACGAAAACGGTCGCCCAGACGAACCTGCGGGAATAGGATTCCCCAAGGGGAGGACCACGGGGGGAGGGGGAGGGGGAATCGCGCGCGGAGGGGGGGGAGGCGGCAGCGCTACACCCGCTCTTTCCTCGTCCCCATTTTGTCGAATTCGCGCAGCGTCCTGTCGATGTTGTTGTAACGGGGGGGGAGGGGGTGGGGGGGCCTGGTGCTGGTGCCGGTGCTGCTGGTGGCGCTGGTGCTGGTGGTGCTGGTGATGGTGGTGGTGCTGGTGCTGGTGCTGATGCTCGTGGTGGTGGTGATGGTGGTGATGATGGTGATGGTGATGAAGTCTCTGCTGCTGGCCCCCCTGCGGCATCTGCCCCTGCTGCCCCTGCAGCTGACCCCGCGCCTGCGCCACAAGCGCTCCCCCTTCCGCCTCCGCCTCCGCCCCCTCCCCCTCCCCCGCCCGCCCCCCACCCCCACCTCAAACCCCTCCTCCCCTTCCATCTGCTGCTCTAAAAGCTGCGCTAGATACTCCCTCAGAGACGACAAACTCAGAAAAAACAAAATCACCGCCGCGGACAGCACGCTGCCCAGCACGCAGTCATGGAAAATCGCGCCGCCAGTGAGCCTTTCGCGGAACAGCGCGCCGATGCGCGTCCAGTCGCGGAGGAAGCAGAGATGCCAGATGGAGCTCGTGAGGAACGGCACGAGCAGCAGCCACACGAATGCGATGAGCGCGGCGCGCAGCACGAACGAGACGGCGCGCCCCGCCATCAGCGCCGCGCCCGCGAGGAACTCGTTGGGGGGGAGGCGGGACGGCGCGTTGGGCGCGTAGATGGGGGAGAAGATGAACGCGCGCTTGCATACCTGGATGTGGGGAAACGGGTTGGGCGCAATGAACAGGGAGCGGAAGGAGACGGATGGTGACTTACGGAAAGGAAGCGGCCGTGGAGACGGACGGTGAAAGATGGTGGCTTTCGCCTGTACGGTGAATTTGCCAGGTGTACTGCTGAAGGGAATTTGTCCCGTGAAAGGAAACAGAGAACTTGCCACATGTACGCAAGAAGAAAGCTTGCCACGTCTTCGAGCAGAGGAAGCTTGCTAAGGATATGACAGGATACTCGTCAGGACGACAAGACTCAAGAACACCGCAAACGCTCGGACACATAGCTACATGAAGGAACGCAGATGGACACGGATGCGATGGCCATGAAAGTGGGACGCGACTATCGAGGCACCCCAACAGTCGCCTTTTCAGGCGACGCTGAGGACAGAGAGGCGATTGCCGACAGAGTGAGACATGTAGCGAATAAGGAGACTGAATCTTTTTTAGTAGGAAGAAGGAGAAAGAAAGGGCGGTGTGATGCCGACGCGATGTTATTTATAAGAAACACAGGACCTTGAGGGGAACCAAGCAATAGACTTTTGGGTCGACTCGCAAGTCAACTAAGTTGCACGAAAATGAAGAACACTCGGGTCACGAATACAGGCGGTACACCATAGAACCGCGTCAGTGTCAAGGTCCGCGAGCGAGCGCGAATCTCGCCGTGCGTTCCGTTCTTGCGCGACAGCTTTGAGACACAGCAAAGAAGGAACAGCTGCAACCTGCGAAGCCACAAGGCTGCGAAGCTGCAACTTTCGTGAGGCGACAAGCTGCGAGCACTTACGAACCTCGCAGTGCGTTTTGTTGCTGTGGTGCAGCCATTGCAGCAAGCAGCCCTGATGCACGAACTTGATGCTCCCGCTACAAGCACACGGGTGGTACAGCGGATCCCCCTCCGCTGCTGGCGCACGGCAGATCCTACACACGTCCTCCTCCTCCTCCTTCATGGCTGGATAAAGTTAAAGATTATCCTTGATCGGTGTCATACAGATCGTTCGAACTATTTAAGTATTTCTGTAACAAAGGCTACATAGACTTTGCCCGTGAAGTGCGGACTGGCAGAACAGAACTTGAGTCTGCGAAAACCAGGTGAGGCTAGAACTAATACGGAAAACAGGAGAAGGGTAGAAGCTGATCGAAAGCAGACGGCAGACGGTTGGGCTAAGATGATTCCAAAGAGATTAGAAAAGCGAGGTGAAAGGAAAGCCAAAGCTTCTGAATAGACGAACCCTAGATTCAGAACTAAGCTGAAGCATGAACCTACCTCATCTGGATTCTGAAGGTACAGCCAACCCTAGATTCGAATCTGAGCGGAAGAGGGGGGTGAGGAGGACGGAGAGTGGAGGGCCGCAGCCATAACTTGGCGATTTCTTCGGTGTCACGCCACGGTAACATCTCGTTGAGCTCGCAAAACATCTGAACATTGGTCAAATGAGCTCGTAACGAGCTGCTGCGACACTCCCAGCAGAGCTGCTCAGCACCCGCTGTTACCGAGCTGCAAAAATTAATATACTGTACAGTTTTTCTTCCTCTTATCCGTAGGTTCTGACACCAAGCGGGGTGGCGGGAAATCAATGCTTGTCCATGTGATTTTGGCGAAGGATATTCTAGACAGCAGGAGACCAGTGGAAACGTGGCGTATGGTCACGTAGGATCCTTATCCATTCGCGACAGAAGCAACACTTTCCAGGTTCGCGAGCGCCAGCTGACCTGGACATCGTCAGGTCGTGCCACGTACTACACAATAGCGAAATGATCTCCTAGTCTCGTTACCATCATCGGGTGTCGCAAATCTCGTCCACCAGAAAATGAACAACGCTGCGGTTACCACGTGCCGCCAGACATCAATCGTAAACAAGGCTGGGACTCGGGTGACAGCGGTTCTCACAATTCACCGTTTCGAAACATGACAAACCATATCAAACCATGTCAGAAAGCTTGAAACCAAACCCAGAGCACACACCACAAACCGTTGTGATCAGTTTCACAGTTGTCGCTAATGCTATTCTCTCGGGAGCTCTGGCCTTCTGCGAAACAACTAGCTTTCTTTCTCGATGATATCAATGCCGCAGCCATAATTGCCAGACCTGCCGTATGATACCTACTAGCTTGTTGGACTTGCCTTGTGGATCAGCTACGGCTGACCATCGGGGGAAGCTTGTAAGAGTAGCTGGTCAGGTCGGAAATTCTGCTGTAGCTGCTGCAGTTGCTAGCTAACATGGCGGCGACGTTAATCTGTCCAGCCATGGCTGCGGTAACACCCAAGGCACAGCAGCCAATGACGCATCAACCAGCTACTCGGAAAATCGCCAGACTAACAATGTTCTTACCGCAGCCGATCACGCTTAACGGCCAGATACCTACGCACCACCATCATCACCATTCATATTTCGCCACCTCTCCAGATCGCACACCGTCAGTGTTCTCTTCACGAAGCCGCGTACCTGCCGTCAGACGACAGCCGGTGATCGCAAGAGCGCAATCCGACGGTTCCGATGCACCACCAACCCAGACGCCTCCGCCGGCAACCCCACCGCCGGCAACTTTCAAGTCGTCACAAACCTCTCAACCGGCAACTTCGCAACCGGCCGGCACGCTGGAGCTTGTCGGCGAGGACGCCGCCGTCTTCAGCATTGACGACCAGAAAACCTCCTCCTGGGCGGCGTTTTTTGGCGTATTAGGCGTCGTAATGGCGATTTTGTACGTCATCTGGATCGATCCAGACACCGGATTTGGAGGCGCGTACATCGGTCTGTTCGAATCGATCTCCGATAGTCGCGAGATTCAGATGCTGCTGATGCTGCTCGTGTTCGCGATCGTTCACAGCGGAGGCGCGGCGCTCCGGCCGGCGGCGGAGCGCGTGATAGGCGAGCGCGCTTATCGCGTGCTGTTCGCGGGGATCTCGCTGCCCCTCGCCGTCTCCGCCGTGGTACGTCTCAGGTCACGGCTGACAATCAGTTAACTGACGTAACTCGTGACTTCATTAAAGAATGTGTGTTTACAACCGACTGACGAAGTGACTTTTGGGTCAACAACGAGTCTCCACACTCACTGATTCTCTCGCCCTCACTCGCACTCCCTTCACTCTCTCCCTCCCTCCTCTTCCCCACCCCCTTCCCCCATTCCTCTACCCGCAAACCACCCATCCCTCCCCCAACAGGTGTTTTTCATCAACCATCGCTATGACGGCTTCCCTCTCAGGCAGCTGCGGGGAATCCCAGGCATGCACGAGCTCGTTTGGGCGCTCGCCTTCTTCCCCCTCACTCCCACCCATCCTACCCCCCATTCCCAAATCATCAGGTCTTTTTCATCAACCACCGTTATGACGGCTTCCCTCTGTGGCAGCTGCGGGGAGTTGTGGGCATGCACGAGTTCGTGTGGGCGCTCGCCTTCGTCTCCTTCTTCTTCCTCTACCCCTCCACCTTCAATCTGCTCTTGTCCCGCTCACGCTCACCCCCCATCTCAACCACCCGCCCACCCACCCAACCTTCACAATATCAGGTGTTTTTCATCAACCATCGTTATGACGGCTTCCCTCTCTGGCAGCTACGGGGAGTTGTGGGCATGCACGAGTTCGTGTGGGCGCTGGCGTTCGTCTCCTTCTTCTTCCTCTACCCCTCCACGTTCAATCTGCTCGAGGTGGCAGCGGTTGATAAACCCAAGCTGCACATGTGGGAGACGGGCATCATGCGGATTACTAGACACCCCCAGGTGCGGTTTAGTGCGGTGCAGTGTGGTTTGGTGTGGTATGGTCTCTCCCTTTCCCCCCCTCCATCCCTCTCCCTCCTTCTTCCTCTACCCCTTCACCTTCACTCTGCTTGAGGTGGCGGCGGTTGATAAGCCCAAGCTGCACATGTGGGAGACGGGCATCATGCGAAACACCCGCCACCCCCAGGTGGGCTTTGGTTAAGTGCGGTGCAGCAGTCTCTCCCCTTTCCCCTCTCCTCCTTCTCTACCCTTCCACCTTCAATCTACTCGAGGTGGCAGCGGTTGATAAACCCAAGCTGCACATGTGGGAGACGGGCATTACATCCAGATGACCGGTCAGCTGCTCTGGTGCATTGCGCACATGCTCTGGTGCATTACTCACATGCTCTGGTGCATTACTCACATGCTCTGGTTCATTACTCACATGCTCTGGTGCATTACTCACATGCTCTGGTTCATTACTCACATGCTCTGGTGCATTACTCACATGCTCTGGTGCATTACTCACATGCTCTGGTGCATTACTCACATGCTCTGGTGCATTACTCACATGCTCTGGTTCATTACTCACATGCTCTGGTGCATTGCTCACATGCTCTGGTGCATTACTCACATGCTCTGGTGCATTACTCACATGCTCTGGTGCATTGCGCACATGCTCTGGTGCATTACTCACATGCTCTGGTGCATTACTCACATGCTCTGGTCCATTGCACACATCCTCTCCTCCACCTTATGTTTCCTTCTCCTCCCATCGCTCTCCTTTCATCAGATGACCGGTCAGCTCCTCTGGTGCGTGGCGCACATGCTCTGGATCGGCTCCTCCTTCACGGCAGTCACCTCCCTCGGCCTCTTGCTGCACCACATGTTCGGTGTGTGGCACGGGGACCAGCGACTGGAGAAGAAGTATGGAGAGGCATTTGACGAGGTGAGCAAGAGAGGAGGGGTGTGTGTGTGTTGGGGGGGGGGAGGGGAGGGGGGGGGGGGGGGGAGTCTAGGTGCTTGCTGTTACATCCCTTCGCCTTTCCGCTGCTGCACCACCTGTTCGGCGTGTGGCACGGCGACCAGACCAGCGACTGGAGAAGAAGTATGGAGAGGCATTCGACGAGGTGAGCAGAGCAAGAGAGGAGGGGTTCGTCTGGATAAGTCTCGGTGCTTTCTCTCACGTCCCTTGGCCTGTGCCTGTACCACCTGTTTGGCGTCTGGCACGGAGACCAGCGTCTATCCGAGAAATGCGGAGAGGCGTTTGATGAGGTGAGTCTGAGCTGTTCTGATTGTGATTGGGCACTCCTAGGTGCGTCAATTCTAGTGTAGCTGGGTTCAAGGCAGGTCACTTCCTTTGCGGCAGTCACGTCCTGCGGCCTGCTGCTGCACCACATGTTCGGTGTCAAGGCAGGCCTGCTGTGTAGGTATGTGTCGTTGGTTTCAAGGCAGGCCTGCTGCTGCACCACATGTTCGGTGGGTGGCACAGCGACTAGCGTCTTGCGGCTTCCCAACAAGGGAAGAAACAAGGGGAGGCCTTTGAGGAGGTGAGAAAGAATCAAGGGAAGGGTGCGTGTGGGTGGGTGAGTCTCGGTGCTTGCCGTCAAGTCAGAAGAGGACATCAGTTAGGCGCCATACGTGGTTTGAGACGTCTCAAAACACGGCGCCATTGAGATTGTACATGGCAGCAACTTGAGGATTCAACACCAGTAGTTTGAGAAGGGTGCTAGTGGGTGAGTCTCGGTGCTTGCTGTCAAATCCCTTCACCTTCCCTGCTGCTGCCCCTCATTCCGAAACGTCAGGTAGCAGGATCACAATGCCTCTCTTCCTCCCTCTCCTCGCCTTCTCCCTCACCCCCTCGCTCAATTCCTCTTCCCTCCCCTAACCAGGTCCGCAGGCGAACGAGCATAGTCCCCTTTGCTGCCGTTTTGGACGGCAGGCAACAGCTGCCTCTCAACTACTACAAGGAGTTTCTGCGCGTGCCGTACTCTCACCCCTCCCATGTTTCCTCGCCCCCTCCCTCACCTCCTCCCTCACCTCCTCCCTCACCCCCTCCCCCGCCCCCTACCCAGGTGCGCAAGCGTACGAGCATCGTCCCATTTGCAGCCATTCTCGACGGCAGGCAACAGCTACCCCCAGATTACTACAAGGAGTTTCTGCGCGTGCCGTACCTTGCAATCACAGCCATGACGATTGGCGCGTACTTCTGCCATCCCCTCATGATTCAAGCCAGCTTCTGGCTGCATTGGTAGGAAGGGACATGTAAAACAAAGGAAACAAACCAGGCAGCAATCTGTGCCGTACCTTGCAATCACCGCCATGACTCTTGGGGCGTGCTTCCGTCATCGTCTCATTACTCAAGCCAGCTTCTGGCTCCATCCGAAGGGAAGGGAGGGACATGCGGAAACAAACGAGGCAGCGTTTTGTATATCAGGCGTGCCATGCCGTACCTTGCAGTCACCGCCATTGGTAGGTTGGGGCTTTTTCTGGGAAGGGGGAAAATGTGCCGGGATAATTTGTCTCTGCAGGTTATCAAACCAAGCCGGAAAATTCATTTGAAAAAAATCACAAGGTGGTAATGCAAAACAAAATAACGAACGGCTGAATTCTTGTTGTGGCAAACATAGCAGCAGTTTTAATTATCATATGGCTCGCAATGCTGGCCATCCCATGCTGAGCTTTGAAGAAATCCTAAAATTCTTTACGATGAGGACATGGCATCTTTTGCAAATTTATCCTGCACTGCAACTCAAAAATCTGAAACTGTATGTTCTCCGGCGTACAACAAGTTCGTTCATAAAGCGTACAACAGAAATGGGGGTGAAATCATACAGCTGATATTCACACGTGGTAAATCCATTTTTGATAGGATGCTGGGGCTTCCCGCTCCCTCTTGGATTTGCGGCCTGCACTGGAGCATGCATGTGCTGAGTGGAGATTGGAACAAGCTGCAAAGAAATGATTATTCTGCGTGTAAACGGACTACCTGATTTGATCGTGCCAGTGATTTTTTCTTGGCCGCTCAACTCAAACCAGCCGAGCTTGCCCAGGATCATCACGGCAGCACAACTTGCTGCTGGTGGAAGATTAAACCAACGGGCAGAACGATGACGAACAGGCTGGTTCACATAGCCATAATAAGAAAAATAACTCTTTTCCGTAGTGAAGGTACTCACTACCTCAACACGAATAAGGACGTGGCCCAGACCGGGTCTGATCGGCAGTGATCTGCTCGGGTTGGATCTGATCGGGGGGACTTTGATCGCGCGGCGCGTGCCGCCCGATCAGAGCCGAGATTCCTCGAATGTGATGGGATGGTGCATGGCAAGCACAGACACATTTCCTACCAGCTTCGGGCCAAATTTGGCGACAGCGAAAGGCATGAGCACTGCTCCAGCGATACCTGTGTCACCCTGTAATTTCGCAAAGGGAGACAGCAACGCTACGACGGCTCCACAAACTCCAGAAAGTTCTTGCAGACGTGGAGGTAAGGCGAGGGCTACTCGAAACCCAGACGAACACTGTAACTCTTCGCTGGCGTCGCATAGGGGTGCAACCCAACGCAATCAACTGATCGTGCGTGATTGTGTTTGATTGGGGTGTTTGAGGCGGTTGATCGAGATGGGGCGATCAGCTGATCGCGATCAGCTGATTGCCCCCGATTGCCTGAAATTGGCCTTGGGGCTTCCTGGAAGTTATTGATCGCTTCTGATCGAGGCAATCAGAAGCGGTCTGGGCCACGTCCTGAGGGCTGGATGCATTTTACATTTTCCGGTCAGGGAAGTTGAATCAGCGACTACCGATTCATCTTGTTCGGTGATGTATCTCGACTCGACAATTAAATGCGCGGTGAAGGATAGCCATCCCTGATGCTGTAGGCATTTATGGAATGTCGGGCTCGTGTGAATAGTGAGTCATCTTACGTGGTTTTAAGGGCTGCAGCATTTTTATTGCTCCGAGCTTCGTGGACTATCGTTCGTTGCGCTGGCAAATCAAGGCAACACTAATCAAGTCGGGATTGCAAGCAGGGGCGGCCATTGTTGCTAGCCGAAGCTGCTAAGAAATTCATAGACGCGCTGCATTTTTGCGATACAGGGGTACACGGTTCTTAAAAAATATCGGCCAAGGTTGACGGAATCTCGAAAACAGTTCTTGTAACAGAGTTACCAGAGTCGAACAGACTCGAAGGGTTAACAGCTCCAACTCTCGGGCACCACGGTGCTGGCCGTTTCATTTTTAACATCGTCCGCTGGTAGTCCGTCTCATAAGTTCGGGGTTCGGTGGAGAAAAGCCACTTTCCAACTTCACCCATTGTAAAAACAGTTTGAAGTGCTTTCGCCTTTGAAAATTCACGTTTAATACCTCGTCCCATCAAGGTATCGTTCTCCTCGTCACTCGTTATTTTGGGGTATCCTTGCCACGGCTTTCTGAAGTTGCAGCCACTTTGGGATTACAGACGGTTAGTCAGGAGGGAACATGCAGGAACAGACAGGTACGGCCGTCAGCGAATCCACATACGCGATGATATGAGTCGACTGAAAGGCGAGTGGGACACTGGAATCACAATCCAACGTCATGCTGATGTGTACCACGCACAACCATCGCAGATTATGGCGGGAAACGAGATACCTCGTTGGCACGTGACAGGCACTGCCACTGAGGTTCCACAGCGCGGCAACCTATGAACACCAATCACAAGCGACAGCTGTTCACAAACTGACAGCACTCCTTCAACGTGGGTGTTCTGTGGTTCAGAGCAATCCGCATGCAGCATGCTGGAAGGCAGCGCAGCAGAAGTCGAAATTATCCATTCCCGTCAAGGTGCCCCATCCAATCCCATCTCCCGCCGAAACCCCGCTTCCCTTCACCCCCCCCATCCTCCTCTCTCTCCGTCTGCCCCTTCTCGCTCGATCCAAGTCCTGTCGGGAACTGTTCACCCGTCCTTCCACCTTCCCCTCTTGTTGCGGAAACACCCACCCCTATCGCTACCTGTTGGCTGTCATGGTTCTCACAGCCTCTCCAACAAGGATAAGACCACCTATTTCTCACTCAGTCTGTTCTCCGCTGAGTTGGTTGCCCTTCTGGTGTACCGGTTAACAGTCCTTAGGACCTTAACTTCGGCTTCAGCCAAACGCACTCTAAAAATACTGGTTTCTCAATTTCGTCGTTAAGGCTGCGTCTCCAGTCTCGACGACGTCATGGCTGCCACTCGTCCCTCAGACGCTGTCCGCAGCTGCTACCCTCCTTTCGCCCGGAAGGACTCTCGCCGTCCTTCCAGCAACGCTAGCGGCTCTAATCAGCCACACCACCAGTTGCGAAAGGCTATGGAGTCACGGTTGGCAGTGTCGTCGGGGGCAGTCTCGTCGAACCGCGCTTGCGAAAAAGCAGCGCTCGCCTCCTCGTCGTCATCTCCACGTGTCATTCCGAAATCTCGCAGCAGCGGGGCGCTCCTCGCCTCAGTAACCATCCCGTTTAAGGCAGGAGTTTCTCCCCTCGCTCCTCCTTCCGAATCATCCACCACCACCTCGTCGTCCCTATCTGGTAACCAGACGGTTGCGACAGACCCCTTTTCGCGCCTTCCTGACGACGTGGTTATTGAGATTCTTTCGCATCTGGGCGGGGGTGCGCCTGACGTGCTAGCAGCGTCGATGACGTGTCGCCGATGGCAAACGCTCACTCGCTCCATCCCGGTCCTGCGATTCGTGCCGCGCGACTCAAGCCGGGCGGGCGGAAGCGACTGCGCCTCCACGCTCCCCGCATGTTCCGCCATTCAACGCGAGGAGCTTGTATCGCGTATGGTTTTGAAATCTAACGGTCTGCAGCAGCTGCAGGTCACCTCCTCCCTCCTTCACCCGCCCACCGCTAGCGCCTTCCCCGCACGCTCAGCCTCCTCCGCTTGCGACCATGGCGTCGATTGCGCGTGCAGCGGCAGCGCAGAGGCAACCCCGCAGCAGCAGCAGCAACAGGAGCAGCAGCAGCAGCAGCAGCCCGCGCGAGTTCATTTTCGAGGCGTGGATGCGCCACGCGGGTCCGCAGCTGCAGTCACTCGTGCTCTCCCGCTCCCTCAACGCCGCCGCGAACGGCGGCGGCTCCACTACGATCAACGTTTGGGAGAACGAGGACCTCAGCTTGCATCTCGGGCATATTTCCCGCCACTGCATGTCCCTGCGGTCGCTCACTCTCGGGTCGCTTTCGCTCGCGGCGCCTGCGCTCGAGTCGTGCCTCCGCCCCATGCCCAACTTGCAGGATTTGTCGCTTTCCTGGATTCACCTGACTAATGAGTGCCTGCAAATGATTCTCGACGCGACTCCGAATCTCCGCCGGTTGACGATATTTATGGCGACGGGCTGCCCGCAAATTTCTCTTCGCCTGCCCGCTTCGTTGGAGCACGTCGACTTCGCTTACCTGCGCGCCGAGTCGTGCAAGTTCGTCACCGCTTCCTCGTTGCGATCAGTGTCCATTCGCGACATGTTTGTGCGAACAGTTACCATTCACCAAGCCCCTCGTCTGCGGTACTTCGCCATCGCCAGCGCCAGCCTCCTCGAGGTTTCCGCACCTGAGTCGTGCGAAATCACCTCCCTCGATTTAAAAGCCGGTTCCTTCTGCTGGTCCTCGCTACAATCACTCATTCGCGGATGCGGCACGACTCTCAATTCTCTCGCTCTCGATTTCTTCACCGCCGGATCCGGAGCGGTCTCGTCGGGAATCTTCTCGCTCTTCTGGCTCGCCGCCATGTGCCCCGCGCTTCGCGCCTTGAATCTCGGCTCTCTGCCGTGGCAACTTGTTCTCTCCTGGGCGACTACCTCCGGCGCGCTTCAACCGGCGGGACCCGCGACGGGATCTGCGGCGCGGTGGCCGCAGCTGGAGGAGCTGAAGCTTAAGGTTCAAGAGCAGAGGCCCGAGGCGCTGCTGCTGCTGCACGCGCTTCTGTCGAATGTGCCAACCCTAAAATCGCTCCAAGTGGCGACAGCAGTGGACGAAGAGGAAGAAGAGGAAGAAGAGGAGGAGGCGGCGGAGGAGGAGGAAGACGAGGAATTCGAGGAGGGGGAGGAGGAGTGTGAGGAGTACGAGGAAGAGGAGGTAGAGGAGGCTGAGGAGGAGTATGAAGAAGAATACGAAGATGACGTGGACGAGGATGATTTGATGGAAGTGGAGGAGGGTGCGGAGAGCTCGGACGAGTATGACGACGAAGCTGAAAGCATGCCGGTCAGATCCGGTGGACCTGCCGTTCAGCGCCACATGAGTCGGCAGGAGCTGTTCCTCAAGGGGCTTGTGTGCCTGCAGCAACGGTTTTCTGACGTTAACGTCTTCCTCCCGTTGCTCGCTCGCCGGTCAACCTCGTGATTTGCAAGCAGCCCTTACCATTCAGTTTTTGAAAAAAAAATCACTAGATCCATTTATAAGGGGGTGGGCCATGTTCAATATGTGTTGTACCCTAATCCAGGGTTTGGTCGCCAAATTTTCTGTGTACCACTTTCACTTCTCAATTAACTTGAATAAGTTGCCAAACAATCAGTGTCTGATTTACTAAACCACCTCCTTTACACAGGCATTGCTTCCCCCTTATGTGTCAATCACCCTGCTCTAGCGCCAACGACCTTATGTAGTTCTAGTGGTGTCGATGTCCCCCACACAAAGCAACGAGCCCAGCAGTTGGATCGTGATACGCAAGGAATGATCGCACTTACCCCATTGAAAGCACGTTGTGACGGTAAAAAGAACTGTATGTTCCAAAATGGCCATAACCTAAACAGTCTACCAACTTGGCACAAGCTAGCTGGCTGGCTCAAATTTCAGGGGTTTTCCAGGTGTGTTTTTGCGTAACAGGAGCACCTTTGACATGGCGTCTCACTGTGAACCCAGCGCATATGATGCACTCGAGCAACAAGGGGCGCGGGAGTGTGTGAATCGGGATGAACTACATCTCATGTATAGTTACGACTTCGAAAAGCCAGGTCAGGCTGTCAATGTTCTGGTATTTGGTAGGTCTGATTGATCAACTGCAAATACGGTATGCAAGTCTGAACTTCATGACTAGTAAACAAGGAAGGTTTTATTGAGCATATGAGGAGAACTTTCGATAACAATCTAGCTTTCGTTGAATCCCCGTTAGTAGGGTTGCTCCTGTGGCTAAGGTAGTGACAACAATATCACCGAGGCGCAGGTTTTTGGGAACTGGTGTTTCTGCCACCAGGCCTTCAGAATTTCACCTGCGGTGTTCGCTTCACTTTCAGGGGTCAGTTCAGGACCCCTCTCGCCACGAAGTCGCGCAGCTTGTCCTCAGCGAAACCCATCCGTATGGTAACCACCATCAGTTCGAGGACGTGTGCGAATAGCTGACACAAATATCACCTCGGAAGGACAACGGGCGCTGTACACAACCTCGGAATTATCTTTTCTCACCGCTCCGTACACCACCTTCCAAGCCCTGTACCACTGCTCATCTCAACGTCTCACCGAATTCACAGTTGGGACGTCGGGGCCATTGGTGGGTGCTAACCCAACATCCCAAACCAAACACTGGGTGTCACACAGAGTCCCATATCAGGACTTCTATGGAAGTGTTTGACACTGGAAGTTCATCTTCCTGCTAAAAATTTACTAATAATCTGTCGCTTCTAACAAACCGCTAGACTAAATAAAAAACACAAACTACCAACATGAAATTAAAGAATATTTTACGTTTGTTAACGCGGATCTACAATACATTCTCAACAATTAACCCCCCAGCCCATAGCACCCCGAATCACAAACAATGTTTCAGAAGAGAAGGATAAAAGATAGTAACACTGCAGATCTGCTTATTAAGCAGACGGATACAAGCACTAATGAGAGCAAGCCGATTCAGAGAAGCTGCAGCAACCGTAATGGTACAAGACCAGGCCGTTCCATGGACACAATACATTTGGGTCCGCCCAACCGCGCAAAGATATTAACACCACGTATAATATCACAAAAGAAGAGTCATCTGCTGCTGCCGAACACCACTAGTTCAACGCGCTTAGGGCTTGCCAGATTTCCCAGGGCCACCAGCAGCAGCACCACCAGTACCGGGGACGACAGGGCCATTACCACCCGTAGCGGGGACGACAGGGCCAGCACCACCGTTCCCAGGTGAGGAGGACACCCCGCCGTAGTTGCACACACCCGCGGCGCAGGTGCCTGGGCACCTGGCACCGCAGGCGCCGCAGTGGGCGTTGTTGGTGTTAGGGTTGATGCACGTGCCGTTGCAGCAGATTTGGGTGAGGTCGCAGAAGTTGGAGCACACGCCACAGTTGTTAATGTCGGTCAAAACATCCACGCAGAGTCTGAGGAGAATCCAAACGTGAAAGAAAACGACAGGCACGAAAAGAGTAAATAAGATAAAGCGTGCGAGGCACAACGGAGTCGGGGCAGAATGATACAACACAATCGAGACGGAACGACGGAAGAAAGGAGGCGAGTGCTGGATAAAAGACTCACCAGGGGGAACGCGTGAGGCAGAGGAGTGCGAAGCCGGGAATGGTTGCGGAGGGTTATGCAGGGAGAAGTGAGAAACTCACGATCCGCAGAGTGTTTGATTGACGCAAGTGGGAAGCTCTGTCAGCTTACGCCACCTCAGTCGGTGCGCGCTGCCGCTGCGGACGGAGTTGCGCACGGCGTATTTCTGCGCGGGGACAGGAAACAGATGGAATGCCATGAAGGGAAGGACACGAGTGTGACGCAAGAGTTTAAACATGCTCGGGAGAGTAGAGAGGTTGCATACTAAGGCTTGTTGGGAGGACAGCTAGACAAAGCATTCTTGAGTGAGGGGAGCTACAAAAACCCCCGATCCTGTAACCGTAACATAACGATACCTAGAGCGGCTAAAGAAGGTGAGAAATATCCTAGTCCTGGGAGCAACTACTTGTAGTCGATGGAAACGTCTAAGGAACATCCTAGCTAATGCTTCTTATGCTTCGTTGACTCATAGCTAGACTCGAGCAGTCACAGCGGCGGAAAAGACTAAGCACCTCGAAATTGCTGCTTGATGCTTGCGCGGCGTGGGCCAGCGCGAGGCACAGCAGTATGGTGATCAACACTTGAGTCTTCATGGTGACTAGCTTGTTCGAATAATCCGCCGAGACTGGAGCCTCTACGAAATCAACTACGCCGGTCTTAGCTCTATGTCCTGGCTGCTGTGATGCTTGAAACTTGCTGCTTGCAGGATCTGGTGAATGGCTCCAGGCAAAGTCAACCTGGAAGAATGGAGGGATGGCTTTCTCTACAATTGGATGGGCTGAGAGTTTTGCTACGGGCTCTTCCAAGATGGTTGAAGTGGAAAGCTGGTTTCGTGAATACTTGATCGCACAAGCCCCTGAGCAATACCTGCGGGTGACCTCATACCAGCAGGTGCGAGGGAAACATGTGGTCTGCGAAATTACTGTTCCTCTACCTGCTCCCGTCCCGCTTGGCAGGGCGCCGCGAGTGGAGGAACAGGCATCTGAGGAGAAACCCCTGGCAACAGAGAGCCTTGTGTGCGACGCGGGGCGCAGAGCATAACGCTGGGTGTGTGCGACAGTTTCGCCACTGTGGTTGGACGGCTGTGCTGCCCTAGCCGGAGGTGCACTCACATTCAGGTGCTAACTATGCAGGCAGAACTGGCAACCATGAATGTTCAAGGCATGCCGGTTTCAGTTTTACTGCCGTGTTGCGACTTAGATTTCGGACTGGCATTTCAGTGGTAAAATATAAGTGGGTGCTCCAGACTGAGTATCGGAAAAAAACATCTTCCAGCAATAAATTCTGTAAAAAGGCGTCCCTCCCACTTCATGTGGTGGCAGGTCACTGACCATCACTTCAGGTGCACGCAGGTGGACAACGTATCGCAGGTGAAATTCCATGTCAGGCGTGTTGAACTGTTTTCATGGTCTTCCCGAGAAAAGTGGCGAGCGACTACTTTCAAGCGCGCGAAATGTGGAACCCGGGGTTGGACGGCGAGCGTTGAACTCCAGAGTCTACGACGCACTGGATTCGAGCACCCGATTCGTCAGAGAGCAAGCGACGTTCTAACTGTCGCCGTCCAGAGAGAACTGACGAAACGGTAACTTTCAGTGTTACACTCAGATATAATAATGTTTTGAGGAGAATGAAAAGAAAATAACAACAGCATTTTAAATTGCAATGAGGGTGAACACTGCATATGTAAGCCTAGGAGGAGGATACACGGACATCACGGAAAAAAAAAACCTCTTGTGAAGATTCACCGTGCTTTTTATTGTTGTTCATTTGGGAAGAGCTCAAAGCTGTCTTATTCTATTACCAATAACATAGATCAGTTAGGCGGCCTAGCAAGCAGGTTCAGGTTGCGCAGGTTCAAGGTTTTATTAGTTTGCTAAAAACATGGAATAGCTCAGTATGCGCCTAGAAAACCATATGGTTCAACAACCATCCAGTTTTGTGATTTAGCGTATGCAAAAAACCCCTAACTGCACAACCTTCACGTGGTAATGTTTACACACCCGCTCATCCTTATGGAGAATCCATAACATAAGGGTCCACATTTGAAAGGCACACACTCATGTTGACGGAGGGTTTGCGGCCCTGAATATTTCATGTTCATACCCCTACAGAACACTCAACTGCTACACAAGAAAACAAAACAAGGGGGATGACCATGCTAAGTGCTCCTGGGCCGTGGCGTAAGACTAATTGACTACATTGTTTCTCTTATAAGCGGCTTCGACGTGCATTGGGTGCTGGACTGGCCACAGCAGCTTCGTTTAATTGGACTGGAAAAGTCCTTCTGTCTCCGCAATCTTAAATGATGCGCGTCGTGAGTGTTTCTATGAGCAGGACAAATGCCGCGTTATCTTTCGTCTATACCGGTTTAACAAGGAGCACAGGCCATTGTTTCGCTCCCGGGACAAATTATTGCTGTCAGGAATCGCAGAACGTGCACTGCGTGAAGCTGCCAATGAGGATGACGAGCTGACGAACGTAGCACCACTAGACACAGTCTCCCCGGCTGTCGCGTCTCCGTAACGACGAATAGGCTGGGACGTGGCGAAGGGATGATTCGACAAAGCTTGCTCCAGACACGACTTGAATTGCTCTTCCGCGATCCACATGTCGGCTGCTGATTGATGGATGCTGTGCCGCATCTCCTCCAAGTGGTCCGAGTTTAGGTATGCACGGACCTCTGAAGATAGAACGAAAGTGGAAAAAAAAAAAAAAATCGCAAGGGGATGAGAAGAGAGGGAATGAGAACGAAAAGGTTATTGAAGTCGCTGACCTTGCAACTCATTGAGGCATCAGGGAATGAAGGCGTCAGCGAGAAACGATAACGAACATCGTGATGGCCAACACGGTTCAGGGTTGACCCCGAGCTTACCATCTAATGTCGGATGAGTTCCCTGAAACCTAGTCATCGCGGAAAATGACGAATGGCCTGGGCGTGAAACTAATCCCCTACTAAAGCGTGCCTGCTTCCCTTAGGCGTGTCTGATCCCTAAGAGGCTGGGTTCTCTGGCTCCTGAGAAGGGTCTCGACGGGTCCACGAAGTTGACGTTTGGGAAAGCTGAGAAATAAACTACAATACGTAGAAACTCGAGATATCCATCGTCAACGCGAGATCACGGGTGGACAGCCTGTGAAGTCTACGGATTCACTATTGCTCAAGTGTGACGAAAGCATGCTCTGACTTATGGATGAAGTTTCTAAAGCACTTCGGTGGAGGTTGGACTAATGGAGGAGAGAAACTCCAGCCCACATCACCTGTCCACGCCATGCTGGTTCAGGCGTCCTATGAACCAATTTACACCATTGGAACCACGACAGCCCGAGGGACTGGCAGCGAGCGACCCCGTCCTAAAAGCTTCGAAAGAACGCCACAGGTGCCTAGCACGCGGGGCGGGACCAGTCCTAGCATGTGATGATGAAAGCCGCATCAGCACTGGATATTGTGTTTACAGCGGTCCTATGCTGGTCCTTCGGGGATGGCAAAAAAATAATAAAAAAGGCGTTTAGAATAGTAATCAGTTCACATTTGTTGGCAGAACGAGGTGTTCATGGCAGTCCAAGATAGCTTTTGGTAACGGTACAGTAACATCAGATACGAAAATTCTTCTGCCCATGGTTGACTTCATTTTGCACAAGGAGCTCCCATCTGTAAAGGGCATTCAAGTTGTGCAGTCATACAGCGGTTACAGTTACATCCAAGGCTAAATAGGGCGAGTCCAGCGCGTACATTTACAGTTTGCTTGCAGTTCATCTGTCGTGGTTCTAAACATTACCAAACGGTGCAAAGCGGTTTTTATTTTCCACCGTTTTGCACCGTGACGCAAGGTGATTAACCGCACAGCATGAACTGTACGCACTTGCCCTTACAGTTTCATTCCGCGAAAGGGGATGGAGGTTGACCTTCGCGGGTTCGCGAAGTTACGAACTGTAACAAACCGATCGTCTGATGTCAGCGTAGCGACTGGGCGGTGAATCAACGGCGGTGCATCGCAACCGCCGCAAGAAGTGGCGGGTTGTATGGAATGATGATGGCGTGCTACAGTACCAAGGCCCGTGAAGCCTCTGGGCCAGCGGTAGAAATCTTCATGCCAGCGCGGCTGGGAGAAGTGGCCCCGGCCACGAAGACAAGGTGGAATAGCGCAAACTTTGCACATGTCAGCCACGCCTTGTGGGTGAATTATTGACGTGTAAGAACTGGCAACACAAGCTAATGCTCGTTATAGTCATGCTGTTGTAGCGAGTGTAACCTTTGTTCCGGTTACACGAGAAAATGCATTCTTGCATGGAAAATACGAAGGTTACTGGGTCGTTCCTCTCGGAGCGGAAAGCCCCACTTGCCCTGGTTCAACCGCGGCTTGCGCTACAGTTCTGCAGAATGCAGTTTACTGAACTGTATGGGCACCCCAGAGGCTCGGGGACTCGGTACGGGGTCCGGGGATGCCATCAGCCCCCCACATACTCGCCGAACGATTTCTACTGTCCGAATAGGTCAGGCTCGGCGACATTATCCAAATTTCAATCGACGGGCTCGGTCCTATTCCCGAGCACGTGTTTGCCACCAAATACCCGCGCACCGACCTTCAACCCAGTTACCAAGTTTTCCGTGCAGTCTCGGAGGCTGTTCCCAAACCGTGGCAGGACGAGATTCGTGCCCCCTCCCTTCCCTCCGCCTCCCCGGGGGATTGTTTCATTCCGAAGGAGGACCTACACTCCCCCCCTTCCCTCATTCTACAAACAACCTCGTTCTCCCCCCTATTCACGCTCTTCGCCACCCTTCATCGGGTACTTTCAAACGGATTCTTTGAACGTGCTCCCTTCAGCTCTGGGGTTTTCCACATCAACGATGTCGTAGCGGTTCACACCCAATGTCATTGGGTGGCGGTCCGCTACATACAGGTGCGGGGCTCGGCGCGCGGCTGGAGATTCTTCGCGATGGTGTCCCGAGCCTTGCTGCTATCCGACAACTACTTTATACGCGGCGCCCGCTCGACCACGACTCACGTTGGACCCTCGCCCTCTCCTCCCCCTTACCTGCCCCCCTCCCCGACCTCTCTCACACCTTCCTTCGCGAGCAACCTAGCCTTCAACGCGATCTTCTATATCGCTTCTACACTCGCTCTCTTCCTTCAGGCACCCGGTTCCTGTTCTCTGCAGATAGGGGCCGCTGCTCGCGCTGCTCCTCCAACGAGATTGAGACTATTTCTCATATCTTCTTTGTTTGTGGGGCCGCCCCTGATGTGACGGCAGCGTTAGGCTCAGTTGCCCGCCGCCACTTGGGCTGCTCCCCCCCGACCGAGCACATCTTGTTTCCGCTCCCGTCTCGAGCTGGCCAGTCTGCCCCCTGGAGCATCCTGGTAGGCGCTGCTGCCAAGACCCTTTGGAATGCTCGCTGCAATCAGAGACCTAATAACATCGTCTCTTCTCGCTTCGAGATCTTGCAACTCATTCTCGCTCAGTTTCTCTTGGCCTTCAAAATCTTCATTTGGCGACGCTCTAAACAGTCTGCCAAGAAACAGCAAAAATCAGCGCCACGCATTCGTACTGCTAAGCGGCTCCGCTTCATCTCCTTCGTTGCTGACGGCTCCCCTTCAATCCATCCAGATCTCCGCACTTCTTGGCTCCTTGAAAATCCTTTCCGGCCCCCGTAATTTGGTTCTTTCCTCATCACAGGATACTCCCCAGCGAAGCTGGTGGCTGTTCGCTTGGACAGGGGAATAACGTGTTCAACACGTACGCCTTAAGGCTGTTGGCATCTTTAGCCATATTCTCTGATATTCTGTGACTTTGTCTGTAACGATTACGATCATAATATATTCCTATTCTTATTCCTATTCCCCCACCTACTCATCCTACCTCACCTCCTCGCAAACAAGGCGGGCACAAGAAATGTCAAACTATATTTGTATGTTGGCTTTGTCTAGGCTGTAGTGGGGTAGCACTAGGGGGTACAAAATTTCCCTCGACATTCTCCTTGTACCCCCCCCTTTGACCTAATCGAACCATTCCTTCCTAGCCTAAGTTCTAAGATGGTATCTAGAGCAGTAGGTCTTAGGACCTAAGATTTGGGCCCACCGGTTACAGTGTTACCTCACCTACGGCCTCATTAGCATTGCCTGCTGCCCGCGCGCGCCTAGGCTGCGCGCGCGCATAGCCTTTTTTTTTTAGCGCGCGCCACTGCTGCCAGCCGCGTCGCTCCCTATTAGTCGCCCGCGCAGCCCGCCCTGAGCCCGCGCAGCCTGCACGCGGCCTGCAGCTGCCCCGCGCACCGCCCGCGCAGCCCGCGCCGAGCCCGCGCAGCCCGCGCCGAGCCAGCGCAGCCCGCGCGCAGCCCGCACAGCCCGCGCACGGCTCGCGCACTGCCCGAGCAGCCCGCGCCGCGCTCTATCAGCCCGCGCGCAGCCCGCAGCCACACGTGCCCTGCCCTGCCTGTGCGCCACCGCCACCCGTGCGCAGCACGCTTGCCTGCCTTGAGCGCCTGCCTGCCTTAAGAGCCTGCTCCCTGCGCCTCCTGTCTGAGCCTACAGCCTTTACCTGCTGCCTGAGCCTGCTATCAGTTGCCGGCGCCACCATATTGTCTCACCTGCGCCTGCCTGCTGCCTTACCCTAAAGTCTTTGCCTGCTGCCTGAGCCTGCCTGCTGCCTGCGCCTGAGCCTGAGCCTGTGCCTGCTGCATTTCCCCGCCCTGTGACCATGGCGACTATTTCTGTTCTCGACTTTGAGCCTGACGGTAGTCCTGTTCAGTTTGACACCTGGCTCAGTGACCTGCAGCTCTACCTTTTGACTAATACCAAGGACGGAGCCTCTCTGCTAGACTATGTCAATGGCACTGCCCCTGCTCCCGCAACTACTGCTCCTGCCTCTGAACGCGCTGAATGGCAGACCCGCGATGCCCTTGCCCGCCTAGCTATCCGCAATCACCTGCCTATCTCCGAGCGCGCACGATTCAACCAGCTTAAGACTGCTAAGGAACTGTTTGACGCAGTAGTTGCCCGCTATTCCGCCCCATGTCAGAATGAACAGGCAGGAATGAGTGAACTAGCAGCATGCAGGAGTACAAGTAGTAAACCCTAATTTGGGTTGTACCCCATATGGGCTACCCCACTACAGCCTAGACAGTATGCAGCACATATGTTTGACACACCCCCATAGGCAAAGTGGGGGAGAACAAGGGGTCACAAGACCAGTCAGGGCAAAGCAAGGCAAAACAGGCTCAGGGTGGATCTCGAGGATTCCACACAAATTCCGAGCACAAGCAAGCGGTCACAAGACCAGTTCACATGCAGGTTTATAACAGAGCAAGAGATACAGTGATCACAACCTAGCAAGAGTAAACATGCAGGTATATATATATATAGAGATCACAGTACAAGCAAAGTCAAGAAGTGAGCAAGTGAGGTCCAGTAGGCACAAGGCCCAAAAGAGTACAAAAGCGCTGATGGTCACAAGGCTGGAGCGCCTTGGTGAACACATCAGCAGTGTTGGCCTCAGTGGCCACGTAACGCAGACAAAGCTGACCACGCTGCTGTAGCTCTCTAGCCAGGAAGTACCGCAGGGCGATGTGCTTCGTTCGGTGCTCCAGTCTGTGCTCCTCACACAAGGCAATGGCAGCCTTGTTGTCGACGTACAGCACTGGAGGAGAACGAGGCCTCTCTCCCAAGTCGGTCAGCAGGTAGGTGAGCCAGCGAAGCTCCTGGGCCGCCATGGCTGTGGCGTAGATCTCAGCCTCACAACTGGAGCTGAGAACAGACGAAGAGCGTGTGGAACGCCAAGAAACTGAGCCAGAGCCAAGGCTGAAGGTGTAACCCTGAGACGACCGCTGAGTAGCCTGGTCGTCCGCCCAAGAAGCGTCTGAGTGTCCAGTGAGCACAACTCGGTCTCGCCCTCCAAGCACTAGCCCCATGCCCGACGT